AGCCTGATCCAACGAAGATTGAGGCTATTCGAGATATGCCTACACCAAAATCGAAGCAAGATCTCCAAATCCTACTCGGAATGGTAACGTACCTAGGAAAATTCATTCCAAATTTGTCCAAAACAACCGCACCCTTGAGGCCACTCATGGAGTCAGACATAGAGTGGCATTGGTCTCGTCATCACAATGATGCTCTTGACAAAATAAAGACATTACTCACTGAAAGTCCAACGTTGAGATATTACGATCCCAAATTACCAACAAAAACATCTGTTGATGCGTCAAAATTTGGGTTGGGAGCCGTTCTTCTTCAAAAGCATGGTGACGTTTGGGCACCAGTTGCATACGCCAGTAGATCACTAAGCAAATCAGAACAAAACTATGCCCAAATCGAAAAGGAGGCTCCGGCAATCCTTTTTGGCTGTGAACGCTTTCATGTCTACCTTTATGGGAAATCTTTCACTGTAGAGTCTGACCACAAAGCGCTCCAACCCATATTCAAAAAACCCATTTGTGAAGCCCCACCACGAATTCAACGATTTCGCCTACGGCTGCAGAAATATGATATGAATATAGAATTCAAGCCGGGGAAAGATCTAACTGTTGCAGACACGTTGTTTAGAGCGTTTATCGCAGCAAAGGAACAAGACGCAGAGAAAGAGGCTGAATTCCAGGTCCATTTGGTCATGTCAAATCTCTCAATATCACAAATCCAATTGAGGAGATTCCAAGAAGAGACAAGCAAGGATAAAACGTTGCAACAGTTAAAAGAAGTTGTACGAGCAGGATGGCCAGAAAAAAAGAATGATCTTACTGAGAACATTAAACCATTCTTTAATATTCGAGATGAAATCACAGAAATGAACGGCATGCTAATGAAAGGGGAGCGAGTCATTGTCCCGTCAAGTCTCAGGAAAGAAATGAAAGCAAGAATACACGAGGGACACTTAAGAGTCGAGAAGTGCAAAGCGAGAGCACGAGAAACGATGTTTTGGCCAAGAATTAAAAGTGAAATAACGGAAATGGTTCAAAGGTGTAGTGCGTGTTTATCTACAAGAGTCTACCAACAGAAAGAGCCGTTGATGTCTCATGAAATCCCAGCAAAACCGTGGCAACAGGTCGGAGCTGACTTATTCCATTTCAAGAACAATGATTATCTAATTGTCGTCGATTACTTTTCTAACTTTCCGGAATATGCTTTACTGAAAAGTACGACAAGTTCATCCGTAATTACCCACATGAAATCGATATTTGCAAGGCACGGAATACCTGAAAAGGTAATATCTGATAACGGGCCGCAGTTTGCAAGCAAAGAGTTAGCTGAGTTGGCCGCTAAATGGGAATTCTCACACACCACATCTAGCCTGAGATATCCAAAAGCGAATGGAATGACCGAACGCACGGTACAGACGATAAAGAAACTTTTAGAAAAAGCAGACATAAAAAACGAAGACCCTTACCTCGCCGTACTCGCTCACAGATCGTGTCCAGACCCAAGTGGACATCCATCACCGGCCGAAAAGCTCATGAATAGACAACTACGCACAAGACTCCCGTCAGTCAGAACGAGAACCAAGTTTTAATTCCGAGGAGAAACGTGCAAAAGAAACGAAACCAAGCTTTCTACCATGATCGTAACGTGAAAGAGCTGCCAAGAATCAATGAAGGAACTACAGTACGCGTTTATCAACATAAAAGCCTATCAACGAAGGCGAATTGGTCAAGAAAAGGAAAGGTCGTTAGACAACATGACACACCGCGATCGTACATCATAAAGACGGAAGAAAGACAGACTCTAAGACGCAATCGACGTGATCTACTTCAAACCAGTGAACGTTACAATGAGGATCATCCAGAGGTGGATGAACCACCGGACGTGCATAACGCACCAACCACACGAGATGAAATTCATAGAAATTCAGGGAAAGATGAAAACAACGAAGATATCGCCCCTGATAGTTATACCACAAGATATGGAAGGGTTGCAAAGCCACCAGGGTTTAACGTCTTCGTCCTGTTGTCCTGGTTTAGGACGAATATTTTGACAAAGTTCGTTGTGGTCAAAACGAAGTTTTCAAATTAAGATAATTATATTGAAGCCAAATTTGAATAGTTCTTGTATGGAATATAAATGTTGTTTGAGATTTTTAAACCGTAAAGAAGCATAACATCTTCCACTTGACAGAACTGGGGGCGGTTGTATCAAGCCCGTTTAGCTTAAACGGTGGATAAGTCAAAATTAAATAACACTCTTAGATTTCTCTTGAATAAGTCGACTTGAATATAATGCACTGAATATGTAGTTGTAAACTGTATCTTTGTATTAAGGTTGAAAACATTTAGTTCGCTTGTTGAAAAATAGGTACGCAATGCGTACATGTGGGTAGCCTGTAAAACATTATTAGTAAATATCAACTGATGCACTAAAATATTATTTTCTAGTCTTATGTTCTAATGCCATAGACAACGGAATAAACGCCCTACAGTTAGCTGGGTGAATACAGTTATAACGAAGTCGATTTATTACGCAATCTATGTATTATAATATTTTATTCAGAGTTAAATACATTTTACGACAGATCAAAACATATATAAAAGCATTTTTACAAGAGATAGGAAATGAATTTTTTTTGAGCAAAATAGGTGAACAGAACAAAAAAGGCAGTAAGGTTCCGGGATGGTGGCACACATCTTCTGATAACATAAAGCTTAGTTTAGAAGGAGAAAGATCTTAAAAAAGATTTCATTGAGGATAAACTACTTGATTTGCCATATCATTTTACAGTCGCATATAACAAAGAGTCGAAAATTGTTTCAAACGTTTCGCATTAACAATTTTAAAGGACTCATCTGTGTATCTGAACAATATTTTAAAGATTTTTGTTCAGTTGAAATGCACTTTTGTTAAAAGTTTTGTTTTTTAAAAAAATATGATTTGTTAGTTATGTTCAAATAAAAGCTTCTTTTTAAACTCCACAGCATTTGGTTTAATAGCTGCATGTCTACAAGCAAGAAATTGACAGGTGAAATATTGCATTATAATTTATAAAACAGGGCAACTTGTTACTACCATTTGCAATAAGGTAATGTTTTGGTTTAATAGCTGCATGTCCACAAGCAAGAAATTGACAGGTGAAATATTGCATTATAATTTATAAAACAGAGCAATTTGTTACTACCATTTGCCGAATTATAATTTATAAAACAGGGCAACTTGTTACTGCCATTTGCTGAATAAAATAATGCTTTATTTATTTTCTATTAGTGTAACTTTGTAGTTGTAGATTCAAGTCATTCAACGCTCACCGATCACCGCTTTTTCGTCTTTAAAGTACTCGCCTTCGCTTTAAAATTTGACAAAAGTATTAACGTGACTTCGGTTGCTTCCGTTCTTCGAAAACAATGAAATTTTCCGGAAGTAGAAGAACCGTTCGTCATCTTTCGTATATCCGACGATTGCCGAAGATGTGGCACCCACAATACATCCCAGTCTACCTCGGCCGAAACACGTCTTCGTCTTCGTACTTCGTTTCCTTGCTCAAATTCGCTAAAAGTTGTTACTCCGGCGTCAGCGACGGAGTTGAAAATTCGCCCCGGTTTTGTTTTGCTTTTTCTCTTTTATTTTCCGTCGTCGCAAGTCTGTAATGGGCTATGGTAATAGCGCGCGAAATATACTAGTATTTGAAATGTGTATGTGACCGTATTTATCTATATCAAAGTCTTATCTCCCAAGAGTTGTGGTGCACAGCTTTGGCTAATTTCCGATGCGCGATTCGATTTCGCTCGCATGATACGGCAATTCCTCCAAGAGGAACAAATAAACCGTTCTTTTGATGCTGTTCGATTAAGTTTAGATTTGATTGGGGTCAGAATATATTTAATACATGTAGATTCTTGTCCTATCTTAATAATATCGCTGTTACTTCGCCGTTTAACAAGATGTGGTCGTGTATGGGCGCGTTTGTTGACACTTCGCAGTTTGCACAGGATTAAATATTTAATATATAAGCGCGAATTCCAAAGGCAAAGTGTAAGACAAAGTGAATGTATCATACGGTTTATTTACATTTTTGAACAATTGAACTTCTATACTTTTTAAAGTACGATGTGCTTCAAAATGTCGCGATCGAACAACATTTAGATTTTAGGTTGGCAAGGCATCTAAATGAGTATCGAACTGTATTGTTTACGTTCAGAGGCTTTCTATTGAAGACGGGCACGTGCGCGGCTCGCCGGAGTTAACGCCAGAACAGGCGTCTTGTTTATTTTAAATTCCGCTAAGCCCGCCACTGTTTTCCGGGAATTTTTATAATGCCATAAACCGAGCTGCCGCCAATTACATAAAAAGGTCGTTAACTAACATCATATGGGCGAATCGGCCAATCAGAATCGTGTATATTGGATTTAATTACGATTTATATTTCTCAACGCGAAATATTGATAAGAAATTTATACAACCGCGGTTGGCCTGTGAATATGTCATAAACAATTCATTCAAGCATTCAAAGTTTAATTATGGGGAAAAATATCAATCAATCTCAAAACCGTTCATTATTTTCTGTTATTACAGGTGATCAACGATATGGCTGCATTAATTTTAGAGACGTTAAATGCACCGGAATCGTTCATCATCTTTGTAATTAAGGAGCAGCGTTTAATAGCTAAGTAATGACAAGGATTGTTAGTTAGGAAGATTTAGTATATTTACTTCAGTCTCAGACATAACAAACTTTTACGTGTCTTTTTATATCTACAGAATTTGACTCGCTCTGGTGGCAATCAATAAGTTTAAATGCAATACAAGCATCACTTGACGCATGACGGGGGTAACAATTTCCGGAATACGTGTTTGAATAGGCAGTGTTGCTTGATTTAATTTTAATTTTTTTAGACAATTTATTCACCCAGCAAGCGATATTTTCAATAAATGATATATATAGAAGCAACGCAGCTGTTACGACGAGAAAAACAAGCGCTTCAGACAATGCTATAACTTCGACATGGACATAAACACTTCTCTTTGGCAAATTTGTCGATTTCACCAAAGAGAATTCAAACTTCCACTTGGATTTCCATCTAAAGCTTACTACATCAACTATGTTATAACTTGTATTGTCAATGTATTCCTAACAATATCGACAGTTTCATTAAATACCGTTACAATTCTTGCTTACTGGCGATCAAAACAGTTGAGAAGAAAGACGACGTATTTCCTTATAATGCTGCTGTCTTTTGTTGATCTAGCTACTGGATTACTCGGAAATTCCTGCTTTGTGTTGTTATTAGTGAAAATTCTACTGCACGATCCAGACTGTACGATTTATGTGTTTTTGGAAAACATATCTCTGTCTTTAGCCGGAATGTCTTTCATGACATTGCTTTTGCTAAACATTGAAAGGTATCTATGTATTGTTCATCCCTTTTTTCATCGTAACAAGGTGACGAAGCTCAAACTCTTTATCATAGCAACAGCGTTGTGGAGTTGTGCCATAGCATCAACGTTATGTCGTTTATTTCTCAACCAAATTGGACGAATACTCACCAGTGTTGTCATCTTGATATCGTTTGTTTCGTTCATTTTTATTTATGCGTCAATTTTTCGAACAAGTCAAACAGGAAGACGTGTGTCTGAACGAAGTAACACAGAACACAAGGACAGGAACACAGCACAAGATTTGAGACTAGCAAAATCTTGTGCAATTGTTGTTGGTTGCACATTTTTATGTGTAATTCCGTTTGCAGTGACAAATTCTTTAGCACCTTTCACATTTTTAACGCTCTCCTTGGCGTATTGGAGTTGTACTTTGGGGCTTTCCTCGTCTACCCTCAACTCGCTTATCTTCTTTTGGAGGAATCCTGTTTTGAGGACTGAAGCAAAAGTACTTTTAAGGTTGGCTAACATCAAAGCAATTCGGAATACGTCTGTTGTGAGCGGCGAGACAACCCATAATCGATAAGAAGGTTTCATAAAAAACCACTAGAGTTAAGATAATGCTAAAATAAAGGATGGCAAATGAATTTCATAATTATCCTACATGCATCTCAACAAATTTTAATGTAGAGAGGTAACAACAGCGTTATTTGTCATATTTGGATATAACTATATTAAATATTCCAGGGCTAGCTGGATATCAAAACTACCACATTACCATGCAATGGATTTTAAGCTTGTTTCAGACAAGAATTTTTCATGTGCCAAACCTAATGTTAAAATCAAAGCTAAAGGCTTTGTTTAAGTTCATTTGCATTTGTTTCGGCAAATGAGAAATTCAACGTCTCAAAAACGGGCATTACTACCCTATAATCCGCAACTTCATCAGAGCAAAATATATATCCTAGGAGGTGTTTTAGGAATATCTAGACATTTTGTGAAGCCAGTGCAAAAATTTTCATCGTATAATTATGTATCCTAAACGTAGCTATAGTTACTACAAGTTTGGCTGAAACATTAGAGAACTGACAGGTTGCATGGAATTGAAGCTATCAATTAACGTATTTAGTCGATTTTAATCTAAATAAATTATTGATATCGTGCATGGGCCAGTGATCTGGCGAGTTTAGATTGACTAAATGAACAGCATGCAATTAAACAAAATGGCGTTAGTTCAACAGCTGCTTGAGTCGTCATTTTTGTTGACAACGTATAGTTTTTGGTGATTGGTCATTAATATTATTTTAGTGTCATCATAAAAAAAATATATGGATGGGCCGGGTTTTTCACTGAGAACTATATAAAACACTCGTAGAACTCATACGCCACTACATCCGGGGTACAGTGCGCCTATTTTTCGTATGTCTCGTTTAGGAGTCAGACATAACGAGTTTCGAAAATTTCCCCGCCATTTTTATCGCTGTTATATTGAAAATAAAAACGGTCTTTGGTTCGTATATAAAACTGACGAAATTAACGTTGAGGCTTGCTCTACTTTAGTTTTTAGGCTATAATTCAAAAAGATTTGCTTATATAATGGTCTTTCGCGGCGTATTTACTTGTCGTCTGTGTGTGTTTTTGTCATTGTTCAATAAACAGAACATTTCACGGTTTTTATGTTCTCGTGTTCTCATGCCCGAACATAAAATGAATTTCTATATATACTCGCTACCGTGAAATATCCTATATAACATCATGTACGTACATACTACATAAATTATTTCGATCTAATAATAGACTGGTTGGAATGTTCTAGTTTGCATCAGTCTGGTCTAATTTTAATCGGGTTTAAAGCAATCTTAATTAATGCCACCGGAAATTAAAAGTTTTTCATTTTTCATGGGCATCCAGTTAATATCAGACCAGTGAAGGTAGGATACAGCAAACATTTTACGTAAAGGTTGGTATTCGAACTATCTACTGCTCATTCATATCGTATTAACGTGACTTTAAAACAGTTTTATTTATTGTTTCTTGCCTCGTTCTTGATAGACATATATTAGTGTAATTTCAGATCATAATCAAAAGCTTTTAAAGTTCAATCCTTCCAATCCTTATTGATTTAGACGTATACTGACTGCTAATTTTGAATATTAAGCGCCTTAAATTGCCAATTTGAGCCGTCTTAACTTCTGAAATATAAATGTGTCATATTTTTTTGAATGAAGGTGATTCCTATCTGCCCTGCCACACGCAAAGGCCTGCCTATGCCCTACGATGCCAGAAAACTTGAATACATCTTCTGTAACCAGGAAGTTTGTGATTCAGTTCAAATATTTCTAGTATATCAGATACGGCTTTCACCCAAATACCATGGGTAACCAAACATCTTTCGTCCGTAAACTATTATTAATGCATCCCCCCCCCCTCGGCTTATTAAACCGACTCTCAACGTCTAGACCTCTCGTTCAAATGCCTATGTTTTTTTTATCCCTTTGTAATCCACGATATCAAGGCATGCGTCATGCACCTCCCACCTTTATCCCCTGCCATTATAATGGATGCTTAGAGCGGAGTGCCTAATTTTTACCCGTGTGGTTATTTTTCAAAATAAAATAATATAATTTCAAAACATCCATGAAAATGAAACGTAGCTTCTGTTCCTCTCAAGGTTGGCGGCACTGGTGCACTTAGCACGCGCCCATGCAAGTCAATAGGGAGCATTAGCAGTGACTACGAGTACGATTACGAGTACGAGATTCGTCATTCTCGTGCGTTGTTTGCTTACGCCATCAGTCAAAACTCGTAGTCGCCGGGCATTTGAGTACGAGTTTTTTGATAAACTTCGTACTCGAAAGCCCAACGACTACGAGTTTTGGCTGATGGCGTAAGCAAACAACGCGCGAGAATGACGAATCTCGTACTCGTAGTCGTACTCGTAGTCACTGCTAAAGCTCGCTATTAGCTCGTGACAATTTCGACTTACAATTATTTCTTCATAGAATGCGTGGACCGAATATATTAATTTTTGTCATTCGTGCTCAATTTTACGACACGAATAGGAACACGTGTAGGTCATCATAGTCACAAGTGCATGACACATGTGTACATACGTGTTAAGTGCGTCAGGGATTATTCTATTGTGCAATAATTTGAACCAATTTATGCAGGGCACAAATATAAACAACATTAATGATTTTGTGCTGTGATAAATACTATAGCATCAAATGTGGTATAACAACTGCCTAAATAGACAAAACAATTCTCGACGTTTCGACCTGTGGGCATTCGTCAGAGTAACTCTGAGTAAATCTCCTGACGAAGGCCCTCCGGTCGAAACGTCGAGAAGTGTTTTGTTTATTTAGGCAGTTGTTATACCACATTTGATGCTATAGTATTTTATCACAGCACAAAATGTTGTTTATATTTGTGCCCTGCATAAATTGGTTCAGATTATTGCACAATAGAATAATCCCTGACTCTGCCTGTTGTTTGAAGGCGCTGCCACGCTGCTCCTTGGTTATAATGTGATGAAATACTAGCTATATTTTCCTGAAAGTTTCAAATTGACCAAGACTGGCAAGAGTAGGCATATACATACAGCAATAATGCCTCCTTTACATATTATTCAGCAAAATAGGCGTATATTATTTCGCTACAGTTTCATGTTCTGCATGAGCGTAATGTCAGTCTGAGCAGTGCACTCAGTCAGAGGCTTTTCGACACAGTGACAAAATATTTCATTTTCACAATTCATATTTTCTACATTTCTTGGACTTTTGTTCCGTGCAGTCAGTCTTCTTGTAGAATGATCCCTAATGTGGTCAGGTTCAAACTAATACTATATATCGTGAAAAGCAAAATTTAAATTTGCTTATTATTGTACGGTAACTATTATTATATACGTGTATTCGCGCCAGAATTTTCCCTCCTGTAATATGTTGAGAGGAGATATTTTTACCTATAAAATTATCACCACTTCGAGAAATATTTCGCAGAATTCTGCTCATGCACTCCAGGGCTATATACGTATAAAAGAGTCGCGCCGTATTCAAAATATAAAACATTCAAAACATAAAACCTTTTCGCGGTGCCGCTCAAAGTTTATCTACATATTAGCTTAATTCTTTGGATTAGTTAGTGAACTAAGTTTTTAACCGGTTTTCAAAATATAATGCGCCAAATAAATGCCGCTATCAACAATGTTCAACGCCATTATACAACGCTGTCTATGCATGAAGTGAATACAAAAGCAGCTTTGATTCAAACGTCATTTTTTTCTAGACGTACCCCAAGAAATCTTTACATTTTAACACAGTTTTTAGATTATATAGTGATCATACTTTTTAATTGCGTTTGGGGTTTGCAAAACGTTTTCAAGCCTGGTATAGTGTTCCATGATAAGAAACCATTTGAGGTTTTCAAGCAGACTGATTGCGTAACATAGAAAATCGATGAGGATCCTGTTTATACCAACAGCCACACGCGACTGTTAAATTGCTAAAAACTATTTGAACACATTTTGAGTCGCTCAATGTATTTTAGATAATGAATTTTAGTGTAACAGCTAGTTTGTGTAGTTTATAAAACGAATTTTCGCCCGTTAAAGGTCAAGAAGTTTAAAGCCTTTGCATGCAGGCTCTTGCATTATAAATACGGCAAGCTATGGATGAACGCACCAAACCAATTTGGAAATTCACTCACACCAGCAGATGGGAAACAAATTATAACGGCGAACTACTGTATATATTTAGAACGAATGACACGATCGAATCACTATAAGTCTATAGAGAATTAAAGCGTATATTTAGGGTACATAAACAAGGCCTCGGCGCATTCTCCGCCACATATCCTGGGAATGAGGTTGGGAATCTCAATGACAATGTATACTGAAGAATGAAATCTGTATAGTATATAGATATTCCGGTCTCTCGGTTCACTAAAATGAACCTTAGCTTGAAAACTGGTTTGCCAAAGACTCGGCTTCGTTGCTTGTTTGAACGTTAATAATTATCACGGTTATACCGGCCGCAGAAACAAAGTATTACTTTAAGGTTACCCTCATAATATTAACAAGAAGGCATACTGCAAACCGCTAACGGCAAATTTAAAGGTAAACGAATTCAGGTAAACTCTCCTTGACCTCTACACTATAAGGGAATAAATAATTTATAATTTGGTCTGATGATAACTGAGCTATATCGTGACTTTTAATAGATAACTGCATGCTCTCTTTAGACTTTGCCGTTTGCCGCAATCTAATAATCTAATAAGGGTATCTATTAGTGTTCATTTTGCGGTCAACCTCTTTAACCACCTTATAACACTATTTCTGTGGCCAAATGCACAACAGATTTTAGCCTTTGTGTTCTTATTCTGTCGTAATTTCGATAACGGAACATTTCAAGAAAGAAAAATCAATTTATACTCGATGTACAAATGCTTTATTTTCACAAATTGTACATACTTCTATAGTGCACTTTCATCCCTTCAATGCTAGCTAATTTTATTAGCGTTAATTCGTTCGTTTCTTATTTATTGTCTTGTAATATCATTACTGCTTGCTCTAGCAAGATTGCTTTTGGTGCATATTAATCCAGGTCTCAGGACTATTTTGAAACAGATATATAGTTGTATTCGAAACTTATCAGTTGTGTAACTCTTAGATGTGAATAAATTACGAGCGAATTATACTGACTTTTATTCGCTATTTGGCTTCATTCATTAACTTATTTATCTTTGGCTTTTTTAACACTTTTGTGTGAGATATCTTGGAGTTTGTTGATATGATTGTTCCTCATTCCCGTCTCCGACTGGCTTGTGTCCACTTTAAAAACTAAATCAAGTTTATATGAGAATTTGTTTGACAAATCTCGAACATTATTGTCAAATTTTATCCGCTTCAAGTCGTGACAAAATTCATCAGATGCACTTCGCTTCATTCCATCGCGAAAACTTAAATTAAGTTCATCTTCATCTTCATCTGAATCACATTCATCCTCAGTCCAGCACGATTCATTTAATTCACAGTTAATGTCGTCCTTCGATAAAGTCTTGTCGGAGTAATCACAATTTTCTTCCAAGCAGTCCTTTTGAGCGACGAGAATATCGATCATCTTTGTTGATATATGTAAATATTAAACCCGATTTCTTTGTACACCAATGTGCATCAAACAATTGTACTTTATACGATGTTAGTTATTAGGTATAAAATGCATACACACCGAGTCCTTTCCGCTGCGGTTTGCACAGATACACTAAATCTTATTATTTTTGTTATCCCATGATGCCAGGCCTTGCGTACATCGCCAATTGTGACCACGTTTCATGTTTATCAAGTGGCGATGCAGGTCAACACAAAGACTCTTTAAAGTATTGTTATTGAAATTGAAAGAAAAAGGCCTAAATTTATTTCAAATGTTAGAGCGAATCCACGACAACGTATCCGTGCTCTGTTCGCAGCGGCCTTTTGATTGGATAATGCCAGCCATAATCACAGCTGCCGTCTTCTGGTGATAATGTGTTTAGATTACTTAGCAACGGAAGTCAACACGGAAGCGTTTGCAGGCCCATGAAATTAATAATTTTGTTCCGGGCTTAGGATTTAAATGAATCTTCGTGTAAATCTTCACAGACGAAAATACATACCGCGATGTGTTGACATAAAAGTTCCGTAAAATATCTTAATATTTCTATAATTATAATATTATTGTTGCCACATGAAGTGTGTGTTTATGTATTCCTATGGTTACCGATTATCAACTGAATATATGTTTCAATAACAAATGCCAAGGAGACACAAGGACTATGAGGAGGCAGAGAAACAAAAGAAATTAAAATAATCTTTTGGGAAATATTAGCATATTTATATCACGTCTTCTACATAAGAAAATAAAGAAATGCCTCAGTAATAGTTGCAATTATATTTAATTAAAAAAAAATGGCGCCATAATTCTGGTTATGCTAAATTCACAAACAGGAAACTTGTCTTTATAATACTCTATCTATAGATGAGACGTAAAAAATTGTAAGAATGAATTGCGAAGCTGAGGCCTAGAGACAGTCAGACAGACAGTTTAGAATACAATATATCTATATTAACTACAGTATATGTATATAAATTACTAGTGTATATCAATTACGAACGAATATAACCCGGGGTGAACGGTGACGTTTATAATTGAAAGATATATCCCCAGATAAGCTAAGCATATTAGACAACACGTAATCTCGTCGGGTCGTGAGACGTGAGGCACAACACGAAAATAAACGCTAGTTAGGCAACTCAGCTTTGCAATGTAGTGCCCCCACTATCTGCAAACAAATGGTTTTGCCATTCATACATACATTCGTATAATACATACATACATCACTTTATTTATTTATCCTACTTGGTGCAAACAAAGTTTCGCTGGGCTTGCAATGCCAATGTGTTGCCACTTTGTGCAAACGATCGGCGAATGTTACAAGTAGCTCGCGGCTATCTTTGACCCTTTCACTAAACCGCACAACCTGTCAGAAACAATGTTCTGTTTTGAACACGGCAAGGTAGAAATTACAGGTAGCGGTTGCGAACTCAACTTAAATATTTCACTATGCGCCTGTACTCAAGGAATGCACTCACTCACGCTCATGTGACCCAGAAATTGTATTATTGTTGATCGAGAAAAACAACTCCTCTAAATCAAGGAAAGATTTAAGGTAAACCTTCACAATCAGGTTCTCAAAAACACCCACTCAAGTGCGGCAAAAGTGCGAGCTTTCAAAACACGCACAACGATGGAGGATTGTTGTTGCGGGATTGAGGAAAGATTATCGCCTATCAGGAAAGTTACGGCATATTCAATAAATTCAATTAATTTTTTTTGTCAACTTGCTTTGTATTGCATAATATTGTAATCACAAATTCTTCGTTTCCCGCGAAAAAATACACAAACTTTGATAATCGTTTCCCAAAAGCTCATTAGACCGGAGTCAGCGAACTTCGTAGAAACAAATTCATAACAAATTCATAACCTTCTGCGATCACTTTATGAGTTTGCTAATGCATCAATATGACGTGTTTATTGCACTGTCTGCACACATTCCAGCCGGCGAACAGGCGCATATTGCTCGCAGGCGAAACATATTGCTCGCAGGCGAAACACACTTTGTACATACAGTCCACTGGTACAATCAGTGCGGCCGACTTGGCGCATGCTCAGTGATACGAAACCGGCCGTCGTAGTTAATTTTTTTGTACGTATAACAGTAGGTGGAGGCCGCCCTTAACATCGAAATCGGCCAGTTTGACGCGTAACATGTTTGTGCCTAATGTCCCGCCTTGAATCCTCGTCAGTGATTGGTGACAAAAAAGCACATCGCCAGCAATAAACATCAGTGGCCAATAAACGATTGCGACATATGAGAGTCAGCCATCAAGGGCCTTGTGTGACAATATGTGCAAATTTTTTAAACATGTCTGCTTGAATCTAATTAAACTTTCCCCTCCTGGTCTCGATGTGGTAATTATTAAAACCTGGGGGCGGGGGACAATTATATGCATCAGGCCGATTTGACTGGACCTCTGAATTGGTATTTAGCAGTTGGTGAAAACGTCACGCTCATAATGTTGTCATGTTCTTCTGCGGTCCTAACGAGTCCTCAATCCCGATAATGCTCTAAGCAATCGATTTTTATGATTGATTTTTAACTGATTTCTTGGTATTTATTATTTTATTTTCATGGAAATTGTCACATATTTGTGCGCGAGAAAGATCGGGTATTCGTATTAACGTTTTTCTGGCTAGGCCCCACTTAGAAGAACCTCGACTCATCCGTGCTATGAATAAAAAATTTTATTGATCAGTTATATCTAATAGAAACGACTAATCCCCTTTTTAATGGCTAAATAATGGTCGGCATAAGAATTTTATCTTCGCCTGAAAACTAATATTGAGGTTATGTTTCTCACTCTTCAAATTTTTTTCGCATTCGTTAAATAATAAATTGTGTTGGATCAACTAAACACTTCAACTGTGTGACCTCAACTGTAGCTGGACCATCAAGCGGAAAGTAATCTTTGTCTTGCCCAGTCTCCTCACGAGCGTGATATATCGCATCTTGGACAGCGAACAAACAGGAAGATGACATACACTGAGGTGGTTCACCAGTAGCTTTAAACCACAAATAAAGCGAAGGGCATAATTGAATCGTAGAATTTATAAACTGATAATTAGCATAATATACTAATGTAAGCGCTTAAGAAAAGGTCACTGGCGCGACCTAATAATTATAGCGTGGGCTACGAATAAGAAAACTTGAGCCAATTTGCAATAAAATTGCATTTAAAATACTCCTAAAATTGTATACATATAAATCCTTCGCTTTTCTTATGCATGTTGTTTAGTTTTAAAAGTCGGAGGAGTGCGAGTTTATTAAGTTGTGTCCGACGTATTCTTTTGTAAATGCAGAGTGCAATAGCTTACACAATAGAAATCCGTCTGACAGAAGCAGAACTGAATACACAAGTAAACGCCTCCCCCCCAATAGACCTTAAACGCCTCCCTCCCCCCTAATAGACCTTAAACGCCTCCCTCCCCCTAATAGACCTTATGCATAATGACGTAATAAGCGTGACACCTGCAGGGAATTCTAGTCTTAGTAGTCACGGCGGTAAATTTTGAATTTTGAAATAACCAGAATTCCCTGCAGGCATCACGGCTTGTTACGTCACTATGCATAAGGTGTATTATCATTCTAGTTACGCCACTGAATGAGGTAAATACTCCGCTTTTACTATTTTACAAACCTCTTTTGCTGGTAAATGCAATCTCATTTTAATGCACATAAATCAACAATACCACAAAATATAACGCCACATGACATTGAATTCCTCAATAAAGAACTTACTTTTTGAGCCAAGAACACCAAGCGGGTTTGGGGCATCTTTAATAAAGTTCACCCGGAAATCTATTGGAATATCTTTTGAAAACGGGGGGTGGTATTCCTAAAATAAAAGTAGGTATTTTCAAGTCGAACACATAAACTCTATTACGTTACACACGACGGAATAGAATTGAACTATAGCAAAAAAGTGTAGCTTGCCTCATAATTACACGCCATACTAATAATGGCATATTTTTTACCCATGCATTGAGAGGAAATACAAACCCATGTTCCATTGGTAAGTTCCAGACCAGACAGAGGATCATATATTGCTTTCTCAGTCAACCAATAACCAAGACCCATGATGAATGCGCCTTCCACTTGTCCAATGTCAATCTCAGGATTCATGCTGCAAAAAAGAACATCACTTATCATTTCCTCGCACAAATAATTAATAAATGGTTAATCCCCTTCCTCGCACGCTATTATCCAATATCAGCGGAATGCATATCAGAGACGGGAAGCCTGTCAGATGTGAATCCGGTCACAGACGGGTTTCTCGACCGAATTTTTCCGTCTAAAAAGACGGGTAAGTTGGACGGGAATTCCGTCTGGACGAGAAACTAGCCTTAGGCCTGATTCAGACGTCGCATTTCGACGGAAAAATCAGACGAGTTTCTCAAATATCAACACGGTCATGGGCGGAACAAGGCTAAATAATAAATAACCAAAATCATTATCGTAATAATTACGACACCCTATTTAATTGAGTTTCCCGTCTCTAATATGAGTATAGCTAGTATTGAAAATCAAGATCTGTTGGTTTTTGTAGTTTTATACACAATTTTCTACTGTGCAAGTTAACGGAATCACTGCCTACCCAGAGTTGCAAAAGGAGTTCAACCTTCCTCCAGTAGGATTTCAAGTTTTGAAAACCTTCCTCAAAATGACGTTACCTCACTAAGTCAAGTGGCAACCAGCGTAAAGAAGTATTTGGTTTTTTTGGTACGTGCATGTGATCAATTGGAGTGTTCAATTTTGAAACTTCCTCACAAACCTCATTCAAAGCAAACCTTCCTCCGGGTGGCACCCGCCTACTCGCAGCTTTTTTGCAACTCTGTGCCTACCTTTTTCCACAGTCAAACAAAATATCCGTTCTGAGTATTTCTGTCTCTCCAGTGAGCACATCAATCTCGGCCTCCGTACAAGTCGCGGCAAAAATGTTATAATTAAAAAACGGCTGAGGAGGCTTTGGCAACAACCTAAAAAGAAGCCAAAAGGTGAAGCTACGAACAAGGAGTGCAAAGATGGCGCTGTTCACATTTGCCTCGAACTATATTGAGATCAGTGACACACCCAGCCAATTAAGAAACAGGCACCAGAGTATGAAAATTGCAAAATTCATCATTTAAAACAGTAAATTCTACAAGCACTACATATAAATACATACATGTATTTTGCAGACAAATCAACACCCTTTTCATAACACTTGTTAATGATCTCAGGCCATGTGGCTTGTGGCATATCTTTTGCTACGGGTAATATTCTTTCCTTGAGCATATTGCAGCAATGTATGACCGCCTGCACAAACACAAGATACAGTTTTTAAATAAGTTAAACGTGAAATAATGTTATCATCATGTATTTAAATTCTATATAGGATGCTCAGGATTTTGAAGGGCTCCCCATTCTTTTTCAACTGAAAATTAACTGTTTCAATGAATTTCAATATTTTTTCCGTTCGTCTTCTCAGTTCAGCCAGTAAAAAGTTTAATCAGGCTTAATAGTATTTGCCAAAAATGCCGATAAACGGATAGTAAAATTCCTCTGAATTATAGATGTCCACTCCATTTCATACAAGGAATGTTTTGACCTTGATAAATGTTATCTTTTCAAGATTTCCTTTGATGAATTCTCGAAGCAACTTTTGATGGCCATGGTTCAGTCCCTCCCTTTCCCTCAAGACTAGGATTCTAGAAAAATACCCCTTCCATTGCCCCACACCACAGAAAGGCGGGCCAAAGGCCTGTTTGGCTTTTAAATAATACTAGTACTTCACCTCCTACTCAAACTCAGACTAAAAGACTAATGTATGACTAATGAGTTAAAGTTGTGTTGCCGTTACATCGTTTAAGCTAGAAAAATGAAAACTCATCACACCTCACAGCATAATTCACTTGTTATACTTCCCCCAGTTCCTGCACCTGTGAACGAAAAAAATGTATTTCAGGGGATCGTTCATAATACTGTGTTGACCTCTTTCAATAGCGGAATTCACTTATGAGGGACACGTTAAAATACTGACTTCAAGGTCAATATCAGTGAAAAGGCACTCGAGTTCTCCCCGTAACACAAAACACATCGTAGGTTGGGAGTTCCTCATGATAAGTGCCACGATGATTTTATCCCTATATAATTGACTTCTCTGAACATATGAGTTTCACGATGGGACGTCTACAGAGGGCGGGGGTTCAAAACTAGTTCTATGAAAATAAGAAAATCTACTGAGAAATGTGGAACTAAAGGATTTCTCTGATCTCATCTTGGCTCTTGTTTAATGCTTTGGCCAAGTGTTTCATCATTGTTTCTGTAATAAAAGCCACTGGCATTAATGTCCCTGAAGAATCACAGGAACGCATTTTCGTGAAGAAACGTGCAAGAATGTACAAATATTCCATTATTCCTTCCTCAATCAGTTATTATGTTTGCGAGGTATTGGCCTCTAGGCCCAATTTAGGGCATGTTTACATGGAGCTAGTTATCCTGGCTAGGCGAAGTAAAAAGCGCATCAAATGAAATTAAAAGTTGGGTTTTCCATATAAAAATAAGAAAATCTACTGAGAAATGTGGAACTAATTTACATACCATTTGGATTAAGAAAACTTGTTGCTGGTTTAATTGCGATCTTATCAACAGTCAGACCAAAGCCGAGTGTGTAAGCAGCGACTTGACAAACCTGCAGTTAGATAAAATTAAAAATATTCAAAAAAGAGTATCGCGGCTTTGTATCAGTAATTATATCGGTATAAAAATTAAGACAATTTGGGAGCTCGAAAAAACCTCTCAGAATGAAAAATCGAAATGGGAAAAATGGCTATAAGTAAATGAAATACACATGCAGCATGCTTGTCGTTGCATGGATTGAATCACATAAATAAACAGTCTAAAACATGATGTGAAGGGAAAGCAGGCCTCCAATAAATGTTGTTTTAAAATTTAATGTCTTCCATATTATCTGCATGCTGAATAATTTGATACCTGAGTCATACTTCTGCAACAAAATTTCATTGGGACAAATTTATGGGGGGGGGGGGGGACGGGGCTGGTTGCAGACATAAAACAGGAAACAAACACACAACAAACAGACGACTTTATATAATTTAGTTATGTTATCATGCACCAGCTAAAAGCCACCTCAACAGCGGGCGAGACTTCCTCGCTGATTTGGAAAAATGCAAAAGAAAAGATAGAAGAATAGAATAAAATAACATAATTATAAATCAAACAGATGCTATGAAGTTGTAAGAAGTGTATAAATTACATACGAGTATTCTATTAACAAGCAATACATATTCACATGGTATACCTTTGTGTCTATCCCTTGTCCTATTTCAACCCCTCCATGTGATATGGCTATAGTGCCATCTTTACGAAATATTGCGACATAAGCGGTAAACCGAACGCCTGGGTGATACCCAACGCCCCATCTCAGTGGCACTATACTCATTCCTCGCTTACGCCAACGATTTTCCTTGGAAAAACAAGGTAAACAAAGATTACCAAGATTATCATTAAAAATTAAAAATTAACATAATAAGACAAAAACACCGCCAGTAGGTCTAAAAGCCACGTGACCGGTGAACCTGAATATACAATTTAAGTCCCGTTTACACTACAGTCAATTTATCGGCACGGCAAGGCTAAAAATGGTACCCGTGCTCAATATTACTAGTGCTCAGGCTACCAAAACAAAGGCCGGGCACGAATGAAGTGGGCACGGGTACCCATTTTAGCCGTGCCGTGCCAATAAATCCAGTGTTGTGTAAATGGGGCTTCAGACGATAAACATGACATTTATATGGCCTGGAGGTACTGGCTGTATTACTTTATCGGTATTGGAGTTCACTGACTGGGACAGTCCCAGTCAGTGGGACGATGCGAAAGTGACGAAAATAAAGTGTAAACCAAACCTTGTTAAATGATTCAATAGCAGTTCTACGCTTTTCAAATTCACTTGATTTCTTCAAATCTGCAATTAAATTTCAACTGAGTATAACAAATTTGAAGTGTGTTGTTATTAATTTACTTCAACTAAATTTGTATGTCAGCGACGAATTACCGGAAAAAAAATGATTCACACTTCGCAAATTAGTTGACTTTCTTCGATAAATAAATTGATATTAAATGATAATTGTCAAAATGAAAAGAAAGCAAGAACAAGCAATTCCCGGACTTTCTATTAGATTTCAAGTTTGTTAGACCGTTCAATAAACTCTTTACAGTCTCACCTTGCCATATTTCAGACATGTTGCAAAAAGGCAGATGTTGTTGATAGTAGGTTGTCTGGAAGAAAAAAAATCGCCTTTCGTAACATGCAATAGCTGTGTATATATTCTAAAGGTTTTTAAAGGGCTTTAATTTCCAGTGGAATCATTTCCACTCAAAATTGAGATCCTTTAAAAAAACCTTTAGAAATTACCTACATCGAGTGAAGTGCCACAAAATCGTAATTGACCGTAACAAAAAAGATGGCGGCATGTACATCTTACCAGAATGCATTGCGGGCATTTAGAATGATTGACTGAAAAAAGATGGCAAGGAAAACACTTAATTACGTGAAATTTTAACACAGCGAAGAAAATAACTTCCTGTTTTATGCCTGTCCTTTACAAGACGTCAGTTCGCTTTTTTAAACGATTTCCGACCGCAATGCATTCTGGTAATATGTACATCCACCATCTTTTTTGTTATGGTCAATTAATTTATCCTCAGTTGTGTACATATTGAATCTTTGTAAAAGACGTTTTAAAAAAAAGACAAACCTGTCCTTTCTGGTAGAAGTTGATTTCTCTTATCTCTTCTTGGCTCTTGTTTAATGCTTTGGCCAAGTGATTCATCATTGTTTCAGTAATGAAAGCCGCTGGTAATGTCCCTGAAAAATCACAGGAACGCATTTTCGTGAAGAAACGCGCAAGAATGTTCAAATATTCCACTAGTTCTTCCTCAATCAGTTGTAACGTGTGATCAGATGTTTACCAAAATCAAACGGCGATGCTATCAAATAAGTAAATGACTTGGATACAACTACTGGCAATTTAGTTACCCTCAATATGAGCATTATGTTTGCGAGGTATTCGCCTCTAGGCCCAATTTAAGACATGGAGCGAGTTATCCCGGCTAGGCAAGGGAAAAAACGCATTACATCAAAGGCTTAACCTGATTAGTCTTACATTATATGCAGTTTTTCACCTCGCCTAGCTGGGATAACTCGCTCTATGTAAACAGACCCAATTTAAACATGTCAGTGTCATCCAAATATGATAAGGACGCGTGGCAAAACGTACTACATTTTCAAACGTCAAACATGTGTTTTGAAGCAAACTTGAAGCCTTGAACGGTAGCAGCTGCAGCAGTAAACGAGTGATTTGTTCAGGTGTGTCACAATATGTCGTTAGCTATAATTATACAGATACCTGGTGAACGTGTATAGGAATTGGCTGCTGTGTTAGTCTTGCAAGGTACGCCTTGAAATTTCCAATTTTCACAATAATACGCTAAAGAAGAACAAAACAATAGAGCCAATTATTAAACGATGTCGAGCAAAATATCGTGATTTGTCGGTGGCGAGCAGATTCAATTATTTGCCGCTGCCTTTGACCTTGATTATTGTTTATAAAATTGAAGCTAATGCGCATGCTCAGGGTATTATTTGCAGCTGAGTAACGTTTTTAACAAATTCCTGTGCACCACAACTCTTGGGAGACAAAACTGTGACGTAGATAAATACGGTCACATACCCTTTTCAAATACTAGTATATTTCGCGTCAAAACACAGTTGCGACGACGAAAAATAATAAAAAAAAACAAAATCTAGGCGAATTTTCAACTCCGTCGTTGACGCCGGAGTAATTAATTGAACATCCAAAAACGCAGGAATACGGAAGTCAGTTAGATGCCATTGACTGCTATTTTGTTCCTCTCAAGCAAAAAAGACAACTTGATGACCATGGACTAAGAACTCACCATTATCCAGAATCAGAGGGAAGAACATTAGTATACATTCAGTTGTCGCATTTCCACAAGCCGCGTAACATGTGATATCAATGCCTTTCAATAAGCCTTCTTCCGAAACACCAATCTAAATATTTTGTCAAATTGAAGGGAAGCAGAACTTTAACTTCATCTCAAACATTACAGTTATACTTACATGAAGTATTTCACCAGGGCTAAAAACTCTTAGATCGCGGTTTAACAGCATCGAACGTTGTGTTCAGACTTGTCAACAACATTGAACGATATTGTTGAAACCGATTCGGGTATAAAAGAATACAAAAATGTTGATAGCTAACAACTGTGAAGACTTTGGGCGTGTTCAATCCTGCCCAAATCAACTAATTTCGTTTGCAGGAAAGATGCCGGAAAGGCTAGGATTCCGCCCGCTGCTGATTTGTAAAAAAATAAATAATAATTATGTCCAACGACGACGTTTAACTTAAAAATATTACTAAATGTGCCTCAACTAGTATGCCCCATTTCATAACGATCAACTAGCAAAAAACTTTGCGCGGATTAAAATTTTGAAAGGTTTTAATTTGCCACGTCAGTGTGAAAATACCTTGTACTTTGCGAGGTAAGAAAATCTCTTCCCAACCATTTCCATGTTGGTTTTGAAGTTCATTCTCAAACGCACAGGTCTAAAACACGAGTTTATTTAGTAGATTTAGATCAACCGAATCAATACAGATTATAAAAGGTCGTGTTCTATTCACAAAATCTTTAAAACCAAGATTATTTTGTCAATTACCTGTTCATGACGTAAGCCGCCAGAGCACAAGCGCTTGAGTTGACTGCAGCACGAAAAATTTTCCCACCATAACCTCCACCACATCGCTTGCATGAAACACTGACACTAAATTAATAAGATGGATTCGAGTATTGTAGCCTTATAAATATTTAGAATGCCTTGCGGCTGTCCTGGTATTATTGTGTTTCTTTCAACATTTGTGGACAAAATTGTGTCTATTAGATTTCGTAACACGTATCTTTAGTTGAAGGCGAAATGATTTTATTATCAGAGAATGGTGAGCAGATTAATTATAGAACCATAAAAGGACGTCTGATAACGCCTCGATAAAATTCTAGACTTTTTATCTTATTTTTTTGCGAAATACCGCTGGCGCAAGCCGCCGCAGACTGTTTTTGGTATTGTTTTTATTAAAGTTAGAATGATTAAAGTTAATTTTTTTTTATTAAAGTTTGAATGAACTTTAGTACCTTACGGGTCAGTTGTTTAAAAGACTAGTTACTTTAACTCAGTGTACGTAAGGGCAGAAATGGGCTATCGAAGTTGTGTATTTCTGACTTGACTAGGATTTAGCTATACAGAAATTTTGTTAAAGAGTTTTATATCAACAGCCCCTATTGGTAAAAATGATGTATCCGTGAATGGTGCATTCAGATTATTGGAAATCATGGAAATCAAGCATGTTATACGTATCATAATAGCCTGCTGCTTGCTGCTTTCAAATATTGAGTCTCAAATCAAATATATATATAAATAGTCACTAACATACGAACATAAAAAGCCGTAGGCATGTAACCTACCTGTTCACTGGTATGTTCAAAACCTGAGCTATTGACATCTGAGTGGTCTTAGTAGATTGTGTCGCAGCGTAGACCTTCATCTCTTCCTCGCTTGGGATACAAAGACACGTCTATTTGAAAAATATTTCAATTAAGGTACGTACACACGAAAATATCTACCAAAGTGAAACCGATAGCAATACAGACGTACGTTAAGAACTACTGAATTTTAGATTTTAAACAAGATATCGATGAATGAATTAATACATACGTGTGTTTCCATGTGAATGTGATGTTGTGTCCCTAGTGAAATTTCCCCAGTGATAATATGCGTTGATGACGCCATAGCTCCTGTGAAAAATAAATCTCGTGCATAAAGCATGAAACAGCAATGAAAGTTTAAAAAGTTTAAATGCAATTAGGGGAAATCCAGTAGAAAAGGACGTCGAATTTATTTGATGTCCTAGACGAATACTTCCGGCAATTGCCAGCTGTTGGAGCAAAGCTGGATTTACTGTTTTGCTAAATGCACCAGCAATGCTTTATTGCTTTCTTATTTTCTTTTACACGCATCACTGCTCAATATCACGAGTTTTATTGGTGAACGTTTATGATTTAACAAAATTACTGAACACTTCAAGAACGGCGTAGCCCTTGGTAAAACACGAAGTTTTACTAAAAACACGCCAATTTTTAATGTCAATGATCGCTCGACCCCACACCTTGCGACAACTAATACCTATTTTCTATATTAATGCGTTTCTGAAATCAATGCTGCATGCATATTCTCCCACAAACTCAATTTGAAAACAAATTACAATTTATTTCTTACCATCAATATCGCCAAAGGTTTGATTTACAATTTGATCTGAGAAAAATGACGAGGCTTCAATTGCGTCTTGGATTGATATGATTGGTTTCTTGCAGTCGGTATACGTTATCTTCACCTTCTCAGCAGCTTCATCGGCCAAGCTTTGGCTCACTAGAGTATACATATACACACGTATGATTATAACCATATATTTTCTGTTTTCTCGTACTTACAACTGCACATAATTTTTTCATTATCAACTGCACATTTTTTTCTTGCGGTCCGAATTCATATTTTAGCGTTGGCTCTGTGCTTTTGAATCTCGCGCGGTCCGTACGGCCTCATACGGATCGCTCGCGTAACCAATCAGATTGCAGGAAACGCTAAAATATGAATTCGGACCGCAAAGAAGAAAAAAAACAACCTTATTTTTATGACACAGTTGAAAATTTCCACGTTCTCGATGTGGTGGCAACACAGTAGGTCAAAGTGGTAGGCACAGAGGTTGTCTCTCGCTGGAAAAGGTTGCGTATGCAGCCCTTGTTACTGCTGCAGTGCATGACCATACGTACTTGCTATGATCATTCCAACTGCCTGGCCGGCATATTCGACATCGTCTTCACAGAATATTTTTTCCTTGCTATCAGGCACAAAATTATTCTCACCAGGAATATCTTTTGCAGAAATATATCTTAATACACCGGGTATTTTCTGTAACAAGAAGGACTGGTTATTGCTGTTGAGCCTGCAAAACTATATAGTGAAGGAACACTAAATGGTTTCTCGTGTAGGACAGCAGGATAGCGTGATACTGCACGCGGGATATTGCGAGACTTTCGGAAAGCGTTGTAAACTTACTAACCAATCAAATTGCGTGTTCCATTGTAGTTATTGTATAATGCTTTATCCTACATATCTCACAATGTAAATAATATTATTATTCCATTTGAACTGAACATGACCCACAAGTAAGTCTAAGTATGTTTTCAATAAAAAATGTGTACAAATGCTATAATAGTCCTTTTCCTCTACCGCACAATGCCTGACGGTAGTGATTTATCAGAGTCACTTTGATGCGAGATTGTTTGTGTAAGGAATTTCTAGTACCATCATAACTGAAATTGAAGGTCTATTCGCCTTGATTCCGCACAGAGCAAATACTGGAAACAAAAGCGATGCCCCCCCCCGAGAAGGGGGGGCGACTGCTCCTGTTTTCAGTACCGTTACTGTACGAGTCGTGCACGAATCATGAAAACAGTACATACAGTACCGATATTAACTTCATATAGCGTCGCTGAAATGGGAATGCTAATAAAAGATTGCATCACTTTAACTAATATCGATCAATATTAATTTTCTTACCAAAACTTCAGATACGTCCACGCTCGATAGTTTACAGTTACCCTTGAAAAACAGAATACAACAATGATTTTAGCAGGATGTTAAAATTAGGGAGAGCACTGCATAATTTCGGTGTACCATGCTGAAATGTTCCGCTGATTTGCTGCAAACGATACAGGAAAAAGTTCAATTAGAATTGTCTGGATCTTTTCCTGGCATTTCCCAATTCGTTTTTCCAATTCAATTTAATTTACATGACATGCACTGCCAATGATCCGAAATGTTTAAAACATATATCTGAAAAGTTTGGACTGCATGTCGTATAGTTTTTCACAAGTACAGCTATCTCTCTTATTGAAGACTTCATAGATTTTTTCAACAGACCCTGTGTTCTTATTACCTTTGTCGTTGTAACAAATGCTCCATAAATTTCTCCCTCTGGCCTGGGTATATCATCTATGTATTCAGCCTCGCCTGAAGCCTAAACATTTATTTACGCAGATTAATTTATAGAAACGATACACCTTCTTGAGAATAAATTCACAAAAATCTTTTAGCCTCGTTCCTAAACGTAAAGAAAGGTAGGCATTGGCTCATGGGAGCGAGACACTCTAGCTATAACGCCGGTTTTCCACTAGCGATATTTTTTGCGCGAAGCGACTTTATTTCTTTGTATTTGAGCAATTTGTTCCAGATGGTTGCATTTGAGAGCTCTGGAACAAAAGTAAAATGTCGATTCGCGCGAAAAATATCGCTAGTGGAAAACCGGCTTAACTCCTGTGTCTAAATTAAAATTAATTACCATGTGGCAAAACAAGGATATTCGCGGGTAATTATAATAACTTTTCTTAGAGTAAACAAAAAAATAAATTCAAAAATTACACCTACGCCTATTTTCACTGTTGGCAACTTAATTTGCGCGAAAACCGAAATCCGTCCAAGTGATTGGCTGGCGAGATGATTTGTCAAGAAAGCTTTAGGATCGCTTTATACTTTTTATCCGTTTGCGTGGATAAAGAGGTGTGGCAGGTGGAACGGATTTAAAAAGCATTTTAGAGAGGTTCACCATACCAATGAGAGTACACAAGCTAATCAAATGCGATATTGTCTTGCAGATTAATCAATCACGCGATTACTTTTTGCAGACTCAAAGTTTAGATATTTAAAATCTAAGAATAAAAAAACTTGCGATTGACTTTTATTTATTTTTTACTTTTGAAGTTATGACCCAATGCTAAAACGTGTGAGCAATAGGAGTTATACAGCAGAACAATTTATATTTTAGTGTTACGGTTTAAACATACATTATCTTTGGAATACATTATAACTACATGCAGTTTTTTATTATACATAGTTTCCTTGATGAAACCAGTCGAATTTCTTCTTCCAATCATAATCCTGTTTTCCAATAAGAACTGAGTTTCCAGATTCAGTCTTTCTTGGCTCGATTCCTTTTCCTCCAACCAAAGTTATTCCGCGCTTGCAGAAATAACGAGGATCACAGTCGCCCGACACTGACATTACGAAGTTTACCTTCACGGCAAAGAAGCAAAATCCAATCAGAAGAATCTTCAAAAGCATTTCGACCAATCGTAAAGAATTAGCTAAACGTTAATAAAAAAATGCAAAAATTAATAAATTGTACAAGAATGTTTTGCCGAAAAATGTAAAATTAAAAAGTATTTAATCTAAGCATATATTCGTTCAGGTATTTAATACTATATGATAAAAATGAGCATGTTTGAAACTAAAAGAAGATATTTGAAACTTTTAGAGTGAACAATCTCGATTGATGGAAACTCTCAAGAGGAAAGCAGCCTTTTGGGGCCAAATGTATAAAAATGTAATCGAGCAACGGAAATTTTCAAATCGTAAATCAGTTATATATAAACGATAATGAAACTGACCGCTTCATTTGACAACGCCACGTTTTTTACGAGCAAAAACTGCTTTGAAAATGTATTGCTTGCATCGTGACCATACAGCCTGGGCATTAGTGGCATAACGACATGTTTTCATGGATAGAAATAACACAAGAACTTCATGTGAAGTTATATTACAGTTTAGAATAGAAAAAAGAATACACGTGTTTTCTACTGTACTTACTTCTTGTTTTCACATCTGCTTCCAAACACTTGGCGTATGGTGTCCCAAAAAGATAAACTCCGCATATTTATAGCATTCTAGCTTCTGCACGCCAAAGGCCAGGTGGGATTTTCATCACGTTTTATCACACCAGGCCCGTCAAACGTTGGAAAGTGAATTTCCACGAAACGCAGAGATTTCAATTAATATCGCCGTATTTTTTCAGCATCTCTTTTTTACCGCTCGGTTGCATCGCGTGTATATAGGAAGAACTTGCCATTCTAATTGCGAAATTTACCGATTTCGTAACATCTTTTTATTAAACGATATGTTGCGTGTAACGTTCAGCCCACAACCTTGGTCAAATCATCTCATTTATTATATATATTAACGCGGTCATGCTATGAAGCGAGTTTCCATTTTCTTAAAAGCATCGACTCTTGGAAACGATCGAAATGTAGTTCCGATTAATATTTAACAGGCAAGAGCTTTTTTAAAATTTATCTATTATATCAGTTCCTGAAATCTTTTTGAAATAAGGTAGGATATTGGCTTACTATGTCAAGCAAACTAGTAGAAGATTAGGCCACCAAGAGCGAATTTTTAGAGATGATAATGAATATTTTACATGACATGTTGTGTCGGTGAAGAAGACAAAGGGAGACCATGCAGAGAGGCCGGCAGAATGTTCCCATCATGCCAGCTACTTTTAATCTAATAGATTTTACACAAAGGATTTTCACAAAGAAAGCCAATATAAATAAATTTAATCCACAATTATTTGATTAATATTAACTAACTATTCTTTACTTAACTAGTCTTGATAAAAACCTCATTATTGCACGGGGTCACATAACGTTCAAACAATCTAATAGGACTTGTATTTCCTGAAGCGAGTCTTTGATTACTTTAAAACAAAGACAATTCAGTTAAAGTGCCCATGTCATAAAATTGGAATTTATATCATTAGAATCGCCGTGAATCGTATTTTACAAAAAATTGTAATCACATTTGAGTGGGGGCTGTCCTGTGCCCTTTGCTACCATATAAAATTGTCATAAATTTAACATTTAATTATGATGCCCACTTTTCGCATAGAAACTAACTGGTAATGTTATTGAAAATGCGTTCTCCCGTGGATTTGCAAGTTCGCATGTACTTGTAAATTAGAGTTTGCTCTTCGTGTGGTTGCTAAGGTAAAATTAATGTGCCCTTTTCTGAAACTATGCTCCCGCCGCCCTAAACTGCTTCCGGCGCCTCTGTATATAAGTATATACATATACATATATATTATACACCTAATGTATGCTCCCGAGGGAAATAGTGCGTTTTGTTTTCCCAAGAGGTTTTTAATTTAAAAAAAAACACTTCACTTTGTTATGACAAGAAGCGGGCAACAATTTTTCACTTGTTTCCCTGGCGGGAAACATGCATTGCATTTATGTAAATTCATGTGACTATACGAATGAATCAATCACATTTAAAATACACAGCACCTATATGTACAACAAATTACATTAATACTATTATTATGATTGAGGATTTTCTGTTGCTCATGAGTGCCGGTATTTCTACAATGTGTTTATGTGTAATTACATCACGCATGTCTGTGTGATTCTCTGGTTTAATTTATTTTCATTACAAGTCAACTGGGCTAGAGTATGAGTAGAGTTCCCATGCACTTTTAAAAAAATGAATTCAATGAGAGTTATCGATATTAAGTGAGAAATCTAACACGTCTCGCGCAAAAGAAACATATAAAATTATGTGCATATAAATATAACCCCGAACATTTCGCTTTTATTATGGCATCTTTTTTGACAACATTCTTTAGCTGTCTTTACTAAAATGTGCGCACTCGCAGCTTTTGAGACGTTATTTACTGAAACTTTTATCTGTTAACTTAAACACTGCTTTCGTGTTTACAACACATTGGCACATGCAATTGGTCATGACTCATGGCGTATTTACAATGCACGACTGTTGCCAGGAGCGTAGAATTATTAAAGACATTTCACGACACATTTTGATAATATATGAGTCACTTTATACAGAATTGTCTGTTAAGTAAGAACAACCACTTTTTTGCGCGGTTAGCTTCTAATATTACTCCATGCATGCAATAGAGTTACTAAATTGTCGCGTCGAACGATTCCCTTTTGTGACGTCAAACACCTTGTTTCGTACCAGTCTCATTTGCGCGGTTTTCAGAGTTTTCATTCCACTAAAATCAATGTTTAGATGGCAATAACTCGAAAAATAAAAATCCAATTTCAATTTTGATTTAGAACTTACTAACTCATTTCAAACAAAAATTCTAAAATTCTAAAAATTCGCATTTTATGACATGGGCACTTTAATTCAATCCCAGAATTTAATGTCTGGGTATAATTATATTGTGATATAAATTTAATGTTTTGCAAAGAGATTTCTTTCTAATGAAAAAATACACCACATATATATTGACCAATATAATAACGGTCGGAAATTCTTCACACATTTCAGCGGTATGGAATCACCACTGTTACCACGACAACATGCAGCAATTACGTCATATTTATGGTGCCTGACTGTTAGAATGTAGATTTAAAATGCAAGATACTAATTAAATATCCTAATATAGTGCATATCGATTTAGATAACGGGCTTCTCGTTAGAATTAGATGACGGAGAATTTTTTTTTTTTTGAAATGTGCATGAAGAAGTTGGGGAGTGATGGTATATGTTGCACCCCAAACGATAATTCTCTTTATATGCTTGTTGTTGTAGATTTACTATAGAATAGGCCAGCAATGATATATATTCAGTTTGTTAATTCCAAGAACCTTTATTATCGAAAGTAATTACTTCATAAAGCTGCAAAGCTGCTACAATGAATTCCGCTTTTCTGGTATCTTAGCGTAAAAGGTTTTCTAAAGATGTCGATACTAAGATAAATCGACTTTAACTTTAATATTCTTGTTAACTGACGGCGTCCATATAGGTAAACGCATTACTGAACAAAGAGTGAAAGAACGGCTTAATGTCTGGGGTCGGTTGTATGAAAGTCGGATAGCGCTATCCACCGGATAGTGATTTTTTCAATCGCTTTAAAATAGCCCGTTGTTTGCTATAACTTTGATTAAATCTTAGTATTCCTAAATCGAGTATCCTCTTTAATAATTGCTGGTTCGAAAAATGAAATTTTATCGCTTTTCGAGTATTTTTAGAACGGTTGAAAAAATCACTATCCGGTGGATATAGCGCTATCCGGCTTTCATACAACCGGCCCCTGGTGTCCTCGCTACAACTGTTTTTTCATTCGCTCCCCAAATGTACCTGAATCATTGCGTTTTTCCGGCTTTTACGACTGCAAGGGCCCTAGGCAAGTGTCCCCCTTGCCCCCCCCTCCATGAACTGCTGCTCAACGTTATATAAATAAATCTGCAACACATAAGTCATGTTATGCCAACCATTTATTGAGAATAGAAATAAATGAAAGAAGTCAGAATATAATAATGGCCTAAGGATATTCATTTGGTATAGTGGCTGAAGTAGATTGGTAGTTATTCCGTAAACAAATCAAGTATATATATAGCATTAACTTATAACATATATATATTAACAATTATGTTTCGGAAAATTGTTTACTGGTAAGCGGTGGTCGACCTTTAATAAGTTTCTTATACTCTGAGTTAGCCATAGATCATTCTTGAAATATAGGATCATCATTATTGTTTTGAGTGATTGGTTTCCTGAATAAAGCCATTTGGATTTTATTCTTCCAATTTCCTCTTTCGGTAGGGACTGAGTTTCCAAATTCAATCGGCTTTTGCTGCATCTTGTTTCCTCCAACCGAATCGATTCTATCAGTGCAGAAATAAACAGGATCACAATCTTTCTCAAGTGGCATACCGTAGCTCATCTTTATGGCGATAAAACAACCAATCACGAGAAACTTGAAAAACATTTTGACCAATCAGAAAGAAACTAAACACATAAGAATTGAAATATTATAAGAACTTTCATATTATACATAAAATATAGTTAAAAAGAGATTTAAATTGCTTTAAGAAAAGATGGGATGCATGCAAGATGGGATACTTGGTATATAACATGTTTGTTTAAACTTTAAACAGATTGGATATAATGATTTACTCCTAATTTAGAATGATGAAAAAAGTATGTAGCTTCCTAATGACTTTTCCTTCTTTTATAAAGCGATAAATTATTTCCAATAGTAATACGTTTGTGATTAGAAACAAAATTAAAAAAAAAAATGCATAAATCGATCGAAGATGGATATGCAGAAATCGAACTTTGCAGATCGCTGTAATTTTACCTAATCGCATGCATAATTATTAATATATATATGTAGCCTACATTTTGAACTTATAGGAATTAGGAACAGTATAATAATTATTCACTGATACAAAAAAAAGCTGATCACATACACTTACTTTTTAACGATGAACAGTCTTTCAAATACTTGGTGATTGTTTTTAGACGAAAATCAAACGCAAATCCACATATATATATAGCCTTTTCCCCGTGAAAAAGTGAAAAATATAAGACTTCCGCACGCCACAGGCCAACTGGGAACGTTGTTTCATCACACCAGTGGCCGTCCATGGTTGCACTGTGAGTTTTTAATCTTTGCAGTGGTTCAATTAAAATCGCCATGTTTTGCTATATTTTCGTGGAGCATTATAAAAAGAATAATTTGTTTTCTATATTTAAAAACACATTCTTTTTCATGCGGTGAAAATTCAATTAAAAAAAACTAGCTGCATGTAAACACTCAGCAGATATCGCTCAATAACATTAATGCATGTGAAATAAAGCAGTATTAATTGTGTGAATATTAATTTCGCCAAACATAAATACCGCAATACGTTGATATTAACTGGCATTCTTTTTTTTGACACGAATTTCGTGACAAATATTTATGAAAATTTTCAATTAGCTACAAGTATTCATCATTTATTCATTTCAACAAATATATCATGTTGCTTAGGCGTGTTGATCTTCCTTATTTGTACTGCAGAATTTTAGGGAAAATATTACACATGAGTTTTTTTTCTAACACTTCATAGTAAACAAAATTATCAATAAAAATCTTTTTAGCCAATCAGAAACGAGGAAATTGTTTAATGGCAACAGTTCAAGAATCACCTCGCCTCTTTACGCGCGAATATTTTCCTTGATTGTCGTCAACTCTAGCTTTCAATTCCTGGGTTTTACGAAATTATCTTTATAAATGACTTCGCCAACGCAAACAAAATATTAATTGAACGTGGGTGAAACTGTTAAAAGCAATCGTACGTCATCCCTTACTCCTACTCATTTCTTTAACAAAACATATAGATACATGCATAATATAAATATAGAAATTCATTAATACTAACAGATAGTGTTTGGGCATCTTCGAAAATAATAAGAATGATGAAATATAAGAAAGGAAAAAGAATATTTTACAGAAAGAGATTTCACACCTGGCGACCGACCAGACTTACATTGTGTAGCGAAACCGCACAATAAGATCTATAAAGTTGCACATTTTTTTGCACAATTTCCGTCAATTAAAACTTCACCCTTAAATGACAATGCAAGTTATTTTTTTTATCTTAATGAAAAAGAATATAGAAAATTCCAACTGACATGTCCACACCGGAAATAATTCATAGCAGTGGCGTGGTCAAAATATAAAACCTTTCTTTAAAATTATTATTTGGGAAGGGCAACGCTAGTGATTATCCCACGTTTAACGTAGGAAAGCTGAAGCCCCATGCAGTTAAGGATACTTATATTTATTCATTTGATTGGTTGATAGCCACGTGAGCAAGATAGCGTGTTACATACCTTCCACGTGCCTGAGGGGGGAGGGATTGTGTCTTGTTTGTTTGGTTGATTGTTGCTTGGGGACAGTATAGGTAATTTGGCGTAATAAAAGGCAATTTTTAGTACTTTTAAAATAAATCTCAACTAAATCTTAACGCAAGGGAGCCACTTCGACGCCAATAAGTATCTACCTAATGTGAACGAGTTTTGTGATTGGCCTTTTGTAACAATAGTGAACAGTGTTTATGATTCGTTCTTTTGGAAATCAATTTCTATAGTTCATTGTATTTTATTGTTATCATAAAGCTTGTTCATATAGGTACGTACTGACTCTCGACGCAAATGCCAGCCTCATACTCGACCCTGGCGCTGCTGATTTTTTGAAAAAACCTCGAATGCATGGTACAATAAAGTTTGCCTGTATAAGACTTTTAAATATAATTTTAAACATTTGCTATTTGATTCACAAACAAGATAAACGTTCCCACGGTTTTTCACTTCCGGTTTGATAAATCAGTTTATTGAAATGTAATTGTGGATGAAAATGAGGCATTCGTCGTGTGCAGTAACGGCGGTACGTGGCGATTTCGACACAATCTGGGCGTAATTAAGCGAAGGTCGCGAAAGATAAAAAATTTCATGCATGCATATGGCATCAAAAACATGCCGAAACCTGGTTAATTATATACATGCTAAAGTATAACAGTAGGATACTTCGTACTCGCAAAGTTAAAACAATCAAATTGCAATTACCTGTAATTTTGCAGTGGTTTTCGTCATGGGCTGCGTCAAAGGAAATTCACTTGGAGTTGTATCAAAACTTTGTTGTCCTGAAGATATCGGTCTTACATACGGAACAGCAGCAGAAATCACTCTGGAACTTGCTTTATCACCAAGAAGACTAAGATAAAACTAATAAAAAGAAAAACAGAATTATTATAAAATAAACAAGATCTATTGTGTTTCAACAATTAGATTCTTGATCCAAAAAGGTTAGTTTTTATTTAGTCCGACGTAACTGGAGTTTTAAAATCATGTTTCCTCACACGGTAGCCCAAATATGAGAGAACTAAGCAGTCGCGTAGCCGTTCTGACGATTTGGCGCCGCTTAAGATCCCGCTTGGCTGATTACACTATACCGAATTCATAGTGTAAACCGAGCTTAATAAACACTAAAATCTTAGCATAAGGGAAAAAACCATCAGGCTGGCTAAGCTACTGAGACACAGTGACTGCATAGCATAAGTCGTCTTACCTTATAAAACAAAGAAAGAGCCAAACTTTTGCGATATTCTGCACTTGCAGTGAGTGGTGTTGACTCTGGTATAATTTCTTTACCCAATGCATTCATACAACCTATATTGTTGATATTAGAAAGTGAACTGGGAACGTAAATGAATTTACAATATATTTGTGGTGATATATAGAGACTAAAGGTAGACTAGGATTAAAGACTAAGGTAGACTAAAGGTAGAGTAGCACTAAGATAGTTATTGAACATCAAGAATTTGAACCAAATTTAAAACACTTGGGAATGATGTCTGTACCAAATTAAAAGGATTAAGTCAGTGTTGGTGTAGTCAAGATTATTAACTTGCACGTCGTGCTTTCCTGTTTTCAACGGAGAGATGGCACGGGTGAATTATAAATTTGTCCCATACATTTTGTCCAACTCTGACCCTAACGCTAACCCTAACCCTATAAATCCCCATATATATTGTATGGGGATTTATAAATAAATTAATTGAATAATTAAATAATTATACATATCAGAAGCGAGGGATATTTGGAGATTCGCAAAGTTTTCACAACGTGTTTTTGAAATTCTTACCTTTTAATGTTTCAGAGTCGAGAATATTCTTTCCTGAAAGATACTGCTGTGTACCGCTTGCCCGAAACTAAAGAAAATTTTAAACAGCATTTTATGACAAAAATGTAGTAAAAGTTTAATGAACACAAAACTCCGAAAATGAACTTTTTTTAATATATTCTCGAGCTTTTGACTGTACAATAGTCTGTGCATCCACCATTAAATATATTTTTGGCTGGTACTCATGCAAAGGATTACAACGCAGGCCTTTAGGCAGAGGTGTCGGGAAGTTTTTGTTGTCTAATTTACAATGATTTAATATTCGGTGCAATTATAATTACATATTACATTATAAGCCTTAAAAAATTACGCCGGATTTCGGATGTTCGATGATCGAAATGATTTTTTTATTAACCTATGTAATAAACAAAATTTCGCTTCATGTTCGCTGAGAAAGTCATATCGTCTTCTCGGTTTTTCTTAACGGTCAGAAGTTTATTCGTTTTATGTCACGTCATAGATTAAAAGTGCTGAAAACTCGAAATTGAGGTGCGACAGGACGAGAAACATACGTATGAAGTGTGGGTGTGATGCAATGGCGATTTCACACAACTGATCTCACGATCTCATACAACATTCATCATACCTACCGGAGAAAGCTTCACACCACCAAACATTAAACTTGGAATTCCTTTTATCGTATAGGTTGAGTCCATCGTAGCCTTGAATCCAGCATTGACGTACGCATGCGCATTCTAATGTAGGAATTAAACGACAATGTAACCAAGAGCTGCGTGGCAAGCTCGTCTAACAACGTCGCATCAAATGTGGTATAAACCAGACGAATATATGATTACGAAACCCCGGCTGTGTTAAAACATTTGTGGAAACATATTTTTTTGGGTGGGAGGGATTCAAATACATAAAATAATAAATATTGACCTAGAAGTAAGTTTCGTCCGTCGGCGCTGGGGGAAACAAGTAAATACGGAGAATAAAATCTCGTGTTCTGAAAAATTAACAAGCGCTTTTCTTACCTGGTGTCGTGGCATGATTTTAAAGGTGCTTACAAATTCATCACTGGCAGTAAACGGAATATCGATTCTGAGGAGCACCTGGAGAAAATTATATTACAACAATGACGATGTTAATGAAAAATTATTGGGGCAGATTGTATTTGGCCTGGACGGGAAAACGCTTACCTTGTTCCGCATGTCAACATTTAGAAAATCTTCCAAACCATAGGACTGTGTTGATCCATCAACTTTACCTAAAATAGAAAATTGTTGTAAAAAGTGTGTTTTGAAGAAGAAATGAGTCTTTAGTCTTTACCAATAACAACAGTGGCTCCAACAGCGCACATTATTATAAACATATCTGACGGAAAATCACGATGCTTGTGAATCATCATCAGATTTCCAGCCCAGCAGCCAACCTATTTAAGATAGAAGGGAAAATTGGAATTATTAGTCCAATATCATTCTGCTAAATGGTAACAAAATTAATGCATTAAATTTTGCTGTATATTACTTAAATTTGTTTGATTGGGCGTATTCTGCGGAAGTCTGGAATAAATCTGATGTTCTAATCTCGTTGAATTTGTACAAAACTGAAACCGATTCTGGAAATTATAAGGGAACGTTGTCCGCCCTGCATGCCCCGCACCCTTCGCTACTACTGGTTAACCAAGTTAACACAGGGAATGTTGACCCCCCTGCATATCCCGCACCCCTCGCCGCCACATGCTATCCTAGTTAACATAGAGAATGTTGTCCCCCTTGCATGCCCCACATCCTCACCCCCCCCCCCACATGCTATTCTAGTTAGCATGCTGAAGAAGTATTTTTAATAAATCGTGATATTTTTGTTAATACTTACATTTCTGACTGGGACGTTGGCAATCTAAAAAAAAATGAAAAAAATTACAAGGTGTATATTATTAATTAACAGCTTCATGCTTAGGTGGTAAGTAAGTACATGGAACAGTACCCTAGTTACACTGTGGCAGTGGCTGGTTGCTCGAAAGTCAGTGTAGTCTAACAACCGCAGTCGACGTTTTTATATCAACTCTATAGTCTTAAGGTGCGGTAATACGGTGAGAGATGTTGCAGGGAGAGATTTAAACGTGTGTGCAATTGTGAACAATGTTAAAACATATTGTTAAGGGTTTTTTCGGGAAAGACCTTGATTTGGAGAGGTTGTTGCAAGGTGTAAACAACAGGTGGGATAAATATTTCACTTTTTACGCCAGTTCATCAAAATTACATGAAATAGTAAATATTTTCCATTTTCGCCTGTTCCCCAATTACACGAGCTATTGTCTCATGTGATATCATGAAACACCCTGTGTGACCATGGGTAACATTCGCAACAAAACAACAAACTCAATGAATAACTTAAATCTTATACAACAAAAGTGGAATGATGCAAAATATGAATGAACGCGAAGCTCTAGGAAAATCGTATTAACGATATTCACGAGGAGTGAAGAAGCTGATCGAGTTTTAACTATAGTAACAAGCAAGGCATTCGAGCAAAACTTGTTTCAGCCAATATGTTAAAAAAGAAATATATTTACCATTATTGGTTAACAGAACTAACTGCTTTATTGTTCATAATTTCATAAGAGGAAATGTATATTTTGCCACATTTACTTTACCTTTTTGATATGAGTTGCAAGAGTTTCAAATGACTTGGATTTGGAAGAATTGGCTCTCAGCTCTCCAATCATTTTGTTTAGAGAGAGTGCTGCACCAAGTTGCAAAGCTGTCTCAGTTACCTGAATTTGCAGATTTGAGTTTGTCAAGCTCAGATTGCCGAGGATAATGCGGTACATTGGAATTGTAGAGTTAGGATTACTGAGATTAATAGAGGGATTAAGTTACTGGGATTATGAAGTTTAAGTTGGATGAGATCAGTGTGCATGCATGTGAAGCAGCAAATCTTGTTTAAGTTAAGTCACGTAACACAAACTACGGAAACAAACTATATTACCTGTACGGTATTTAGTTCAGGAACATCAGCAATATTAATGAAAACATCATAATTACCATCGTTTTTGTAAACACCTGAAATATATATGCAGTACTTCAGTTTCTTGTGCAACGATAGAATAAATCACAAGTAATTATAATTACAGCTCAAGTCGTATCTATCGAGTCAAGTTCATACTAGTGATACTACCAAACCCAATTTTGACGGAAAAACATAGTGTAGCCAGCCTGACGATTTAGTCCCACTATGCAAATACTATAGTGTTCATTGACTGTGAAACAATCAATTTCGTCAAGTGTCAATCAGTTAGGACGTTTTAGGTTGCATTATTATGAGAAGTTATAGAAAAAAAATTTTTCGCAAGAACTACCTTTTCCAGTGTTACCAGCGACCAATCTGATGGCCTCAGAGTGATGTGAATCCAGTATCGTATAGAGATCCTTTAAAGATGTAGGTTTAAACCATAACGGGCGTGCAGATATTTCTCCTTCACTGAAGAAACAACCTTGACATGTTTTAATCTCATCACAGCATTTTCTTTGACATCTGCGAAGGTCCTGGAAATAGTTCGAAACGTATTACATAATGATTTTTTTACCCTCATGGATACAGTTGCGAAAGAGCTGCAGGTATGTAGGAACCACCCAGAGGTATGGTAGTATGAAGGACCACCCAGAAGTATGGTAGTATGAAGGACCACCCAGAGGTATGGTAGTATGAAGGACCACCCAGAGGTATGGTAGTATGAAGGACCACCCAGAGGTATGGTAGTATGCAGGAACACCCAGAGGTATGGTAGTATATAGGAACCACCCAGCGGTATGTTACTACGCAGGAACCACCAAGAGGTATGGTAATATGCAGGAACCACCCAGTGGTATGGTAGTATATAGGAACCACCCAGAGGTATGTTATTATTCAGGAACCACCAAGAGGTATGGTAATACGCAGGAACCACCCAGTGGTATGGTAGTATATAGGAACCACCCAGCGGTATGTTACTACGCAGGAACCACCAAGAGGTATGGTAATATACAGGAACCACCCAGAGGTATGGTAGTATATAGGAACCACCCAGCGGAAGGTTACTATGCAGGAACCACCAAGAGGTATGGTAATAATAGAACCACCCAGAGGTATGGTAGTATATAGGAACCACCCAGCGGAAGGTTACTATGCAGGAACCACCAAGAGGTATGGTAAAATGCATGAACCACCCAGAGGTGGAACTATTTAATAGTGGGATAGATTGTACAATTTTGCGCCAACTGAGAGACTATCTAAAACTAAGGATAGTGCGGCTCCTCCCCCACACCCCCTGATTATAGCTTTGTGGGGGTACAGAACCTTGGTGTGTGAAAGTTGGCTAAGGGCAAAAAAAGTGGGAAAGACATGAAAAAAGCTCATGGTTTGACCGCATATTATATACCTCAATATCAATGGGATTTTCATCTTTCGCAAACGATTTCATCGCATCAAGTATGGGACGGAAACCTAAACATTAATAATAAATTAGGATAAACCATGTTGTGTTTCAATAGTTAGGAAAAGTGTATGTTGTAGGAGTGCATACTAGATACATACACCTTAACGAAAACATGCATCAAACTTCAAATAGCAATTTAACATTTTATTCCATGTGCAAGAGATGACGCCGCCATTTTCCACAAAGATAATTGGGGAGAGGAATAGCTGCAGCGTGACCTGCCCTCCCTCCTTGCCCCCGCGTTTTAGGATAAAATTATCGAGGTCATCCTTCGAGTTTGAAATTGCCATATTCTATTTCCCTATCTGTGTGACAGTGCCGAGATAAACAGGTTGGGTGGAAACGTCATGCCATTAAGTTTTTTCTTTCATTTTTTCATAATAGCGGTTTAAACTCGCACTAAAGCATCGTTTTAAAGCTTCAAAATGTCTTTTACCTGTACAACGACATAAGTTGCCATCAAAACCATCTTCAATATCTTGTTTAGTCGGTTGAGCATTTCCCGAGAGTAATCTTTTAGAAAACAAACGAAAATGAAGAAGGGTTCATTAATTGTAACTCAGGAGTTGGCACAAAAAGGAACTAATGCGAGAGTGAAAAACAGTCACCAACCTAACGATCCACCATTTTCCTCCATATGTTTGGGGGACATATTATGGATATGACTATACTATGTTGTCATAAAACTACTCGTGCATTAGTTGCATATGACATTCCTATTTGCAGCCTTTTGCCATTTCAGGTGGATATTAATATACATTAATTCAAACACTAACAAACATATACCGCAACCGACTGTGGTTTAGAATTTTGTTTCATATTTCAAATGGGTCGTAAAACTCTCGCGGTTTGTAGGAGCCAGTCGAATAAATGTCTCGGACGTGTCAAATTTCAAATCTTAATATTAATAGGAACAATGGTGGACTGAAATATCACATTATTCTTTTGCTTACGATGGGCTTAATTAGTAATTAAAGTGTGGTGCATCATGGGCACCAATAAAGATTGATTACAGGGTGCAATCATGCGAGGGGGTGGTAGGCACTGTAGGTACCTATAGCTACTATCTTGGTAGTGGGTTGGTTGATGTTTAGGTCGGTAGGTTACGTAGTTTTTGCCTGCAAAAAATAATTATAGCAATTTTTTCCTTCTCGTCTTGTATTCTTACCCGTACATATTCATTACCATTCCCGGAGTGCAAAAACCACACTGACTGCCATTATATTGCGCAATACGTTCTTGAATAGGATTAAACCAGAGCGGCTGCTGTTGAAAGAGTAAAAGGAATCAGAAATATTGGTTCACTTTTTTCATGTAAGTTGGGTATTGCAAACGCCGAAATACTTGAAATACGACGAACGTAGTGGGATTTCTTGCTATAAACTGTGATATATTTATCTGCCTTGAACATATATATAGTATGAAAGTGATAAATATTGCTCAAGAACGGCGGAAGAGCTTTAAGTGATGTGGAAATATTCATATATTCATGTTAGCAGGCCGTATGAACATCAATTTCAAAAAGAACTAACAATGCTGAAGGTGAATATATAAATATTAGCCCCCTTCCCCCTACTTCCGCCGTTCTTGTTGCTAAATTGAGAGACGTTTTGCTGGTGTTACTATTGACTTCAGTCTGTTACAGGAAAAAAGGAAAGCACATTTCGGACTCCAAAGAATAGCCAAATTCAAGGAGTGAAAATTTACCTCCCCAATCCTTCAGTCGTTGTAATCTTACATCCATCCACAGCGAAGAGAGGAAGAAGACACTGTAAAATTAACGAAATATATGTCACTAAAGACCTTCATCAGCAGGCAATTTGATGAAATATAAGAAAAAATCGTGCTACGAAAAGCAATAGATAGGATTCAATTCTTAGCATGTTAAACTCTGAGCATGCAGAGGACCTTGTCAGCGGCTTTTCCATTGTGTTAAGGTAGGGACTTTCCCCCAAAATGTACATCTTCTAGTAATGTATGGGGAAGTTTGTTCACTAGGGAAGAGTTAGTCCTAATATTGATGAGTGTATATTTCGTAATCGATGCTTATTTTATATCGACGATTCATACACAACCTTAAATTAAACCTTATTCTGATAATGATTTTAGTTTCTCAACAAATAGTCGGGAGCGGATTTAAATCTTTCTAGTCGTAAACATATAACATTGCCGAGGAAAGAAGCGAAATTTATTTTCTAAAAAATGCATCTTACGCTGTTGACGGCCATCACTTTGTCCTTTTTCGTGGCTAGATCTTGTTTTGTCAACACCACAACACAGGCGCCACACCCACCTTCTTGGCATGTAACCTTCGTTCCTAGAAGATGATATTAAACACACACATGATCGCTGTGATGAAAATACTGCCTAAACCTGAGGAATAAAAATTGAGGCTGAGTTTGCGTTAGACCTTTTAACCGCTTTTATGCTCGCAATGCCTACGGTAGTTGATACTGAAAGTCAATTTAAGTTGTGATGACACTATGTTCGAGAAAAATTAGTTTAGCGATATCAAAACTTAAGTTGAAACTTATGTACATTAAAATTTGACGGATTAAGATATTCGGTAAAACATGACTGAAAATGTTCTATACCTTTCAGTCCAGGTTGTGATCTCAGCCATTCATTAAACGATGTCGTTGAACTTGTGTTTGAAATAAGATACTTCACACCATTAACTTCAACGTGCACTGTAACTACTGGTTCCTCGGACATTTCCATGTAGAATCACGAGCGTTCACTGTCACTGTATTGATATCTGGACTGAAGCAATGGAAATAGAAATCCTGTTTGCCTTTTGGTAGTAGAATTGGTTTTACTAAGGAATAGAACACAGGTAGCGTCGGTCAGGGATGAATATAGGAATTAATCCTCTTGGAATCCCTAAATTAGAATCATGTGCCCAGTACAACCTACTCTACTGTCTATACAGAATGCATAAACGAAAGTTCCCTTAAATCAGTGAGATTCCGTACCTGGTACCCTGGAGTTTTTCCACGTGAGCATGGTTCAAATTTGGAATTATTAGTACAAGTGATTGTTGAAAATTTTGCCGAAATCAGACTCGCTGCATGGACGAGTTTTTGTTTCAGTAATATTAGCATGATAAAATCGTTTCGTTGAGATCTTTTAGAATAAAATTTTCAATGATAGTCTGAAAATTATACTCTTTTTGCTTCACTTTTTCAAACTCTCCATTTGTTTAAAAAAAACGACAAAGGGAAATTTAGCTTGCGCGAAAAATACAGTCATCAGTGCAGCGATTGCTTGCTGTAAAAATTTATTTGAGTTTATCAAGGAGTCAAAGGAGTATGGACCAGGGTCAAACAGTCGCGTAGCCAGCCTGACGATTTGTTCCGCTATGCTAATATTTTGGTGTTCATTTACTGTGAAAACAATAAATTTCTAAAGAAATGAATAGAATATAATAACTCGAAATTTACATAGCGGGCAATATCGTCAGCTGGCTACGCCACAGAAGTCAAAGGAGAATGTAAACAGTGGAGTGAGAAAAATATTAGTGAAAATATTTCCGTCTGCTACTGACCGACGTTTGTCGTCGAAAAATGTCACATGCCAAGATGTTAGGGTAACCTGGTACACAGAATACACAGGGTATTAGCGACCTTAAGCATGTAGGACGCGAACGCGACGACGACGGCTATCAGTATAATGGGTCATTGAAAAGAAATGAATATTTAAAGATCCATGATGGGTTTTAGAAGTCGTATTCGTTCTGTCTACAACGGGAAAACGTGTTTTTTTACGTCTTGCCTAGAACGGCTGCATTTCAGGACCCAGCGAGCCCTACCTCGAATTAGGCTCTATATAGAATTGTCCTTAACGCCTTATACTCGCTAAATCGGTACGATTAATATACAACAACAACTTTGCTATAGCATTTTAATATCTAAAGGAGAATTTCAGCGGCGGCGTCGTGTAGTCACGACCGCTGATGTCAAGGTGGTTGATGTGACAGAATATTGCTATGTCCGGTTTTCATATACATTCAGCAATAACATCAAATTACCGTTTATCAAATTAACATCAAATTACATACAAATTACCGGTTTTCATACATTCAGCAGTAACATCTTCACTGCTGAATGTATGTAAACCGGTAATTTGTCATAAATCGCCATATTTAATGCACTCAATTAAATACAAGGCAATGCGATTAAGTATTGAAGCTCTAGGCTTCGTTGTAAACCCACGTACGTCATAGCCGTGGTTGTAGGAAGTATTATTAGTGTTGTCTGTGTTGAGGCAACAAGGTTTTAACCAAAATTCTTCTGCTTACACGAAGAAATACAACATTGTCAACAAGCTGTGGGGATTTTCGGCTAGTGTGTGTAATACTGCCTCCGGTGTGATGAGCCTTAGACTTAGGTAATGATGTTTATCGAACGAATTTGCCGACATGCGCATGTCTCGATTATAATGATATTTTGACTTTACTGAATTTGAGTACTCTTAATATTGAGTAAAAAGTCCAAGGGCAATACCGGTTTGGGAGATTTTTATCACACTTCAAAACCATATGTGTTTATACCTGTATTTCACAGTCGGGCGCTCTGTGTCATTACTACATTACATGCAAGAGCAACTCCCATGCAGATATCAAGAAAGAACCATACTCTAGACTGATTGTATTCTCGATTTGTCCACATGCATAGGTTGAACGGATTCGTGTTTTTGCTAGACATTTGGCGACCGTATAAACAGTAGATGTTTCGTACTAGCTCGCATTTTCGGGTATAATGGTATATGGTTATTTATAAAGCTAGGATACTTGCATTCCTGGCATCGCACGAAAATGTATATCGTTTATTAGACAACGCATTTACGTTTTACAAGTACATCATATTGGTGAATTATCGGCGACTCACTTGTTTCTTTTGAAATCGTCTTGAAAGCCTGGCTGTTCTTATTCCATATAAATTGATCACCTCACCTATTTGACCAGCAGCGGAAACTGCGACGTAACATAAACAAAGACGTATTAAATATTTGCCGAGGTCACTCATTATGCACAGGTCATGCAAATTAGCTGCAAATTAGTCGACGTAATTTTCGGTTAAAGTGTCAGTCAACAATGACTGACTTAGTGCACAAACAAGACGCTTGCTGAGTGTTTTTATATATGATAGCGCAAGTTAGTTAATTATGTGGAATCGGGGAATCGATTCTCCATCCCCAGTTTCTACTATATACCTGGTATACCTGCAAACATTACTATATCGTCATTATAAGAAAGGTCTATTCGTTTTCACAGACTGATTATAGGATCGAATCTGTCTGTTTAAGCCAAAAACAAAGCTTTTAAAAAGGAGTTTCGCTTATCGTGGAGCAGCTTCTTGGAACAAGCTACCTCCCAATATCATACAAGATGTAGTTGAGAGTCAATCGGTAAATTCATTTAGTACAATTTTAAAAATTATTTTAACTGATTCATGATTATAGATTACAGATGTCTTCGTCCTAGTTAGTTAAATCGTGAATTACTATTCATTCTATTAGACTAATATGGTATTTCTATTATACTTGTGTGGTACACGGCTCTTTAAAAATCGCTAATTGTCAAAGACTACCTTGTTGAAATATTTTTAATAATAATAATAATAATAATAAAATAGGCCATAAGTACTAGTATCACCGACCTAGCCTGTACAAAATTCTAATATTGTGTCAGTTTGTTTTATGCCTAGTTCTAAACCATACTTCAAATGACGTAAATTCGATTCGTTTTCACAGGCTGATGAGCCTAGCAAAAAATGAGCAAGGTTGTGTTTCTCAATTAGTCAATTCAGTTTCCTTCGCATTCGTTAAATAATAAATTGTGTTGGATCAACTAAACACTTCAAATGAGTGGCCTCAACTGTAGCTGGACCATCAAGCGGAAAGTAACCTTTGTCTTGCCCAGTCTCCTCACGAGCGTGATATATCGCATCTTGGACAGCGAACAAACAGGAAGATGACATAGACAGAGGTGGTTCACCAGCAGCTTTAAACCACAAATAAAGCGAAGGGCATAATTGAATTAACAACAGGCGATTGACGATGGGTAATTGTTATTCGGTCACTCGAGAGTAGCTCGGTATTGTTATTCACGTTTCGTCAGCAAAGGATATAAAAATTTTATCTAAGATGTCGGATCTTTCAACATCTCTTTATGCGAAAAACTATATTTGACAATTGGCAACACTCAGTTTCAAACAAAAAGGTAAATACCTTAAACCACTTGAATACATCTAAACCAAAAATATCGCTACATATATAATTGACATAAAATTACCTTTTGAGCCAAGAACACCAAGCGGGTTTGGAGCATTTTTAAGAAGGCTCACCCGGAAATCTATTGGAATGTCTTTCGAAGACGAGGGGTGGTAATCCTGAAGAAAAAATCAACATTTCAGCGGGGAAATTGGAGTACACATGCAAACAATTTTACTAGTTATTCTCTTTAGGGCTTTCTATAACTAATTTACAGATAATAATCGTGGAAAACTAATTTGTAGCTACATGACAAAAAATTTTAAACTGAGCTAATAGATATTTATATTTAATATTAAAACATACATTCAAATATCAATTAGTATATAACTGCTGTATAAGAAGGTTTCCAAAAGCGGTTTTTTTAAGTTTCAAACTTTCGAAAATGTTTGGTAGCTTTCCTCCCATTTATATCCACCCCAAACCAATGATATGTAAAACGTTATTTACCCATGTTCCATTGGTAAGTTCCAGACCAGACAAAGGATCATATATTGCTTTCTCAGTCAACCAATAACCAAGACCCATGATGCGGAATGCTCCTTCCACTTGTCCAATGTCAATTTCAGGATTCATGCTGCAAAACAGAACACTTGCTCCACACACCAACATCTTTACGTTTACAAATGGCATTATTAGAATATGGCATTTTTTAGTATGTGCAGACAAACACAAGGAATATAAAAATGCTCAAAGTATCGCTATTTTCGGCAAAATAGTCTGTTCGGCAAAATGTCTGGCTTTTCTGTGAAATCTCCGATCGGCAAAATATCCGTTCGGCAAAGTGTCTTTCGGCCAAATGTCTTTCAGCAAAGTGTTTGGTCACCGCTAAAAGCACAGGAAATATTGCACGGAGTTAATGGAATCACTGTCTACCTTTTTCCACAGTCAAACAAAATATCCGTTCTGAGTATTTCTGTCTCTCCAGTGAGCACATCAATCTCCGCCTCTGTACAAGTCGCAGCGAAAATGTTATAATTAAAAGCTGGCTGAGGAGGCTTTGGTAATATCCTAAAAAAAACAAATACAGATATCATTATAGTAAAGACCATGCATCTAAACAAATAATAAACGGATCGCGCAGCCAGTAAAGCCACAAACTAGGAGTGCCAAGATTGACGGCGGATATATTTAATTTGACTGCATGAACTGTTTCCGCAAGACTAACGAGCCAATCAAACGTCGTGTAACACCCGGATTCCCTCTTTCGAAGTCATTATGAGATGATGTATTAAACATATTGGAGTAAAACGTTTGATTACTTGAATTCCATATTTTTTTTAATTTTACATAATAGTCCTACATTAATTGAAAAAATAAACAAATTACTAAATAAATGCCAAAGAATGCCTGCTATTAGACACAGACCTATATCTTTTGATTTAAGTTTGGGGGTCACCGTACTTCTTATCCATCTACTCCAACCGATAGGCGATTCTTGGGTAAAATTCGTATACGTAAAACGCCACAGGCATAGTAATGGTAGATCTATTACTAAACCTAATATGATTTGAAAGTAGGGTACTCAAAGAACTAAAAAACAAAATCTGTCGAATAACATCTTATTAAATACTTCTTAGCCACGGGTGGTTTACTAAACCTCCCACAGTTTGCGGGCTAATTAATCGCTAATATCCCCAAACTATGCGTTTGAAAAAAAATGCATAGTTTGAACATGTCCATGTGTTATTTCGAAAACTGTATCGAGCCAGCCTCTCTGGTACATACATGTATTTTGCAGACAAATCAACACCCTTTTCATAACACTTGTGAATGATCTCAGCCCACGTGGCTTGTGGCATATCTTTTGCTACAGGTGATATTCTTTCCTTGAGCATATTGCAGCATTGTATGATCGCCTGCACAGACACAAGATACAGTTTTTAAATATTTATTTACATAAGGTAAACTGTCTATTATATAACTGATGTTACTGTCATTATTGTAGGTCGTATTGAAATTTTTAATTCTTTGATGTTATGGCTGATTCTCAAGCCTCCAAAACGTTCCTTCCCTTCGTTTACAACTATAAAGTCGCATATAAAAACACCGTTTCTTTGTAAATTAAGGGACGTATGACAATTGTAGGTATATACCATAGAAAAGGGTTTGTTTGGAAATTGTTGGACAATCGCCAATCATGCGTTGCGTATAAAATAAAAGGAAATCAAAAGGGGTTTTATTTGTGCGTGATTCAAAATCTTCAAGGAACTGTGTAGTTATGTGTGTAATAAAAGGCTGTGTATTATTGTTGGTGATGTTAAATTTCATGGGTATGCAAAGAGGTAGGTAAAATAGGATAACATGAAGAAGAAAAAAGTCAAGGGTGCGAATCAGTATCTCGTATGCGGCGTTTCGTCTTTTTGTGGACCCGTCTGCGGGGAGTAGGGTTGGCTTTGTGTAAAAGAAAGGGGGTAATTAGCGGTAATTTCTACTTGCGCATGGCTTTCTTTCATAATTTCTATTTTTCTACCACTTCAACGTGAATCAATCACCCTTGTGTAAGATCATGCAGTCCAGAGCAAATTTGCTACCTTGTCCCACCCTTCCAAAAGGAACTGCTTCCACTGGCTTAGGTAGCTAATAACGTTGTAATAATTGTCTAAAATGATATACTTTATTTTTCCGCTTAACCTCAACATCAGATTTGTTAGAAATGTTGTTCACAGTCTTTTGAAACAAAGACTATCAAAGCATTGGTTAATTACAAGGGATTCAAAGCATTGCATTGGTTACACTAATGAGGCAAGTAGGAAATTTTCACACCTCACAACATAATTCACTTGTTATACTTGCCGCAGTTGTTGAACCTGTAAACGGAAAAGCGTTTTAGAGTAGGACAACACATTTGGCACATCTCATTCAACGTGAAAACATTCACAAAACGCGAAACAAATTGACATACCATTTGGATTAAGAAAACTTGTTGCTGGTTTAATTGAGATCTTATCAACAGTCAGACCAAAACCGAGTGTGTAAGCAGCGACTTGGCAAACCTGCAGTTAGATAAAATTAAAGATATTTTTCAAAGGTCCAAAAAGAAAAATTCTACGGGCAAAAATAAGATTTAAGGTGGCTCCCTACTGTTTTAAGAATATTGAAAACTAATGATTTAGATTGAAATTTTTGGCAGGATATTTCTTGCTAAACGAAATTAAATTTTCCAGATATATTAACTAACAGTCTAACAGTCGAAACTGAGTATCACGTCATTACCGTTGTTATGGTAACAATGGCGATTCAATATGGCCGTCATTTTACCTATTCCCGCATTTTACTCGAAAACAAGTTCGGTTACCCCAATTTTTTATTTTATAAAAAGTTTTCTTACAAAAAAATAGGAAATTTGAGCAAGTTTAAAAAATTCTATATAGCCAAAAAATTTCTATAGCGAAAAATCACGTTTTTTAATTTTTAATAATTTTGGCTCTATAGAACTTTTCTTAACTGGTTCAAATTTTCCATTTTTTTTAAGAAAACTTTTTATAGAATAAAAAATTGGGGTAACCGAGCTTGTTTTCGAGTAAAACCTTTTGCTGACCTATTCGGCATGTGATTGGTTAATCAGGTAGACCGGTCGCAACTGATTGGTTTATTTCCCATTTAAGGTCTGGGTAGTAGTAGTGGAAGTCAAATCTGAACCTCGCTATTATTACCATAACAACGGTAATGACGTCATGCTTATGGGCAATTTCTGACTGTTAGAATGTTGGTTAATACATCTGGGAAATTTCTTCTCCTTAGCAAGAAATCTCGTGCTAAAATTTTAAATCAAAATCACAAGTTTTCAATATTTTAAAAAATTGTAGGGAGCCACCTTAAAAAGAGAGTATTCCTCGCGGCTTTGCATTCAGTGTATATAGATAAAAACATTTGAATGACGACATACACGTTTGATTAAACTTGTGGGTGAATTAGTAAAATTTTAACAAAGCCCTCTGAACATTAACAACTTGTTACACGACCCCTACTCTCTGTATCTTTCAGCGGAATCGCCGGGGCCGTAGGGGGAATAGCCCAGTAACACACAAGTAACATATACTGGATTAGAACCACAACAATAACTTTTTCGTTTTATAGAAATGTATTAAAAGCTGTGCCTCCGGCTCGCACACATGTCCAATACTGTCAAATAGACACGACCCGTACGACTCGTAAAATTGGACGAATTGAATGAATGTCTTTTCGACCCGTACCGGCGTACGATTTGTCAAATCGTACGAGTCGTTACGACCCGTACAAGTGGAAAAATGCGTCATTGATCCCACCAAATTCGGTTGGTGCGTAGCTACTATTGTAGTGGGGAAATGCGTCATGCTGTGTTGCCCGATAGAGGAGGTAACTCTATTCGTCGACCCGTACGATTTGTCAAATAGTTAACCTGCACCGTAAAACGAGAACGAACGAATATGCAAGTATGCTAATGTTTTCATTGAAATTACGAAAAGCTGATTGGTTTGCATATTTAAACATGTACGAATGGACGAAAGCGACGAACGAATGAACGACAAAAAGTCGCTTGCTTGTACTAAACATGTTTTCAACCGTATTGTAATGCTTGTATATTTTTTTCTGTCGTTGTGCTGATAGAAAAACTACATTTCGGCTCATTCAATCAAGGATGGTAGAAGATAGTCTTAACTTAAGGCCGTAAAGAAGATACACACAGACATGTATTACCATTAGATATATATTTGGGGATATGCAATACACATGCATGCGCACGTAAAAATCTCACATCTTGTAACTGCATGAAAACGCCTAAAGAATTGTAATTTCATCACATTTTTTATTTGAACCTAATAGGTGGTGATCATAACAGAAAGGAATTTCATGTGATAGAAACTATTTAGCGTTAAGTTTAACTCGACTTTGTGATATTATTGTAATTTCCATAACATGCCAGTTAAAACGTATATTCAAATCCCAGGAGCATAATAAGTTCCATAGCCACAGTAAACTTAAATGCAAATCTGCAGTAACTGCTATATTACGCTTTCCAACATTTGCATATAGGTTCTGAACGTTATCAGGAAGTTCGGCAAATCTATCATGCCTTGCAATATCGTTTGCAATGACGTCCCAAATGGGACCATTCTCCATAAAACGCTCATGAATTAATCGTCTTTCAACCTCTTCTATGCGTCTTACTTGCAAATGTCTTAAAACACATGAAGAAATGCTTAAGAATTGTTGTAATAATTGCATTGAGGCTACTTAACACGACCTTGATTAACTATAAAATTCAATTGAGTTTACGAATTGACGACTTCGGTAAAATACTCAGGGTTCTATATATACATAATATTATTCAACTTAGTTATTCCTCAGTTTGGGATGTTACCATTACAGTTCATCAATCATCGTCATCTTGTTGCATGCCCCCTGTTTTAACCGTATAATATACACGATATCACAACACAAAATTACATGACCAAAATATGCATGCTATGGCTTAAAGTTTACAAACAAATATGATAATAAACTTGTTTTAGCCAATAGAAACCATCTATTTGAACGATTGTGAACCGTACTCTCGTTCAGTTAATGAGGCTACTCGTTCGTTCTCGTTCTACGGTGCAGGTTAACTAATTGGACGAGTCGATTCGACCCGTACAAGTGGAGAAATTAATCGTGAGTCGATTCGATCCGTATAAGTGGAGAAATGAATCGTGCTGGGCTGGACGCACAACTCAACAAATATAAATACATATTCAATTGCCTCGTTCTTTAAAAACCACAAAGACACATGCAGAATTCCACAAGCGAAATATTTCAATTACCAACGCACAACTCAGCGAATATAAATACATATTGAATTGCCTCGTTCTTTAAAAACCACATATTATTCAACATAGGAAATATTGTCTTTCAGTTAGCAATGCACAACTCAACAAATATAAATACATATTGAATTGCCTCGTTCTTTTAAAACCACATCGGCAAATATAAATACACAGTTAGTTATAAAGCCACTACAGGCCACTAGCGATATTTTTCGCGCGAAGTGACATTCTATTTATGTCAGAGCTCCCAACTTTCATGTATTATAGGAAATTAGTGTTATTACTGATGGTCGATCTCAAAAAATCCCTACGGATTTTTTATCGTACGGGTCGACGAATAGAGTTAGTCCCTCTATCTCTAGACACATCAAGGTGCATTTCTCCACTTGTACGGGTCGAAACGACTCGTACGATTTGTCAAATCGCACGGGTCGTCGAATAGAGTTAACCCCTTTAGCTATCTCCAAACACATCATGATGCATTTCTCCACTTGTACGGGTCGTCGAATAGAGTTAGCCCCTCTAGCTATCTCTAAACACATCATGATGCATTTCTCCACTTGTACGGGTCGACGAATAGAGTTACATGATGCATTTCTCCACTTGTACGGGTCGATAAGACATTCATTCAACTCAACCAATTTTACGGGTCGTACGGGTCGTGTCTATTTGACAGTATTGGACAACCCTCCCGGCTCGTGCTGTTGCCTCTCACACTAACTGCAACTAATGACTAATAACTATTCACCGCTTCCGAGTGTCAAGTGTCTAACAATTAAGCATTGTTTATTGTTCCACAATGTCTGATTGTTTAGTTGTGCAACGCCCGTGCATATACAACATATCTCAATCATATTGCTTGTATAACAAACTGGAAAAAACCTCAGACTATAAATAAGTGAAATACACAGCATGCTTTTTGTTGGTTTGAATCACATAAATAAACAGTTTAAAACATGATGCTATTATTTATGTTCGAATCATGCAGGGAAAGCGGGCCTACAAATTAATGTTGTTTTAAATCGTCTTTCGTATTATCTGCATGCTGAAAAATTTGAACATCTCTGCAGGTAAGTTAAATTGACTTTTTCATAATATACAAAACGAATTGCATGGAGTTTCCTCATATTTAATTTTTCTATTATATATCTAACTTTTTCTCTAAAATATTTAACTTTTCCATAAATCATTCTAAGGCTACGAGGTTATTTGTATTCCCAGTGTGGAAAATTACGTTCCACTGATTCCATTGTTTTATTGATAAACATAAAGTGTCTACTACATTTTCTCTCAAACAAAATGCCCGCCCTCAATTTTGGTATATATTTATGAAGTATACCTTTGTGTCTATCCCTTGTCCTATTTCAACTCCTCCATGTGATATGGCCATTGTTCCATCTTTACGAAATATTGCGACATAGGCGGTGTATCGAAACCCTCGTTTATATTCCACGCCCCATCTCATTGGCACTAAACTTATTCCTCGCTTACGCCAACGATTTTCCTTCAAAAAAGAAAGTAAACAAAGATTGGCAAGAATTTCCGTAAAAAAGTAACACAATAACGCGCAAACACTGCAAGAGGTCTACAAGCCTTGTGAACGCGGGACTGCTCAAAACTCGTAAAGCTAAATAAAAGTCGCTAGCTTCAATTTCACTCCCTCGAGTGGCAATTACGTCAGATTTATTTGATAAACCAAACCTTGTTGAATGATTCAATAGCGGTTCTACGTTTGTCAACTTCACTTGATTTCTTCAATTCTAAAATTACAAATTAATAATCACATTGGAGCATAATTCTTAATGAAATTTGCAATTGTTAAATACAAAACGATTTACACGTTGCAATTTCTAGCTTTATTATATTCATTTTGAAATGAATGGTATTTCTTGCAATCTGATTGGTTAAAAATAGAAGAATACTCGAGAAGAATACTAATACTCGGCTACGCCTCGTGTTTTACAAGCTTCTCTCGTATTCTCCCAACATTCCCCCATCGTGCATTATTACACCATAAAGGCACGCGACTCGTTTTTTAATTCTTAAATAAGATTGAAGTTCTGCGCCACAACAATCAGATTTAGTATTTCAGTGTAACTATCCAATCTAATTACAAGGGAAAATGGCACAAAATTTGAATATTCTGTATTTTTAAATGCCCCGTAAAATTTCTTGACAAAAATAGATAAAAATTCCTCACATTTTATACGGTTTTCGGTTCTTTCAGCCAATAAATCGTTTTGAATTTGTTTACATTTTTGTATGATTTCAAAATGAATATAATAAAGTTCAATTAAATTGCACTTTGTGTCGTGCAATTTTGGTGTGAAATCAAACTTGTTATAACAATTTCGTAATCACACGTTTGATTTTACACCAAATTGCACTCCACTCAGGGCAATTACTATTATTTATTTCAGTAATAAAAAACAAAAAGTGTGTAGAAAAAATCAAAGAAACTTAAGAAGCAAGATATTCGATAAGATAGAAGATAGAAGCAAAATGAATTAAGCCGGGCTTTCCTGGCACATCTACTGGCGTTTCAGTTAAGACCGTTGCTTTGAGCTATTTAATGAACTCATTATAATTACAAATTTGATTATTTAAATTTTTAGCCTCTGATTGGTTGAGTGACGTCGGATTATTACTTGGCAATCCGTCATATCACCTTGGTTGTTTTTTGCAAAATGACGAGCGGTTTATGTGGTTAATTAAAAAATCATAATTTTGAAGAAAATTATCTACCTAAGAAACGGAAAAGGCGAATTCAAACAGCCTTAAATAGTTTAAAATTGTATTCTCTACAACAGACTGGTTTTTTAAACAATCACGTCTTAATGCTGTTTTAATTACATACTTAAACAATTATTTGCCTTAGTGAGTGTTATACTGAGTAAAAACCTCGACTTCGCGGTCTCAGATTATTTCTAGCAATATTCAGCATAGTAGGCTAGCCTAAAAATAAGCTTATAGTATTAGCTATCAGTGTTTAATCTCACCTTGCCATATTTCAGTCATGTTGCAGTATAGCAAAGGTTGATGATAGTATGTTGTCTGAAAGAATGAAAGAAACGAATCAAAATCGAAATATATGAACTAGCTACGGAGCTATTTGTTCAGGGTCTATTTTATACCGGCCACGAAACTTTTGCATACATACAGTTGAAATTCTGGATTGAATTATTGTAAAAGCAGTAAGGCTTCGTGAGAGTAGCGATACCTGTCCTTTCTTGTAAAAATTGATTTCTCGTATCTCATCCTGGCTCATGTTCAGTGTTTTGGCCAAGTGATTCATCATTGTTTCGGCAATAAAGGTCGCTGGTAATCGACCTGAAAAATCAAAGGCATGCATTTCCGTGAAGAAATGTGTTAAAATCTGCAGGTGTTCCAAGTATCCTCCCTAATTCATCAACGTGTAAAATATCCCATGCACGTTTACATACCTGGTGAACGTGTATAGCTACTGGTTGCTGTGTTTGTCTTGCAGGGAACGCCTTGAAATTTCCAATTTTCACAATAATACGCTAAAGTTGTTAAAAAAAAGTAGTGGAAAAACCTTTCCAGGAGCACTGATTCCGATAATGAAAGAAAGGAGCACTGCTCTCAGAAATTACGTTATAATAATTATTCAAGCCCTTATACTTCTCGGTCAAATAATTTAGGAGGAAACTATAATGAAATTTTTTTTCCATTTCCCGTAATATGTACTGATGCATGAATGTACCTCGCTGTTTAAAGTGCCTATATAACTTTTTCGATCTTTATGCGTTTGAAAAAAACGTAAAAAGTTAGTTCATATATCAAAAAAAATTTTTGATTTAGTGCAATAATTTCGCAGATACAAGCCTCTAAACTACCTGCGGTTCCTGAGTCCGAACCTCCTGGGTTTAAACACGGCTATTCAATTTGAAACTGCCCATTGTTTACGGGAGCCTGGGACTCAGGAACTGCAGGTAGTTTAAAGGCTAGTATCTTCAAAATTATTGCATTAAATAAAAAAACTTTTTTAATACATTAACTAACTTTTAACATTCTTTTTAAATGCATAAAGATTCCACGAGTGATATAGGCACTTTAGAGATTGACCTTAAAGGAAACTTGAGAAATGAGAATATTAATAAATAGTAATGATATTATTAACTCACCATTATCCATTAAAATAGGAAACATGGGAAGGTAGCATTCAGTTGTTGCAATTCCACAAGCTGCGTAACATGTGAGATCAATGCCTTTCAATAATCCTTCTTTCGCAGCCCCAATCTAAGTTATTTGTCAAAGCAGGGCGTCTATAAGATAGGGCGGCGAAACGCACGGATGGCGTGTTGAAACATGTGTGATGCGATTTTAGGACTGGGACGGAGCGGTCGGCGAAAAATTCTCGAACGAAACAATATTTACTTGGTTTTTAACAAGCTCGATTAAAACCACTCAATCTCTGAAACTATTAACGCGATATCTAAAATAAGATTTCTCCTGTGTAATTTATAACTTTTTCTATTAATATTGTGTCTTAAAATTGTTCCTTCAAAAGTTAACTGACCGAATTTGTCAAATTAAAACTACGGATACGCACGGCTACTTGGTCTGTTTTTAGATGTATCATACGTATTTTGATATTTCTCAGTGAGGAAAATCCCCAAAAGCATTATACTTCAAGATTTGGTGTACAGAATATTGACGAAAATTTGTAGCAAATTTCACTACACAACGTTTTGAACCTTTTTTGCAATCATTTGTAGAAGTGAACGTATTCAAACTTTCTACAACAAAATTGTTTTCACGGCTGCGAGGTCGGAAAATATCAACACAAAATCCCGTTAAATTATATTATATACTTAGATAACGTTCCGAATTGAAAATATGATATGTTTTTCTTTCCTCGTGGCAATGTCGACCTGGCCAAGCTAAAAACAAAAAAAGAAAATGCTAACTTACTTGCAAGAGCATTTGACCGCGTCGCAACAACGTTTTCGAATTTTCAATATACAAAATTTCCATTAAAAAATTGAAAACCTTGCCATGGCTCCTAAAGCTGGAAAATTTAGAAAATGACTCCCTTGTTCATTAACATCGATTCCACGTGCAAATGGTTGCATAATGTTTTGAACTTTTTTCACAATTTTCTCTGGAAAACGACAACCATAAAACGGAACCTTGTTTACAAACTTGTCTTGGTAACCAGCGGACTGGGACGGGTATAAAAAACACGAAGAAACCCTTTCAAGAACAGCAATTAACTCCTTTACGTTGAAATTAACAGTATTTCCAACTGGAAATGACGAATTTGTGTCATCTGTTGCCAGATCAGTGTCATCCAAACTAATAAACATCTCAAGTTCTTCGTCATCTAAGTAACCCACCGCCATTTTGAAAACAGTTTTTCGAATCTTCATGGGGGGTCTGCACATCACACATGTTTCAACACGCCATCCGTGCGTTTCGCCGCCCTATCTTATAGACGCCCTGGTCAAAGTAAAGAGCTTTGTATAACAACGGAGCTTTTACATTATTTACCTCAGGCTATAAGTAACTATAAAGCAAAGTAACTATCAAGTAACCTGTAACAAAATACAGAGACGCAGAGCTTTAACTATTAAGTAACTTAAAACAAATGCAACAGAATTCAATACACGGATAAAAACGCTCAAGTTGCATTACATTTAGCCACCTATTCAAATTTGAAATCGCTTACTTTTATGCGCGGATACATAAGATTTCGGCACTCATAAATCGATAAGATTTCGGAAAATACCTTGTACTTCGCCAAGTAAGGATATCTCTTTCCGATCATTTCCATGTTCGTTTTCAAGTTCATTCTTAAACGCACAGGCCTAAAACACGTAAGTATTTAGTGTAATAAAACTATCTTAATTAAATGCGGGTACTCAGAATTACTTGTTCATGATGTAAGCCGCCAGAGCACAAGCTGTTGAGTTGGCTGCGGCACGACTCCCTTTCCCGCCAAAACCCCCACCACATCGCTTACACGAGACACTGACACTGCAAAAAGAACGAAAATATAGATGAGTATTGTAGCAACTGAATGGTTTTGCATTTTACGGTAGCTATTTTTGTTTTTTACTACGAGGTTTAATCAACTAATCTTTGTGCACATGTAATATAATGTTTCGCTACGGTCGAAATATTCATTGATTGTATTTAACAATTATTGGATCTGGTTTAGTGTGTTATCGAGAATTATCAGGCCAAACTGAGGCTTGATAATTTTCGATATCATGCGAATATCAATAATTGTTTTATTATGTATTTCCTTTTTAGAGAGGAAGCCTGCGCCATTATTGACAACAAACTAGCGGTAAAAAATTGCGTCACCTACGATAATTTTTTCCATGTCGTGTAGGTGGCAAGACATTGAGAATTATCTATAGGTTTTTAGCCAATCACAATCGAGATTGCATTAGTAATGCATAATAATTCTTTTTATTTGCACCTTTTTTTAGTCGAATTAAGAGCGAAAGAAGTAATCAACTAAAAGTATTATCAGGACACTGAAAATGACGTTCAACAAAACGTTGCTATCTTTATTACTCAAGAAAAAGCGAGAATCTTTAATTCGGTCCGGTTTTTTCGGGAGACTTATTCTCCCACGCGGCCAATCTTCATTTCGGCCAATCTTCATTTCGGCCAATCGAAATAAATATCACTGAGCCTGAGACGAGTAATTGTTAAATAGTAATACCTGTTCTGAGGTATATTCAAAACCTGAGCTATTGAAATCTGAGTGGTCTCAGTAGATTGTGTTGAAGCGTAGACCTTCATCTCTTCTTCACTTGGGATACACAGACACGTCTATTTCAAAAATATTTCAAAAAATTCAGGTAAGTTTGCACGGGCAAACTGCTACTGAGTTTAAATTTATTCTAAGTACTTGATTAATTGAATAAAATAATACAAACGTGTGTTTCCATGTGAAAGTGATGCTGGGTGCCAACTGAAATTTCTCCGCTGACAATATGGGTTGATGATGCCATAGCTCCTGGAAACATGCAAAGCCATAAACAATGAACGATGAAATGTTTTGAATAAAACATAAAATATAAGGGCGTTACAGAGTGTCATTCCACTCCACTTCATTTCAATGGCGCCTATAAATTGAACACAAAACTTCCAAATGAAATTGGCCACTGAGCTTAGATCAGTTAGATGCATGTTTTACGAAACAGTTTTGATTTTGGGCACCAATGACGGCACTCAAAGCAGGCTATAACAACGCCTTGCGTACGAGCAAACAATGAAATATTAAAATACCTAACTGAAAAATGGATAAAAAGATCCAGCATATAAGCAATATTACAATTAGTATGTTAGTTCCACGAAAATGCATGCCTTATAGTTTAAACGAAAAGTACGTTTCTTCCCCCTGAATGCCCTCCTCAATATCCTACTGAAACACGAGCAATCGTGGTATCTTACCATTCCTCAGTCCCGCACATTGAGTCTAACTCAATCTACTTTTAATCTATTTACAGTAACGCGCTTTTCTATACACTAACAGCAATGTTACATTTCCTGCCACGTATTCTGAAGACAATTGCACTCTTACCATCAACATCGCCAAAAGTTTCATTTACAATTTGTTCTGAGAAAAAGGATGAGGCTTCAATTGCGTCTTGGATTGATATGATTGGTTTTTTGCAGTCGGAATACGTTATCTTCACCTTCTCAGCAGCTTCATCGGCCAAGCTCTGGCTCACTAGTTAATAATTATGATCATAAGATATTTTCGTACTTATTTTCGCACACGACGCGATTTTGTGCGCGCTTTATAGAACAATGTTATTCACTAAATAAAAAATGTCAAAATTAGGCGTATAATATCTATTAGAATATTCTTGTGAGTCAACTTGAAATCATGGCACAAATACAACTAGTAAATATCATTTCACGAACAGTGTGTTGAAAGAAACTTAAAGGACAATGGCAAGAACAAAAAAATCGGTAAAGATTATCGATCCGGTTAGGTTCTTGTAATACGTTAGCTTGTAATACAATTACATTACAGTTCTCATGAATTGTCAGCCATCTTAGATTAATCTTTAACTCGCTAACTGTCAGTATAATGACGTCAGGTGTGGGATTGGCTCAATAAAATCATTTATACATTGCCAAGTAAGACTATACGTACTTGCAATAATCATTCCAACCGCCTGGCCGGCATATTCTACATCGCACTCGCAGAATAATTTTTCCTTGCCCTTGATATCAGGAACAAAATCATTCTCACCAGGAATATCTTTCGCAGAAATATATTTCAATACACCAGGCAATTTCTGAAACAAATAAAAGACTGGTCATTCACTGTTGAGCTTGCAATACTATATGTCGTTGAACTAAAGGCCGGCGCACAATTTTGCTACTTAGCAAAAAATTTTTCGTGGCCATTAGCGTAAGCCAGTTGTTCTCGTGTGCGGGCGACGTTTCCGGCGACTTTGGTCATGGTGCCACTTACGGCAAATATCATTGATATGTATCATTGATTGTTTGATGATTACTGCCTCGCGTGCCGAAATCTTTCCGTGTGCGATTAAATGAAAGATATCTGCTTGTGGATTGCATGGTTAACCAGCGCATGCGTAGTATACGAAATTAAACCTCCAATATGGCCTCAGCCACCAATTTAATTTGCATCACCATCTTTTTTTCATCATCCAATTTTCGAAATTCTGTAAGAGATCCCGCTTACGCACACTGCACCACTGTAGCTAAAGTAACTTGAAGTTGCGATATTTGTTTCTTAGGAAAACGTAGGGACATCACAACCAAACTCTGATAATCAACTACCGCTGTAGTCTACGCATAGACGGAATATGGCGGAAATACCGTCTATGTAACAGCGCCAAATTCCGTGTTCTATAATTATTTATCCCCAGAATCTGGGGGACGCTGTGTGATTGGCTACATATTTAATTACGAAGCCTAATTGGTTACTCACGATCAACAAAGCTTTGATTGGTTTAGAGTGGAATAATAAAAATATTTTTCTCCGCCTTTCTATTTCGGGCATGGGTCTGCGGCGCAGGCTACTACCGTTGATTCTGTTTACAATTCTTGCTGATGCCATGACTGGAACTATGAGCCTGGTTTCCATATGACGCCAACGTCGGCAAAGTATTATTGTCGGTGATTATTGATGAGTGAAATCATTTTCTCTTTGAATGATTACAGACAATGAGTCGGCGAAAGGTCGGTGCCATATGGAAACCAGGCTTAACTGTACCGATATTACTGCTGCTAAATTTTTTGGAAATGTCGATAAACGATTGCATTATTTCAACTAATATAATCAATATTACAACCGTTTACCGACATCTCCATGTCACGAATAAACAGGTTGATAAGTTTTCTTACCAAGACTTCAGATACGTCAACATATATGCATTCGATAGTTTACAGTTACCCTTCAACAACGAAATATAACAGAAAAGTATAAGAATGATACTCGACTTTTCGATATTAATTTGCAGTTTTCGCATGCTGTCCAAATTATTACCTGTGTTGTTGTAACAAATGCTCCATAAATTTCATCCTCTTGCCTGGGTATATCATCTGTGTATTGAGCCTCGCCTGATGCCTAAACATTTATTCATTCATTTTATAACTTAGCATCAAATGTGTACAACAACTGCCTAAAATAGACAAGAACACTTCTCAACGTTTCGACCTGAGGGCCTTTGATATATTTAGGACCGAAGGCCTTCAGCTCGAAACGTCGAGAAGTGTTCTTGTCTATTTTAGGCAGTTGTTATACCACATTTGATGCTAAGTTGTTTGAAGACGCTTGCTCCCTCGTTATATATTGAAAGGTATCTATATTCATTTTACAGCATTTTATTCATTTAATATTATGCTGTAAAATCATGAATAAATAAAGTATAACAGTAAGGATACTTCGTACTCGCAAAGTAAAAACTATCAAATTGCAGTTACCTGTAATTTTGCAGTGGTTTTCGTCATGGGCTGTGTCAAAGGAAATTCACTTGGAGTTGTACCAAAACTTTGTTGTCCTGAAGATATCGGTCTTACATACGGAACAGCAGCAGAAATCACTCTGGAACTTGCTTTATCACCAAGAAGACTAAGATAAAACTAATAAAAAGAAATACAGAATTATTCCATTATAAACGAGATCTAGTGTTTCAATAATTAGATTCTTGAGTCTATACAGTATAGCTTTTATTTGGTCGTATAACGGCATGGAATTTCAAAATTATGTTTTACAACGTGAAGAGGAGTGCTTACAAACAGAAAATAAACCGATTTTTTCGTTACAAGACGCCAGGAAAAAGCACATTAATTATTTGTTACAATGTTTTGTCCCTGTGAGAAAATAAACTAAAGTAATGAAGATAAGCGAGGACTGAAGCATTTTGTGAGTCCTTTGAGAAAGTATATTCGATTTAAAGTTTATAGCGAAACATCCGCCAATTTATCAGTTAGGTCGATAAAGTACCTGTAAAAGTTTGTTTTTATCTGATAAACACCAACCTTGAGATTAAAGGGTATAGCATAAGTTGTCTTACCTTATAAAACAAAGAAAGAGCCAAACTCTTGCGATATTCAGCACTTGCAGTGAGTGGTGTTGATTCTGGTATAATTTCTTTATCCAATGCATTCATACAACCTATTTAGTATACCGCGTTGGGTATAAAAAATTGTTATCAATGGCTTGGTTTAATTCTCACATCGTACTTCAACGTAATTAGGATAAAACGTATTTTGAGATACCTTGAGTGATAACCTGTTTACCGTATGAAAGCGGCGGAGACTTTGAGATCCTTTCCTCATCTAGTGTATTTATTAACGTCTTACCTTTTAATGTTTCTGAGTCAAGAATATTCTTTCCTGAAAGATATTGCTGTGTACTACTTGCCCGAAACTGAAGAAAATTTTAAATATAAATTAAAGTGGAAGTAAATTTCGTTCTGCGCATCGGTTCTGCTCATAACAATATCAGGTCCTCTGATGTAAAACTTGCCCATACTTCCTGAACGTAACATAGCAATTAGTTTATATTCATTTAAATGAATACGTTGTACGTTTAATGTTTAAAATACATTGTAGTGTCTAAATAGCTAATACCGCTTAGGTTCACTACGTCTTTATAATATATACAACATATTTCAAAAAGTATGGAAGTTCAAAATTTAACCATACGAACTTGACTATACCCTAAGTAGAGATAAATTAATTTTGTCCGTGTATCCTCCCTTGCATAATCTTCTAGCTGAATTAAATTACTCTTAAATTACTTATCATGTTGATCCACTATCAATTTACTGTACGTTTGCGACGGGAGTAGAAATATACGTTTGTATGTGCAGTACGGGGGTGACACTAAGCAGACTTCACACAACTGACAATTCATCATACTTACCGGAGAAAGCTTCACACCACCAAACATTAAACTTGGAATTCCCTTTATAATATAGGTTGAGTCCATCGTGACCTTGAATCCAGCATTGACGTACGCATGCGCATTCTAATGTAGGAATAAAGCGATATAAAATTTCAGAATGCGGTACCACAACTGCCTAAAACACATTGACAAAAAAGCATCTCCACGTTTCCACATGGGGACCGTCGTTAAGACACTTGGGCTCTCGCCCACTCATCGCAAAAAATACTATTTTTAATTAGAAGCAAGCAATCGCAGCGAGGTCACGAGATGATTTTGCGATGGGTGGAAGCATTAGGGTCTGTTTACATGGAGCAAGTAATCCCGGGTAGGCGAGATGAACACTGCATAAAATTATAATGAAAGTCTTTTTAGACTAATCAGGTTAAGCCTTTGATGTGATGCGCTTTTTATCTCGCCGAGTTGGGATAACTCGCTCCAATAAATTTCGATGTGTTTGTATTTACAAATAACAATTTACACAACTTCATAAAATTTACAATTACTTCAAACTTTATATTTAAAAAAACGGACCCACAGGTTGTTTGCCACAGAATAGAATAGAATAGAATAGAGGTTTATTCAAATTACTTTGCAGCAAAAGCTGAATTACGTAATGATTACAACCTTTGTATTAAAATTAATTATGATACTACTGATATTACTTACATCAAAAAGTTTAAAAAGCAGAATAAAATTCAGTTAAAATCTAAAAGTCAGGTAGACCTAAACCTATTTAATTTTATTATTGAATCTGTTGCACATAGCAAAGATAAAAGAGTTTTTGGTCCTTTCAGTTTTAATTAGAGGCAAGTTAAAATTATTTACATTCCTTAAAAGATAGCCTGGATCATATCTTCCAGGCAATAAGTGACGAATCTTGTGATTTTCATCGGACATTACAGATTGGAACAAAGTGTCACATAAATATTCGTGATGATTTTCCATGGATTTAATGTTTAACAATCTGAGAGCATCAAGGTAATGCGTATCGGGCATAATTATCGCAATTGCCCTTTTCTCCAACCGTATCAGTTCATTCTTTAAATATTGTGGTAATGAGTGATAGAATACTGGTATTGCATAATCAACAACAGATCTGATACATGAAGTGTAAAACAATGCTAAATCTTTCGATTTCACTTTGGCACGTTTTAATTGTGAGAGAAAGTATAATCTTTTATTCACTTTCTTAACCACAACCGCGATGTGCTCATTCCATTCCAATTTACTGTTTATAGTGAGACCCAACAGCTTTATACTTTCCACGACTTCTAATTCTTTACCATTAAGAACCAAGGGATCCAGATCAATGGGATTTGCGGAAAACGTAATGCGCAGTTCTTTGCATTTCTCTGAGTTTAGTTGCATCCTGTTTTTTTCAGACCAGCAAGACATTTCGTTTACTAGGCTCTGAGCTTTACTAATGCCGTTTTTCCGACTATCTCAGATGTTGTTGAGTCGTCAACATACTTCCATAGATCCCCTTGAGATATATGTAAGTCGTTTATTAAAATAATAAACAACCAGGGACCTAATTTTGTGCCCTGAGGGACGCCTGATGGAACAGAGTCCCACGACGAAAAGCAGGAATTTCCCAGCTTAATTCTCTGGAATCTATCGGTAAGAAAATCCATAATCCAATTTACGACACTGTGGGGAATATCTAATTGTGACACTTTTTGATCAGGATTGAATGGTCTATGAAATCAAAGGCTTTCCGATAGTCGAAAAGAATTGTTCTAATAACTGATCCATTTCCATCTGTTCCAGTGTACCATTGGTGTAACATATTAATAAGTGCCATTGTTGTAGATGATTCAGGTATAACGCGTATTGATTCCGATCAATCGCCTTTAGTACAGCTGGCTTTACATATTTATTTACCACAAATTCTTCTGCCACTTTAGAAACGCACGAAGTAAGCGAAATCGGTCTTAGATCTTTTTCCGGGTGTTTCACAATCTTAATTTTTGGCATTGGAATAACATCTGCCTTTTTCCAAAGGGAAGGAACATACTGCTCTCGAAAGGATGCGTTGAGAATAAGGGTAATAGGAAATGCAAGGATAAATGAATATTCCTTTAGAAGCCAGTTAGGGATTTCATCTGGACCAGCTGCTTTGTTCACCTTAAGTTTTGATAAGACTCTCTGTACTGATAATTTGATACATTGAGAAAAACTGGAGACTCTTCCAAAGGGTATTTGGGTAGTGGAGAATGTAACCTATACTCATTCAGTGGGTCTAGAAATGCCGCGTTAATCTTATTTGCTTGATCTTTAGGGCTTAAGTTGGAGAATTCCTCAACGCCTGTAAAGTTGGACACGCTTTCCTTGATCTTAAAATTACAAATACGTTTCACCTCGTTCCACCATTTCTGTGGATTTTCTTTTCCCAGTTTTTGAACTCTTGACTCGTAGTACTTTCCACGACATGCCTTTCTTTCAGCATTGACCATGTTTCTGTAATATTTAAATTCGGTTGAGTTAACTCCATATATAGTAAACGCCTTCTGTCTTTTTCTTATAAGGCTTTTCAATGTGTGATTCATCCATGGAGCATCAGTTAGGGAAATTTTAACTTTCTTCATTGGCATAAGAATGTTTAATCCAGACAGAACGGCTTCATTAAAAACGTTCCACATATTTTCACAATTTTTTTCAGCCATAATTAATTCCCAGTTTATTGAGCTGAGATATCTTCCCAGTTCTGCTCTGCAGTTTGCTCGTCTATCGCGTTTCGTTATAATCTTCTTCTTTTCTTTATTACTGGGCTTAATGCTTGGTGGTATCACTATAGTGTTATGGTCAGAAAGACCAAAAGGAGGAAACGCCTGAGGTACCGTATAAATCCAATCGAGTAGAATCTAATCAGACTGATGCAGGAAAATTAATAGTCACCTCGAAATTTATACTAAATAGCAATATGCATTACCCCCAGTTAATACTGTGCGGTTTGAATCATGAAAACTAGACTACTCCATTTAACCGTAAAGGTAATCACCCTCAAAAGAAATCAGAGCCTACACAAGACGAATATCGCTATGATTTTAGACGAAACTAAATACCTGGTGTCGCGGCATGATTTTGAAGGTTCTTACAAATTCATCACTGGCAGTAAACGGAATATCGATTCTAAGTATCACCTGGGATAAAAATATTTAAAGAAAAAAAAAGCAATCCCATCGTTTTAGCGTTAAATAAAATTTGGCCCGTTATCGTGTTTATAGAAGTCAACCATTTCTCTTCGTTGCGTGTCCACCTCTGGCATTCAAAACTATAAAGCAACTGTACATTAAAGGAAATTTTCTTTTCACAAGCTGACCTCCTTATGCCCTTCACAACTTAAAGCTAAAACGTGATCCTTTTACTGTTTTAAAATCGATGCACCTTTAGTGTTATGACTTTGGTGATAGTATTGGGTAAACTTGCAGTCTGCTAGAGTTCCGATATAACAAGGACTTATTGAAATCACTAGACTAGGGGCAGATTTTATCATCGTTATTATCACTAATGCTTACCTTGTTACGCATGTCAACGTTTAGAAAGTCTTCCAAACAATAGGGCTGGGTCGACCCATCAACTTTACCTAAAAGGAAACATTTTTGAAAAAAACGGTTTCGGAGAAGAATTGGGTCTTTAATCTTTACCAATAACAACAGTGGCTCCAACAGCGCACATTATTATGAACATATCTGACGGAAAATCACGATGCTTGTGAATCATCATCAGATTTCCAGCCCAGCACCCAACCTATTTATGATAGAAGAGAAAATTAAAATGATTGTTCCTAAAATTCGATTACTCTACTAAGTGGAAACAAAATTAAATGTACAATTTAGGTGTATATATATTTCAGAAATGATTACTTCTTTTTAGAACAGCAAACCAAGTTAACACCCCAAATAAACATTCTTAATTACGCATGATATTTCTTCCAACTATTTTATTTACTCACATTTCTAACTGGAACGTTGGCAATCTACGAAAATTAAGAAAGAAATCTATTTACGTATCACATGTTTATTATCAAGTATCAACTAGTTATGTATCGTGGTCCGAGTTGCTGGAAGGGCAGTTATAGCCTTAAAGCTCTAATAATTTCATTGCACTTCCGACGCATGCGCATGACCGTAGTATAGTTAGCACGATAATTAGGACGGGGGGGGGGTGCATACTCTTAAATGTTTATCGTTCATAATTTCATGAAAGAAAATATATATTTCACTTCACCTTCTTGATATGAGATGCAAGAATCTCAAATGATTTGGATTTGGAAGAGTTATTCCTCAGCTCTGCGATCATCTTGTTTAGAGAGAGGGCAGCGCCAAGCTGCAAAGATGTCTCAGTTACCTGAATAGCAAAGCGTAAACTGAAAATCAACTTCTATTCCACTGGTAATATCACACTCAATGAATTGGTGTGTTAACTGTAGTGCATTAGATTTATAAAAAAAGGCGTACGTGAGGGGTCATATAACTTTGTATTTTAGAAAATAGATAAAGTACTTTGAAAGCAATGCAAGCCTATTCCAGGTCTGAGGGTGGAAAGACCTTGATGATGTGCGAGTTTTCAGGAATTAAATTTCATACAATTTGATTAGAATTACAGAGCTTAACAAAGTTTTAGAGATTGAAGTGCTGAGATTGGGAAATTTAGGTCTTTATGGATTGAATTACTAAGATTATAGGATTTGAATGAATGGAATTATGACGAGTAAAGATATCTGAGATTATTGGAGTTTGGGTCTAAGGAAATTTTTCACAGGGATTATGGAGTTTAGGTTTTAGGGATTCGATTACTGCCATTAGGGGGGTAAAGTTTGTAAAGTACGAAAAGCTGGTTTAGAATAATGCCGAGATGGATGGCATGCAGTCAACATGTGGAAATCACAGGCAGCCCGGTCACTGCTGTTACGTCATGCTATTATATATGTATATAATTACAATAAGGCTGGCAACTCTCTCGCAAAAAATATAATACATACATTAATACCATCGCTTAAAACAAAAATACTACGCTAGTTTCTTAAAAAAAAAACAGATACAAAACACCTTGGATATATTGACTATATTTATCTGTCGTTTTTAGACTTGAAAAAAACTCTAAAATGCTCAAATTTTGCGAATTAAAAGTGTATTTTCGTTGAATTTTTGCGAGACAGAGGCGGGATATAGTTTACTCGACAAACGTCATCATCGGAGAATTCGTCGGCAAATTTCTGATTGGCTGTGGCAAGTTCGGAAAATTACGAAGGTCAACTCAATGGAGAAGAAAGATCTTCGTTTTTTCCGAACTTGCCACAGCCAATCAGAAATTTGCCGACGAATTCTCCGATGATGACGTTTGCCGAGTAAACTATATCCCGCCTCTGTTTCGCAAAATTTCAACGAAAATACACTTTTAATTCGCAAAATTTGAGCATTTTAGAGTTTTCTTCAAGTCTAAAAATGACAGATAAATATAGTCAATATATCCAAGGTGTTTTGTATCTGTTTTTTTTAAGAAACTAGCGTAGTATTTTTGTTTTAAGCGATGGTATTAATGTATGTATTAAATTTTTTGCGAGAGAGTTGCCAGCCTTATTGTATTTATATACATATATAATAGCATGACGTAACAGCAGTGACCGGGCTGCCTGTGTTGAAATTAGAAGGTCCTGTTCATTAAAGTTTTGAGTTGCGACCTAACAATTTATATCATAAACTACGTAAACTAAATTACCTGTACGGTATTCAATTCGGGCACATCAGCAATATTAATGAAAACATCATAATTACTATCGTCTTTGTAAACACCTGAAATATATGGCAAGTCGTAAGTTTCTGGTAATTAATCCCTAATAATTATCATTAATAAAGTATAATGACGCCAGGTATTAATACGCCAGGTATTAATACCTGGCGTCATTATACGACGTCACGGTACGACGCCAGGTATCAATAAGTTCTCAAAGCTTTCGATTGCATTATTTACAAGGAGTTTTCTAAGACGAATTATAATTTTCCAAATAACTACCTTTTCCAGTGTTGCCAACAACGAATCTGATGACTTGGGAGTCATGTGCATCCAGCACCGTATAGAGATCCTTCAGAGATATAGGTTCAAACCATAACGGGCGTGCAGATATTTCTCCCTCACTGAAGCAGCAACCGTGACATGTTTTAATCTCATCACAGCAATTTCTTTGACATCTGTGAAGGTCCTGGAAATAGTTTGATAACATATTACATCTGAATTTTTCACCCTCATGGATACAGTTGCAAAGGATTCGCAGGTACCACTCGGAGATAACTTATTAACAAAGACGAATGATAGCAGCCCAGCTCTGGGAAAATAATTTTCATTGCGACAAGTAAGATCAGATAAATTTCATGAGTAAAAGTATGGTGATTATAAGGTCTACATTTTGCTTGGAAATTGCTCTTTGCAACATTAATAACTCTGCTTTATTGGCAAGCGAAGAGCTTTGACAGTGTAACCTAGCCTTGAAACACACATGATGAGGGTATCTTCGTGTGTTGAAGTTGACTGAGAGTGAAACAAGTGGGAAAGACATCAAAAGCTTATAGTTACGCCCAGGGCCGTAGGTAAACCGCTTAATTGGGGGAGGGGGTGTATTCATATATTCATGTCTATCTACCGCAGAAACAATAGCGTACAAAAGAAATCAGCCGGGCATAAGATGAATATACACCCCCTCTCCCAATTAAGCTTCTAGCTATGGTCCTGGTTACGCCGTATGGAGTATTATAGCTAGTTGATTAAGCAAGATATTATTTACCTCAATATCAATGGGATTTTCATCTTTTGCAAATGATTTCATCGCATCAAGTATGGGACGGAAACCTAAACGTTAAGTAAAATTCACGATTAATGTCAACATGGGGGTACAGGGGTCAGGGGGACAGAAGGACATGGCGGGCAGCTACCTAAACCAAATAAAATGAAGTTTATTGTTACAAATCTGGTAAAAGTTAAAATTCGGGTACATTGTAAAACAATTAAAAGTGCGATCCTCCCCTCCCAAACGAAGTTGCGCCCGTACGCCTATGAGCATTAACGATACTGATGTTCATTGGATTGCAACAAATCCATAATCCCCCAGAGTTATTGACGAGCCATTAAACCAGAGAAACTGTATATAAAAATTCAAACAGCACTGTTTCACAGCTCGATGTAGGTTAACTCGCTATTTTTTTTGCCCAAGTACAGCAGCTATTTTCCTGAATATACTTCAGCTATTCTGCCGGATAATAATTATTTTCAAAAATATCTTTAACCTGTACAACGACATAAGTTGCCATCAAAACCATCTTCAATATCTTGCTTAGTCGGTTGAGCATTTTTCGAGAGTAAGCTTTAAGAAAAAGAAATGAGAATAAAGTAGTGCTGATTAGTTATACTGCAGAACTGGGGTACAAAGAGTTTGGTAACAAAGAGAAACTAATGAAAAAGAGAAATATTAGACACTTCTTTTAGAGGGATTGTTCCTACGGTACACATGGATGGTCGAAGGTAGTTGGTTAGACAGATGAATAGTTACGTAGTCAGGCAGCCAGGCATGAAAAATGGTAATCAGGTAAATGAATACGCAGCAAGGCAGGCATGAAGACATGCGCTGGCGGGCAGGTTGGTAGGTAGGTAGGTAGGTAGTCACGTAGGCAGACAGGGGCGGAACCATTTCTGCTGACTGATGCGATGTTTAGAACCATGCTTCAACACCACTATGCGGTACATATTCCGGTATATTGGACCTTATCGAGGTCGGATATATATTCCGGTTGTAGATACCAAGGTCGAATGTACCATATTCCGATTTATTCGACCATATCAACGTTGAATATCCCATATTCTAATATACCGCACGACGTTAACACTGAATAGAAATCGATATCCCCCTTAAGGCAGAATATATTAATACAACCTCAAGTCGCAATCGCATTGGTAGATTTTAACTTAAATACGTTCTTCAGAAATCCATAACCAATAGCGTTGTTATTAAGATATTTTTTATTTTGAAATTGAAATTAATTCCTTTTGTTTTGTTCCGCCTAATCCTAGATCCGGCAATGATTAATATCATATACGATCTACCTAGTTGTACGCCAAAAATGCGCACAGACATCTTACCCGTACATACTCATTACCATTCCCGGAGTGCAAAAACCACACTGACTGCCATTATATTGCGCAATACGTTCTTGAATAGGATGATAACCAGACCGGCTGCTGTTGAAGAATAAACAGAATAATAAATATTTTTGTTTTTTAACACTTCACAGTTTTGAAATTTTTGTTTTATTCATGCCAAGTGTGGATCTGAGATCGATTTGCGTATTCTTCAGACATTTGATTTACACAAGAGATATACATATGGGAATATGCTCAATCAAGGGCGATCTATATATAGGCCTTATAAAGCCTGGCAGCTAGCCTGTAGTAATGTAGTAATTTCACTCGTTTACACTGCACTCATGCAATTTTAATGGGTACCAGTTAGATAAGGGTAACAATTCTAGCCAAGCCAATAGATTGAGTGTAGTAACATAAAAGATGACAAAACTGTGGAAAGTGAAAATTTACCTCCCCAAACCTTCAGTCGTTGTAATCTTACATCCATCCGTAGCAAAGAGAGGAAGAAGACACTGGGAATTAAGGAAATATACGTCATGACCGAAAGATTTAAAATCGGTCGGCGAAGGTCGAGGGTTTATTTTTTCCGCATTTTTCATATTAGACAGTACACCTTGACCTTTAACTGTCGCGTTTAACATGGTCAGACATAAACGTTTTCCGTCTATGTCTGAGCATGTTAAACTCTGCGCATGCAATAGACCTGGTCAGCAGCTCTTTCTTTTATGTAAAGAAACATTCTCGGAAAATCCAATATCTTCAAAAGGCATGCATGTAAACATTTTCTCAGCAAACCAGCGAAAGGTAAATTCAGTTTTTGCAGCCAATCTTACGCTGTTGACAGCCATCACTTTGTCCTTCTTCGTTGCCAGATCTTGTTTTGTTAACACCACGACACACGCGCCACACCCACCTTCTTGGCATGTTACCTTCGTTCCTAGAAGATGACATTGAACCCACATAAAGCCAGCCGCACATTGGAGCTATCAGCTGAGCCAAGCGTCAATCGGCAGCGGAGCTGAGCGTCATTCAACATGTTGAATATCTTGAAGCAGATGGCACGAACGCCGGAAAGCGCTGACAACGCCACCGCACACTAGATGAACTTGCTTACGCCAACCGTCACGAGTCACGCTCAGCTCAGCTGATAGCTCGAGGCTTAAGATCATTGTGATGTGAAGTCATAGTAGTTGATTTCAAAAAGTATCGGGAACTGAAATTTTACCAAAAACACGATAATGACTTTTATAATACAAAACTATCGTGACGTATTCCGCACCAGAAAGGTCATAGGAGGAAAGTCTATTGCAATTAGCAGATTTCATTCATTTAAAATTAAACCATGGATCTTGAGCAACATAACTGCCTTTAAAAATGTTCCATACCTTTGAGTCCAGGTTGTGATCTCAGCCATTCATTTAACGATGTCGTTGAACTTGTGTTAGAAATAAGATACTTCACTCCATTAACTTCAACGCGCACTGTTACTATTGCTTTCCCTGACATTTTCATGTAGAATCACGAGCGTTCACAATAACGATACTGCGCGGAAACAATGAAAATTAGAATTGAGCTTTGACATATTGTCCATAAACACTCCTCCCCCACACCCCCTCGTCGCTTTATTATATATTCCTCTCATATAGCCGGTTATGCACTGTACATGTACTGCGTATCGAAATAAGTCGTTTGTGGCTAAAATTACAACCCGCGATGTAATTTTTAAGCAATCTTAAGGCGATTCTCCATTACCGTACGCTTTACTCGCGCGGGCGAAGCGTCTTTTGAAAATCGGCCCATGGGACCATGACGGATCTGAAAAACAAAGCGCGCTTCGCCCGCGCGGGCGGAGCGGACGTAATGGAGAATCGCCTTTAGTCGGTAGAACAGCATTCGGAATATATAAAAACAGTTTGATAACGCGGACTAAAATCGTACGACAAAAATCGCGTCGTGTGCGTAACTGCGGTGGCAATCGCAGCTTAGTGCTGGGGTGTAGAAGTTTTAACAATACGCTATTTTAATAATTCGACATTTTTATACAAACATGTTCTTGTATTAATAAAAAATCACGGAGTTTGTCAAGTGTGAATTATCTATGCATGTCCATGCTTGTACAAAATGTGAAAGCTGTTATCTTTCGTGAATAAGGCTTTATGTTTTAAAAACATGCACGTATAACAAAGGCGAACCTCTGCAAACGAGCATTAACGATTCTTTCGTCGCGTTAAACTCGGGATGTTGTAAAACACTGACTGGACTGGACTGGACTGGACTAGACTCGAAAACACTGACCGAGTCAGTGTTTTACAAATCACAGAAAGATCTTCGAAAATAATTCCGTAAAGTACAAATTAGTACTGATAAATTACCAAATAATTACAATTAGCCTGTTGCCGTATCAATAATCATTATTTATTTTTCATTTAAGAAGCTGATTGCCATACAAGATGTATTTAGCCAATCTCGGCAAACTCGGTCCAATATGTAAAAGTCAAGCTTTCGTCACTTATTAAGCCTAACCTCTATATGCACGATTTACGTCATGTTGCTTTTTCTTATATCTGTAAATTTCAATGCAACTGTGATTTTAAATTAGTATTTACTGCGCTACGATCACTGATCTGGCAAGGATTAATTCCCGCCAGAAACGAGAAACCTCTGAGCTATATAATAATTCCTGGTAGGAATTATAATATAGTCCATGTTTTACAAATCACTGACCGAGTCAGTGTTTTAAAAATCACCGAGTCAGTGTTTTACAAATTACTAACCGAGTAAGTGTTTTTCGAGTGCACACGTCCATATTTTACAACATGCCGTTAAACTCGGTGTTAATGATACTAATGAAGCTTTCGTTCGTTCTTGTTCTACGATGAAAGTTATATTTTAAAACTATTTCTCTGCGGGTGTGCATTAACAATGACCGATTTTATTCAGACTACATTACATTCGGGCCATCAGCCGTATACTCATACCAATAGAAAAAATGGAAGTTCACGCGAGAAGCGGTAGCGTAGCCAGCCTGACGATTACTCCACTATGCCTTTATTGTCCATTGACTGTGAAAACTATGAATTTCTTAGAACTGAATGAGTAATTATAAAAATTAACAAACAACTAAATTGTCAGGCTGGCTACCGGCTGTTATTGACAAGGCAGAAGTAAGTAAAATCAAACCTTTTGAATTGTTGTTCGTCTTCCCCAGGAAACTTGGTTTCACTAAAACTCGCTGTTCAACACGTTGAAGCGATTGTCGGCTGGTGTGAACCTTTCGATGTATATAACAAAAAGCGAGACAATATAGAGCGCCTGAATGCGAAATACTAATCTCTATCAACACATAGGTTTGATAGAATTTTCCGCGAACGTATGTCTCCGGATTATATTACATAAATTTATTATATTCAAGATATGCAAACATTCGGTATTTGTTTCCAATTGGCAAAAGCACGTTTAACACCAAAAAGATTTTCTTACCTACGTTTATTAATACATTCTAAAATGATTGCGTTTGATTAGGATAAATGGATTAGATTATTGACTGAAAATTAAAGAACTTATAATACATTGTAAATTGATCATAATACTGAATAGTGTCTCTTAACGGCGGAAACCAACATACGACTACGGATAACGCAAAGAAATTCACTTCGCCCTGTCCTAATATTGAAACAAGTTGAACTAAGTATATAAAATGAAGCTAAATTATGATCAGATGTAACTGAAACAAATACACGGGCTTTGTGCCCTAAATGACGTCAACTGAATAAGTTTTTTACTCATTTACTTAATTAGTTTTAAATTAGCGTTAGAACATATGGTTAGAATTCTGGGGCCGGTTGTTCGAAAGATGGATAACTTATCCAACGGATAAGTCCTATCCAACGGATAAATCTGCTATCCAGTGGATAGTTATCCATTGGATAAAAATGCGTTGCACGAAGCGTGGATAGTGAAGTGGATAGCTATCCAATAGATAAGGTAAAATTTACCGGAAGAAAACAGGATTATCCTGAAATTTCGTACCACAACGTCAGCTGTTGCTAAGCATTTACAACATTGAACTCATAATCATTACGAATTTTCGAGTATAGTTACTGAATGGAAAAGACTTGAACAAGTGATTTGCTCGAACTTTGCACTTCACATCATAGTGATTTTATTAATCAAACACATTGCAATTTTATTCCTTGACCTTGCAACGCTTTGCCTTTCGGTTCCATAGCAAATTTAGGAACACTATTTTAATGTTCGTGAATGAAATTACTTAGATATTAGCAAGTTTCCTTGGAATAGGTTGAATCTTTCTTTGCATATTCGCGTTTATAAACTGATTAGAAGCGTATAGTAAATTTACCGCCTGTTATAAATGCGAGGATCTCCAAAAAATCGCCGCTCGGAACGGCATGTGTAGGCAACGTGAAACGCTGCTGCGACAAATTGCACTTCGAAAACATTTTTAATAGTGAATACAATCATGATGTGTATTAGTTTGTTGAAACACAGTAACAGGAATATGGCATTTTTTTCTTATTTTATATAAATGTTTTGAATTTATCCACTGGATAGTGGATTTAAACCACCTCCGGACCTTGGATAAATTTATCCGGTAGATAGCGATTTTTATCCGCTGGATAAAGTTATCCAAGCTTCGTGCAACGCAAATCACACGCTGGATAAAACTTATTCATTGGATAGCGACTTATCCGTTGGATAGCGACTTATCCACCTTTCGAACAACCGGCCCCTGGTGTTTATGAAATCCTATAACTCATCACTGGTTCACACTTGTGCATTTCTGTTTTGCTCTGCTCAGTGAAGCTACAGAATAAGTTAAAACGAGTTCAAATATCCTTCTTAATACGCACTCTACACAGCCTCGTACTCAGGCGCTTTAATAGTAAAATATATAACGTTGCATTCAGGTCTTATATAGAGGTCAGCAGAAAATAGCAAGCGCGCAGGGGTGCTTTTTTTGCGAGGAAGCGTCTGGAAGAAAATGATCGATTTCTGGCAAATCGTGACCGATTTCTGGAAAACGCTTGTATTTTGCAGTTTATATTTTCATTATATATATTTTTTACTGGATCGACTGCCGATGCGCTAGCCAAGTATTATAAACGTTTCCTTTGGCGAAGAATCATCTGAAGGTACTTTTATTTAAATATTTTCCGTCGGAGTGACTATATTCGTAGAGTACTCGAATAATCGCCTGCCGTATTTACATATTCACTATTGGGAAATGCGAGCGCATTTACAACATATTAAGAGGTTTCTGTTCATGACATAAACTGAGATAAACTCATATTCCTTTGTTTACAGGTTTAATAATCCGATGACGAATTCAACGCGATATGAATTCAAAAGTAAATAGATTCCATACGTGATACTTATCGAATATAATTTGTAACATGAAATGTTCAATATTAATCAACCTATAACATTTTTAAAAACCGGTGTATCTGTAAAAACCTGAATCTAATTCAAGTAATTATAGTATATAATTATGTTGTATTGTATTATATTGTATAATTCATTTGATTGTTTACATGTTGAAATCATTTTCTGCCAGGCGCTAAATTTAGCAAAACCACTCCAAGCGCCCTCGTGTTTTTTAGCTGACCTCTATACAATAACTGAATGCAACATTATTTTTTTACTATTAAAGCGCCTGGGTACAAGGCTGTACTCTACAATCTTCATAATAACAGCTGGCTGCTGTGCAATTGCCATTTTGAGACTACACACCAGGGTCCGGTTGTACGAAAGGTGGATAAGTCGCTATCCAACGGATAACTTTTATCCAGCGTGAAATTTGCGTTGCACGAAGCTTGGATAAATTTATCCAACGGATAAAAACCCCTATCCGTTGGATAAAGTTATCCAAGGTCCGGAGGTAGTTTAAATCCACTATCCAGTGGATAAACTCGAGATACAAGATAAAACTGTAAACATTTACGATGAAAAGGACAAAAAAGCAAGTTTCCTATTACTGTGTTTCAACAAACTAATGTACATGATTGTACTCACTATTAAAACTGTTTTCGAAGTGAAATCCAGCCATTGTTATATTTGTCGCAGCAGCATTTCATTTCGTTTACACATTCCGTTCCGAGCGGCGTTTTTCTGGACATCCTCACAATGATAACAGGCGGTAAATTTATTATATACTTCTAACCAGTTTATAAAAGCGAATATGCAAAGAAAATTAAACCTATTCCATGGAAACTTGCTAATATCTAAGCAATTTCAATCACGTAATAGACAAGTAAAGACAACAAGGCTACGAATTTTGTTCTTCGCTATGATTAGCCAATCAAAACTTTAAAATAGTGTTCCTAAATTTATTATGGAACCGAAGGGCAAAGCCTCGCAAGGTCAAGGAATAAAATTGCAATGTGTTGAATAAAATCGCTAGTATGTGAAGTGCAAATCACTTAATCAGTAACTAATCGACAATTCAGAATGATTCAATGTTATAAATGCTTAGCAACAGCTGACGTTGTGGTACGAAATTTCAGGATAATCCTGTTTTCTCCGGGTAATTTTTAACTTATCCATTGGATAGCTATCCACTCCACTATCCACGCTTCGTGCAACACGATTTTATCCAATGGATAACTATCCACTGGATAGCATATTTATCCGTTGGATAGGACTTATCCGTTGGATAAGTTATCCACCTTTCGTACAACCGGCCCCAGGTTATTACAAATTTTTAGTGAGAGACGTATTTTGTTGCATCTAAAGCCATCTATAAATCTTTTTTGCCACCATATTTGAAGCCTAAGTATAGAAATGCGGCTAAGTTTATAGAATGCAAACCAATTTTCCACGGTGCCGTTAGACTTTTGTTTAGGAATAAGGATTAAGATAATCTTATAATAGTAAATGATAGTAAATTCACAATTATGAAAATTAACCCAGAATAATTCTCTTATAAAATTGGCAACTCTTTTATTGACAGTTCAAAATACTACATGACGTTTAATGATAAAATAGATCTACATCTTTGATTCCGAGGAACAGAACATAAATAGATATTTATGAACGATTCATTGGCATATTTCTTGTATGATACAAAACGAAGTCAGTAAAGTTAAGACATTTTCTCAAAATTACTGCCGCAAGCAAATAACCATCCACCAATGCGAGCCTTCTTTCGTTTCTCGACATTACTTGACATTGAAATCTATAGAAATGGGGAAGTAGAAATGATGAATATAAGTTGGTTGCAGAGACCTTTGTACAATTATTTTGTATGCAACCCTTTTATTTGTCTTTCACTGGATGAGGCGCATTGCCATTGGAGGTTGGTGTGAGTATTCCCAAGGCAAGTGCGCCCTCTTAAAAACCCGGTATAATAGGGAATAACTGTTCATAAAATCGAGTGGGATGCGAGTTAAAATGCTGACTCTGAGCCTCAGTATCTGCTTTGCAACATACCGCGTCTGACTCGTCAAGTTTTCTTTTCATGCCTGAAACCTTAGCTTTCACATCGTCGAGGTTCTCTGCACCGTGATTATGATCCTGGGTGCTTGTAACCTCGGAGGACCGACCCCGGGTTTTGTTCTCCTTTTCTTCTCCTTCAAGAGAGTCGTGTAATGATTGCACAGATGACGTCTCAGACGATGATCGAGTCGCCAACCTTGAATACTCTCCATGTTTGTCTTTTGGTGGAGTATCGATGGTTCTTTGCAACTGGCTTGGTTCTCCAGTTTCGATCAGAAGTTCTTTATTCTTGTTTGGACTAAGGCAACCAAGTGGATATGATGGCTGGAATTATGACATTGCACACGTTAAATTGTATCGTGAATGACGCATAAACTCCTGTTAGATTGGGCTATTAAATAAGGGGTATGTAAAGGTTAGATTACTTGGATAGAGTGCTAATGTTTGTGAGTTCCACTGCGATTGGCTGGCTTAAGCGAATTGGCAAAGCTAGCCAATCACGAGGCATAAATTTGTTCACATGTTAAATAATGTGTTGATAAACTAATGGGTAAACGAAATTCCTGCTTGTTCAGATGACACAAAAAGAAAAAGATTCATGAAACCAAGGACAGGTAAGTTAAAGCTGTCCATGCACGTATTAAAAAATATTGGATTTCTCACCATATACCCAGAATGCAGCATTGGCCATAGGCACAGTACTCTTAACTATAGTATTTCTAACTATTATAGTATATTAAAATGTTATAGAAGCTATTATTGTATTTACATTTTTCATGGGACTTCTAATGCTGTTACCGCTGTCCTGTTTTCGTTCGTGATTCTTTCTTGCAGGCGCTCTTCTTATTCCTCTTCTTGAGTCATTACAAGCAGCTCGTCTTGGTTCTTGTGCAGGTTGACCTGAGTTTTGAGTAGAGCTAGAAAAAAATACATTAATAACAACAGTTGCGAGAGTGGACGCGTAGGCAGAGCAAGCCCCCCCCCCCCCGGTAAAATTTGGGCCCCACTTGAGAAAATGTTAATCATTGTCATGCCGTTAATAATACAGAAAGTGTGTATGTGATCCTGCCGATGGAGATTGTCCAACATCAATGGCACAGAATTCGTTACAGAATGTTTTGCATAAACTTTGTCTCAGGTCACAGTAGCGGCCTGACCCCATGCACCTGGGTTTTTGCTGGCTCCTCGTTTCTCAAATCCTGGCTACGACTCTGCCCCGCACTCCCCAGCCTAGAAAGGTTGCATGCAATTTAAATTTGGGGGGACAATCTACGAAATTTGGCTAATTTATTTTGAAAAATATTTTGGTGTGCTTGGAAAGTGTGACTTTGAGTGTCATCTGAGGCTCTGTCAGTATAGAACCTTATCTCATTTTTATATGTTTTCGAGCAACTGCAACCTCGTCTTAACAGCAGATCTTGCTCTTCCCACATCCCTCATTAATATTCAAGCACACATCTGAATAGACTAAGTGCTATCACACGCTCGACACTACGTTTATTCTACTACCCACCACGTTTATTCTACTACCCACCACGTTTATGCTACTACCCACCACGTTTATGCTACTACCCACCACGTTTATGCAGCCTACTACCCACCACGTTTATGCTAAATTCATTCATCAATAAAAAGGATTGATCCCGTAATGAGGTGAGGTATGGCTTATTGTCAATGTGACAATACATGCAAACGTTTCAAACAAAGCTGCTTCAGCTTCTACTTGGATAGCTCATGCCCTATTGACGCATGCATGAATACAAAGATTTTAATATTAAGTGATTGTGGGATATATGGATACGTTACGGCTATAATCATTAAATAATTAAAAATTAAATGCGCTTACTCGATGGTTTTTCTTATTTCATTCAGCCACGACTTTGCTTCGCCTTGCGACTTTGAGAAGAGTAACAATGATTTGTCTTGACACTCGATCTTAAGAAAAACAAAAACAGAATAAGCTTTTTAATGAAACGAGTTACACGGTTAGAATAAGACCCCAAAACATTTCTTTATTTTATGGACAGTGGTGTTTTTTAGATAAGCTGCGTCTATTTTCCGTATATGAGGGAGAATTGATATTTACAAATGGATGTAATTTGCTCGCCATGTTTCGACGGTTTTAAAAACTGCGCCGGAGAAAAAAAATCAAATGAATATAAAACGTATTTTAAATACGTTTAATTTTGATTTATACAAAATCGTGATAGTACCTACGTTATAATACTTGGTCTGTACAGTTAGTGACAGTTACCTGTTGAAATCTTATCATATAAAAATGTAAAGTCTAATATATATTTTCAGAAACGGACTTACAGAAAACAATGCTCCGCCTTCATTAGCATTACCATCACCCATCACTTCGTGAACTTTGCAATGCTGCAAAGGAAATACTTGCAAACACAGAAACGGCCTGTTCAAATAACAGAAATATATTTTAAGTGAGTTTAGTTAAAATCTAATGCAGTTTAACATAATATAACATTTATGGTACGCGCGTGCTGATTGGGCGAGAAGCGTGTTTCTATAACTGTATAGAAACACAGGACTTTTCCCACCGAAATTGACAAGCGAAGTAATTATTATTTCTTGTTCTCTCAAACTTCCACGCGTGTTTCTATAACTGCATGTATAGAAACACAGAAAATGTTTTCTACTTCTTAAATGGTAACTATAAGACAGATATTTTGAAGTATTAGGTCAACTGACTCAACCTCGTACCCGAATACTCCAAAAAATTTGGAGTCACGTGGGCAGCCTTTTCCAGGGCTTCCTCCTCTCCCTACGAGAATGCACTGGGTACGAGGTTAAGTTCACTGTAGATCCGGCAGCGTAGCTAGAGCTGTAATCCGCCACGACTACCAACCTGTTGCTTTCTTTCTCGTTATTTTTCTTTGAATAAATCAGGATATCAGAGAAAAGAAAGAATGTCCTCTCCTTGGCCGATCTCCAACCGCTCTTACCGACCTAAAAATATTGAATAAAAATACATTTAAATAACTACGTGTTGTCAACTCGACCACAAACTATGAGGCATGACTAGTACTATAGTTTTGATACATATTATACTGGGGCCGGTGCTATTTAACTACACTTTACATATAGTTAAATTCTAGTTAGCTCGGACATACATTTATTATATGTGTATAGAGATTTATGCACAGCAGAATGATGAAATAAAAATCGTATTTCACAGTGTAAATAAATTTCATGCAATTTGATTGGACGTACGATGTTTTTCACGTGTGAAAAAATGCCATATACGTCTTTTGATTGGACGTACGATATTCTTCACACGTGAAAAATTGTCGTATGTCATTTTGGCGGCAATTTGTTTACATTTTCTTTCAAGATGGCGTCGAATTATAGGAGTGAAATTCAAAACATAATTCTCATATTCAAGATATTTTTACATTCAGCACATTTTCAAATCTTTCGGAAAGAATATCTAACTGCTATTGAACAAAATTACAAAGAAACTGAACGGTAATAAATATGTTTTGATGGATAAAGTTCGATATTGTTGCTCGCTGTGTTTTTGTATATTAAAAGCGTGTCGTTGTCAAATTGATCTCTATACACATTTAATAAACAAATTACTTCATGGTTTGCTCGTTTGTACGGTTTTTATTATGCACTCGTTGCGAAGGATCGCAAACTCACTCGTTCGCTGCGCTCACTCGTTCGTATTGCGATCCTTCACGACTCGTGCATAAAAATCGTACGCACTCGCCAACCATGAAGTAATCTCTATATATATGACTCAGTCTGATTGGCCATGCAATTCTGCTAAACTAGCCTTTCATACAACTGGCCCCTGAAGGCGAAATCATAATTAAACCAAAAAACATTTTCCAGCACACTGCAGTAAAACACAAAACTGATCAAATATAAAGTCATAATCCGCGAAAATCAGCACAAATATGACAAACCTTCAAAAGCGTGCCTTCCTTTAGAAATACACGACCTAAAAAAGAAAAAGTAAAACGATAATAATCGTAAACAGCTTTACATGCATTCTTTTGTAAAATAGGCGTTTCTGTTAAACTAAAACTATACGTTCACAATCCATCTTATAGCTTCAATTTTGAGGGTTTTATTTTGGGAACCGGACAAAACCTGTGTAGACTAGTTTGACTACAATGAATCACACAATTCCATCCCCGTCTTAAAATTTCGACCTATACATGCAGTATTAGGATTATTTACTTGACGTTACTGGACGTGCAATACTTAACAATTGGTTGTGATTGTACCTACGTAGTCACGTGATTACTATCAGTTACCTGGCGCTAGTATCTTTGGCGCGCCTTCACGACTGAAGCTGTTTTGAATACTCAATATTTTCTGAAAGTTCTCATGATGACGAATATTCTCGTTGATATGAAGGGCAACCTTGCTTATTTGGTCGACAGCCTCTGCAGAAGATAAAATCGAAAGTTAATTTAGAAGAACTGGAACGTTATCTCTAAAGGCATTGACTGAGGGATTTGGCTAAATGGAGCGATTGATTTAATGGAGCGTCAGCGCACGGTGCTTAGAGATCTATGTGTATAATAGTTAAATTAACACAACTTTATATTTCCCAAATTACTGAGGCTTACACGATACAAGATTAGTTTTCATATCGGATTATCTACGGTGATTCAACATACAATTCATAATTTTGATATCGGATTTGTTTTATTTAATACGATACCGGATTGATTGAAAACACAAACAAAATGGCGGACAACGAAGGGCAATTAAACAAAAAGTTAAAAAATAAATATTCTCGTGGACAGACAGTGAAATAGAACATCTTTTGGAATCGGTAACCTTAATCCCGCCAAACATATTTTATACCAGATTGGAGCGATTGCACGGAAACAGGAATGTTCCGGATCATTTTTCATGTCATCTCCAGAGCGGAGTGATTTTTACTCCGTGGAGCGTGCCAGATTGCTGCATCCTCGTGTAACTGCAACGCCTGTCTAATATGGAAAGTATAATCCGGAACACTACTAATCCGGTATCGTTTAACTGAAGCCTGAGTAATTTGAACAAAACTGTATGGTGCGTGACTGCAGGATGTATAGATACCTTTCAACTTATTGAAATCTGTATGATCATCTGACGTTTTCCATAGCAAATTTTCCAGTAACATTTTGTATCTAAATACCAAAATAAAAGATTTATAATTCAAAGACTCATAATTCAAAACCACATGAGGATGATAAAATGGATACGTAGTATGTATAAGTAGTTTGTTAAAATTAGGAACTATAACAACGGTTCTGAAGGCATCTTTGAGTGAGGGGAAAAGTTTCAAAATTGCACTGAAATAAACTTGCATATACCGTACCTCGGTATTCTCTGAATAGGCGTTATCAACAGTGCATTCAACTTGAGGCCTTTAGCTTCTTCGAGATTTTCTTGCTTTTCCTTAAATGCTGCAAACTTTGGACATTTCTTCTCCCATTCCTTCAACAGATAATATAATTAATTAGCATCAAATGGCCCTGACAAAACAAGACTTGCTCGCGAGCAATACTGTAATGATGTGTATACATGTATTTACTCTGATATCTTAATTAAGGTATTGTTTGATCTTCATAATTTGTGTCATTCTAAAGGCCCGTTTATACTAATTGTACTTTTTGGTGCAGTATTATTGCTATCTTTTTCTTTTAATAGATGTGAACGAGTGAATTAGTAACGGAGTTAAATAGGAGCCCGTACACATCTCAGCGGTACACATCAGAGCATTTGTATCTTATTACTCGTTCACATCGATCAAAAAAAGAAAATCGCAGCAAAAATCGCAAGTTCATGTAAACGGGCCTTAAATAAAAAAAATCATACGCAAGTTATAAATATGCGGTTGATGGAGTAATATGTTTTAGAAGGTCCTATTTCATCCTACATATGGACCATCTCTGGTCTAGCTGTCATAGTTATATATCGCATGCACTAATTTTAGTCCGGGCAAGGTCAAGGCCCCAATAGAACAAGGCAGTCTTTACCAGCCATGTTAATAGTTATAAAGTCCAAAATCTGACCGAACTCTGGCATCTTAGCATGTGAACAACGTATGCAAACTTGTGTTACAGCCAATCGAATCTCCCCTCACGTGGATGGCCTCCTTTTTATGCAAGGATTTTGCCCGCTCCCCATGCATGCATTGGTCATTTGCAAGACCTCAGCCAATGCGTCCACAACGCCGGTCAAATATTTAAAGATCTTTTATCGAAAGGCAGCAATACGTATCTGCGTTTCAAAATAATTATAATAACCAAAAACTACAAAAATAAACCTCATCCACCTCCCCACAGCGAAGGACCGGCCGCTGCATGTGGCATCCGCATGTAAATATGCTGATACGTTATGTTCATTCATATGTTATCTCTAGATAGTCTATCGATATTCTTCTTGTAACTTGTAATGAATTGCAGTGATTAAACAATGGCACAGTCAGACAATATTTGAGTCGAGCTGACAGACCTGAACAGGGGTCCGCCTGTTATCTAGAGGTCCACCTGTTCCTCTAGAAAAACCTATAGTTTTTACATGCTCGGTCGGGTTTTGAGTGCTCTTACTGTCTCAGTATAACTAATGGTGGTCCCTAGAACATCAGGTATCAACTCACTGAATAACTGAGCCAGAGCTGGCTATCTGCACTTAGAGGTCTCTGTTTCTCTAGATTTAGGTTAATTAGAGCCTCTAGATCTTTTTTTTGAGCGCTTCCTGCCCAAATTATATATGCCACAAAAAGTCTCATTGTGTTGTTGCCTTGCTGAATTGCCAGACGTTCAAAACCCTTATAAAGAATCCCAACATATAAACTACATTAACTGTACAAAATATACAATACAATTATTATAGAACACATAGATCAGTACGTTGCATCACAAAGGCGTCGATTAATTCTTGATCATGCCGCAGGACCGATCAAATTTTTCTTAACTATTCCTTGTTTGAACTTGAGTCAGCCCCAATTTAAAATTGGTAACCTCAGAATAATTTATTTGTTGTTCTTACCGCTAATTAATAGAATCGATCAAAAAGAGATGAATCAGAGAACATTCTTTTACACATATATATACGTATGGTTTGAGAAATTGATCTAGACCAACATGCATGCAGTGATGCACGTAGCGAACTATTACCAGTTCTAGAGACGCAGATCTAAAACCCAAACCAAACCTTGATTGTGTTGAGAGCCTTCTCGAAGTTGTTGGCATATGTACTGTAAAGTCGCAGAAATGGGGCTAAGGCCAAGAATGCATCTCCAATACCCATGGTCTCCATATGAACTAAAAGTTCTCGATTAACATTCTGTATAGCCTCAATATTAGAGAATATCTCATTATGAATCTGATCTGGAAGGATGGACATTTCTCTCATTGGTGAAAGAAACAACTATAAAAATACAAAAATATTTGTCGTGTGCTTTGCTAACATTTTTCACAACGGGCCAGATGAGAAATACCAGCCCGCTCGCTGCAAAGCTCTTTAGCCAATGGACGATTTGCGCTTTAGACTAACTTTTAAGTAGAGGATTAACTAGAGGAAAATAAATCACCCCAGCTAAAAAGATCTTACTTAAATTAGTAAAACTGTCAAGTTTGGCTGCGAAATTTTGTTAAATACGGAAAATATAGCCATGCGAAGTTGGCAAATTTTGTATACTTCTGTATTACGTGCGGAAATGTGTAACTAATTTAGTTACAAACTTCCGGTGGTAATACAAAAGTATACAAAAATCGACAACTTCGCATGGCTATATTTTCCGTATTTTACAACAATTTGCAGTCAAACTTGGCACTTTTACTTATTTCAATAAGCTTTTTCAGAAAATGTCTTTTTTATCGCCGAGGTAAGAAATTAGTCTAAAGCGCAAGTCGTCCATTAGATTGTGACGTTATCACATGGGATAAATAGGTACATATAATAGCACAGAATAGCCATCAGAAGGACAAGTCCACTGTTTTTTGGGTAAGTGTGATTCGTCATGATTTCGATCGTCACTCGATCAGCTGCCAGCAGGTACCGTAAATAGAGGCAACCCCCCCTGCCAATGTTTAATTAGTGCGCCATTTTAAAAAAATGAAAGGGGGGCGATTGCCTCTATTTACGGTACTGCTCAATGACGAATCACACTTACGCAAAAACAATGGAGTAATGTCCTTCTGATAGGTATCCTAGCTGTAATAATAGCGTGCATAAGAACTCGTACCCTTGGGTGACACGTTTGGCATGTGGATTTAATAAATGGATATCAACCAATAAACTGGGCATAGTTATAAGGTTAAAAAAATAATTGCATGCATGATCTAACTGCAGACACTCTTTAATTGACACTTACTGTTGTGATAAGATTTAGGTGTTCTTGATAACTTTGTTCAGTAGAAAATATCTCATCAACAATTCTTCGCCTCTTTTTGCAACTCGTCTTTGATGATTTGAGGATATTACTAAGCTCATCTGTTAAAACTTGGCCGGCCTGTGAAACTTGTAGGGATAGAAAACGTTTTGCTGTCTGGACTGTTTAAAACAAAGAGAAAAAGAGGTATGTAAGTATATAATTTTTATAAATCATTACAATTGAAACATATTATAAAATAATAAAAAATGTATATTAAAATAAAGAGAAGGTTTATTAATAAAATTATTATTCAAAGTCAGGATGATCAACAGCATTATATGGATGAAACGAAGTAGCGAATGCTAGCCAGGCAACATTTGCTGCAATTTAATGCAGGCGAAATAACTTCTAAGATGTGAGGCCATGCAGAGGTTGGGTAAAAAGGTTAATTATGAGTCAATGCTCAGAGATAATAAACTTTTGTAAATATACAGGTTATTATATAAAAACTATTTCTCTGACCACTTCACAATCTAGTTGGTAAAATTATATTAGAGAATTATATCATATATGTCACAACTACAGTACCGTTCACGGGAAAGTTAACAATCCCGTGTGTAAAATGCCCACACTCAATACCAGTGGCGTAACTAGAACGATAATTGGGGGTGTGAATATTCATATATTCAGTTCTGCCCTACGGATTTCTTTTGTAATTGCAGTTGCTTACAATAGAAATTCTTCGGGCAGAACTGAATATATGAATATTCACCCCCCCAATTATCGTTCTAGTTACGCCCCTGCTCAATACTCTATTTGACCTGGCCTTCTGGTTCTCTAGCTCCCACTGTAATTTCTATTATGTACATGCAGATCTAGATCCTAGAATCCATTCAATTTAAGTTGTCATCTAGCTTTCACCAGAATTTTGCTTGCATATATATAGCTATAAAATTTGTTCTTGGTAATAAATTTTATAAAATGAATTTGAAATGAGACTATAGCAACTTATCATGGAGCTAGTTAACACTATGCAGAAGTATATAGGGGTATGTGATCATATGTGGCAGGGCTATAAGCAAACATATACGTACAGATGCCATTTTTTTGCATGAACATCCTATTGGCATGCATATATAAGAGTGTATATGCCTTTTTGTAAAATCTTACATTTTTTATATATAGGTATATTAATTGCTTTTTTCCAGGCTGTGCTGGCTTATAGGTTGTAATTATAATTAGTTTTAATTAGGATGAGATAATACATCATTTAGGTGCTCTTTCTGCATTTTCTATTTACAAATCAAACATTTCTTGTTTGATGAACACAATACTTCTGAATATAATAAACATAAAAATAGAAACCACAATGGTCCTGGATTTTTACAAAATATGTAGAAAATCCTGAAAAACATTACTGTATGCAGTAATGTGCCATATTATAAATTCTCTTGGAAATGTATGCGATTAGAAGTTAAAAAAGCCGATAAGAGCTACAATCCTGGTCAAAACATTGACAACACTCTGTGTTAATTGACACTACAGTCAGCAGTCGTGGGATTTATTTCAAAATTCTCCACCTTTCCTCCACAAATCGATGTTGAGTGATGTGTCATAACTCATTCAAGCATTTAGCATAGATTCAACATTGATTATACAGGGGGGTGAGGGGGGGGGGGGAAACGAAACAGAAATATTAATTGCGTAAAAAAGTTTGTAGATCTGAGCCTTCAATGTAGGTATAGTGTAGCTATTTTGGACTGTAAATAATTTAAATAATGCATGCAATTTAAAAATTAATAGAAAAAAAAACATTTCAGGTTGATCAGCTGGCTATACCTGAAACATATCATTATATAAAAATGCTACCTGACAAACTCTAGTACTTATATCATCAGCTCACAGGGTGATGTGAATTAATGCATGATTGACTGTTGCAAACAGGAAAATAACAGATGTATATGTAATTACATATATAAATTTTTCCAATCACCAAGTTGAGAAAATATCAAGTAAATCTTGATAAAATATCTATATACCTAAATATACCAGTAGTCACTGATAATTTTTAAAGGTAAATAACCACTGACAATTATTAAACATATAATATTTGACATATCAAATAAATGATTATACACCTTGTTTTATATAGTGTTATCCAAGATTTAATCAGTTTAAAAAGATTACACAATTAGGCTTTCTCACAATGATGTTTGTGGGTACTACTTTTAATTTTCTCAAATATGTTTACAAAATTATAACAACATTATTTAAGCAATTTTTTTAGAATCAACAGACCATTTTGAAGAATAACTCCAGCCTAAATTAAAGACAGCCGCCGTAACGAAGTCATATGCTCACAGTTTTGCTAAAAAGTACACTAAAAATGGCAGCATATTCGTCATTGTGAGAAAGGCTAACTGAAGCATATGATTTTTACACACTCACCACAACCCCTCATACCATTGGAGTTATCATATGATTGATATATACAATCTGAATCAATAAAAACATTTTACCCACCATTACCTCTAGTATTTAACGACTAAATATATATACTGTAGAGTCATGCACCCCCCATGCCATTGGAGTTATCATATGATTGATATATACAATCAATAAAAACATTTTACCCACCATTACCTCTAGTATTTAACGACTAAATATATATACTGTAGAGTCTGTATTTAATTAATGATCTACTAAACTGGAAATTCATCAATTTCAGGGTAAACTACAGTACATATAGTGCACATTTTTATGCAATTATAGTTTTTGAGCCTTTGAGGTTTATACAGGTAAGGTTGGAAGAGGACAATCTTTATATACACATAGTGCATGCATTTTCTCTTATAAATGAGAGCCGATTGAAGTTATTTGGCAGAATCCTGACTATAAACAGCAGTGTTTGTTAGGCTAATTAATTAAAATCGAAATCGACTTGAGAGAATAAGCAAGAAAGCTAAATACGCAGAAACCATATTCTTGAACTCCCAGCCTGTTTTTAATCCAATTCTTTGTACTTAAAAAACAGTATATTCACATGATTTACATCGAATTGTTGGATCATATTGGACATTCTATAGCATCATACATATATGAGTCTGAGACTCTGTCAGAGGCGGAGCATTTTTGAAATAAACACTGATCAACAAATGTAAAACTTACATTTTGGCCTTAGTGGACTGCCAAATGAATGTCGAGACATTTCCTTTGATTTCTCTTTGTCTTGAATCTTGACAATAGGAGTAAAAATATGGTTAAAAACAAGTTCTTTTCAAAGTTTTTGGTAAAATTGCAATTTTGAAATTTGAACTTTACCAGTTGTTGAGTATTCGACAAATTAGCCAATCACATGCCAGGTGGAGCAGTTGATATTTGCGTACAGCGGAAAACATGGTCTGTTGCAATACTTGATTTAGGAGGGGATTTTTTAAAAACTCGCGTAAAATGATTCCCTTCGTTTTCTTCAGAATTTTCAGTAAAGCATTTTTTTTGCAATATTCAAACTGTAGATCTATAACTAACAGTTAACGTCTTTTTAAGGAGGGTTATATATATATATATATAATTATATATTATATAATATATAATATATATATATATATAATATATATATATATATATATATTATATATATATATATATATATTATATATATACTTCTATTACATCTACAGTTTTATTTCGCAGTGCAGTATTTTGGCCGTCCCTGTAAACAAGGGGCGCAGGGCTTCTGCAAACTTGGGATCCGGGGCAAATTGCAACTTCGGCCCCACTCTGGCCGCCCTGATAACCCGTTCAGTTGCCAAGCCATAAAGTATGTTCTGGCGTTTTCCGACGATGAACAACGAGGGGCTGCATATAGCACACCATTCGAAATTCGCTTACCCGGGTGTAGAAACACCACAAAACTTAGCAAGCCAAACATATCATATCCGGGTTATGAGGTTGATTTGACCTGAAAGGAAAACTTTTTATACACACGTTTACACTGCAATCACGGAAATAATATACGTAGACTTTTCGTTGGACACGTTACATGACCACAGTAATTGTTAAAGATGTTGATTTAACGGTCAATAGCTGTTCCCCCCTTCCCTCTCACGCACAATGTTGATTGAAAAGACATCCCAATGTAATATCACGCACCTACCTACATTGTTCAAGGGGGGAAGGGGGTTATTTTATTATGTAATAGAGAAGTCTACGAATTAATTTCCATGATTACAGCCCAACCTCATGACTCCTCGACCACCGGATCGTTGCTCGAATCCATCGTAGTTTAGCCTTACTCATAGTGCTCAATATAATTATATATGTTATATGAAATTAATTAATCGAATGGTAATCCAGTTGAATATATAGTTCCTTAAAGTGACCCCAAAAAATGTTTGGTCTGTGGCTAGACGACCATCATTTTAGCTTCAAGTTGACTTTAATGGCAAAATTTATCGCTATATTCACATAGAGTTCCCCTGAGCTTTAATGAATAGCACTAACATACAAGCAAAAGCGTTAGTCTGGATACACAAAGTTGACACTATGTTTACAGATTCAATATGTGCATGTACGAATTATGAATTTGAAATATCAACTGCAATAGCAACTGCAGTGGCCGTTTCGACTGTAAAGAACATGAACTGCGAAACAAATAAAAGGGAGGGTGGTGGTGGTTGAGGAAGTGGTCGCGTTTAGGCCCGCCAATTGTTCCAGGACTAAAAAAATAACTTACGATTAGGTAGGAAAAATGGCATTATATTTGGTCCTGCCCCCCCCCCCCCTTCGTTCTAGATAATAATGTTAACGTGAAGATGGATAATATATGTTACATATATATTCTCCTTTTTAAATATTTTAGTATTGACCTACTAGTATATTTTACCGTTTCAAATCATATACAAAATTGCATCACGCTTTCTAATCGTGACGTCATAACTGAATGCTATGTAGTTTTGATATTTTTGTGTGGCATTTGCCTCGCTTTCGTGTTTTGCGCTTGCTTCGCCTGTCGGATTTTGTGTCGCGTCCTAATTTCACGTGCTTTCCGTATTTTGTTGTTGTTTAGGAGTTAGGACCAGGCAATTGGTCTTTCGTATTTACCTGTTCATTACGAAGTTGTAGGAATTGTATAGATTATTTTGATTTTGAAGTGTTTGAGACATCAGTGAGGATTCTTATCAAAGCATTTATCTTGCAGTGTTTTAACGATGAGGAATCCGATCACCGAACGCACTTGCTATAATCTTTGATGACTTCTAGTTTAATTTGTATTCTACGTTGTTATAGGGCGAGATTGACATTACCTTAATATTTGAACAAATATATTGAACGTGACTGACTTCATTAAAACACTGGCGAAATTTATGCCGGCTTTTTTTAAAGTTTTCATAATCTAAGACGACCCGGCTTCTTGCACAAGGCAGAATAAACGGGACAAAGGACCAATAATATAATTCCGAGAATTTGTCATTGGTTACAAAAGTCCTCTTTTTTGAATCTGTATAATATAATATTAATATTCTCCTGCACGGGACAGCTCTTTATGCAAATATGTTGCAGAAACCCTATATACATATGTTTCAACTGTTGTTTTGAAATATGAATGTAAATGAACATCTGTGTGGCACTTGATATCAAAACGGTTGGAAAGTGCCGGGCATATATACACTACACGCGTTCAACCGTTTGAGCAACGGCGGTGAAGCCTGAGTATATAGAAAGGTTTGCCTATATATTTCCTGAAACTCCTGTTAGCCAACCCAGTTCTGCAGTCGGTTAATTTTGCTTGTCGAAAAATCCATCACAAAAAAAAGGTAAGTGCGTCTTTCACTCATATAAGAGTCATGCAGCTGAGCCGGCTCAGACGGGCAATAATTTTTAACTGGCTCATTTATTATATTTAACGCAAAACGCTGTGTGTAAAATAAATGTAAAATTTCATTTGTTTTCGTTGTCTTCAGTTGCAGAAATCGAAACAAATGCAGAAGCGACAATAGACGTTCCTTTAGCGTTAAAATATAGCCGATTTAATGCTGTTGCTCGAATTTTCATTAAAATTAAGAGAATATAATTTATATTGCTTATTCGAAAACAAGCATTAGGTTGACAGTCGCATCAGCAAGCATCGCAAACATCGAGATGACATTCGCATCATCTCTGTAACCGTTCGATTACCTCGTTGATCGCTCAACGAAAAGGACCTATACTGCTGCATCTTAGGCAGTAAAACTGGGTTTTCAATGAAGTCTGAAAATAATTGCAGCTTATTGCAGTTATTAATATGTGTAATGATCAACGCCACACGACAAGTAATCTACAGAAGCAATCATTTTTTGAAAGCAAACACGTTCTCCAGCTTTCATTATTAACACAATTATTCATCATTATTTATTCTAGCAAAATCTCTCGTGCGTACCGGGGAAATAGATTGGTTTCATTATTTGGTTTAGTTCCATTCACACTTAGTTGACTCCTTACCCAATTCATGCAATTCCAAATTTCTCCTCCAAGAAAACCTGGAGCATATAAAATAGGGTTCGTATACATGCAGCTTGGGTACTCCTTGATTTTTAAATTAATCCCATACGAGTCCGCAATTTCATAGCTATTCGTAGACTATAAAGCATCGGCGCCTTCAAAATGACGATGGAATTAAATATCCTGAATATACAAGGTTGCCAAATGCATTTCCACAAAAAGAATAAGTGCAACAGCCGTATACAAGCTTGAGCCAATTTTTTTCATGTCATGTCGTTGAAACCCGTCGGTTTTTGTTTTACTCCGGGGCAGGCGGACTCTGGCGGGCCTGGAACGAAAAGTGTGAGTTACCTCATGCAGAGGGTTTCTCGTAATTTTTTAAGTCAATTTGAAGTCAAACTGGCACTTGTGCCCAATTTAAATTCTAATTGGTTCTAAATATGGCGAGCGATGTATCGTCCAAGTTCACACAGAGCTGGAGCAATCCAAGTTTACTGGCTGGAGCAATCGATTCCGGGTTATTTTTCGCCTTTGTCAACATTTTTAGTCATATATATGTAGTGCGAGGGGAGAGTCTGTTCACGACAAAGTTGTAAATTAATTGTCGTTCTTACGTGTAAAAAGTTCTTCAACTCGACGAAATCCAGTTTAGATGCCATGAAGTTTTTATGAATGATTTTTGGAACATTTTTCAACTTAGTTCGCATCGCGCTCACAAAGCAAAAAAATGCGCGAAATCCAGCCGCGAAAAAACGGGAATTTGATTAATTTAAACTTAGTGCTAAGAATTACCATATTACCTTATAGGAAGAAAATGGCAAATTCAGATCAAGATGTACACGCCAGACGAAATTCTTGGAAAGATCGACTATATCGAAATTTGATTCATAACTCATATGAAGAGTTTACCAGAAAGTAAGTAGGTTGATAGTAAAACCGAAAACTTGAAAGTAAAAGGGTTTCCGGCCTGCACAGACGCTTTGAATCAGTAGGAATCATATACGGATGAAACATGCAGACTGTAGTCCATAATTATATTGTACAATCTGCAGACATGCCTGCATGTTTCGGCGTACAAACGCCTCATCGCACGTTTTCTCTGAGCAACCGCGCGTGGTTGACCACGGGGCCATACATCTACGTGTTAGACATGCGCAAAGCGTAGTAGGGCCAGAGTGGCTGAAAAGACCTAAAGGGAAGTGAGCTTTTCCATTATAGCAAAGTAGCACCTAGCTTTGCCAGAATGCGCAACAACACTGAAGTGAATTAGCACAATCTGCAGACATGCATATATCCATGTTTCCGCGTTCGACGTACGCCTCCGGCGTGCACAGCTTGGTAAATCATACACCATTTAGTATATACGGTGTTAAATTTATGGATAATCAGTGGGTATGGAGTCAGGTTATAGGATAACCAGTAGATATTAGGGAGCTATAGTCGTGTGATCAGGATTTAAATAACTATGTATTTGAAAATATTATAGCACAAGAGTTTCATCCAGTGGCGTACAGGAGACGATAATTGGGGGGGTTGGCGGCGCACATATTTATATATTCATGTTGTGAACGATTAATTTCTTTTCAGATCCATTGTCTTTCCTTGTCTGTTAACATGAGTATATGAATATGTGCCCCCCCCCCCAATTATCATCTCCCGTACGCCAATGGTTTCATCAATTGCATGATTTGATACTTGAGCTGGCGTATGATACTTTTGATTGTCTGAGTGATGACAGAGTTAAAAACATCACCTTGAAGAATCTTACTAGGAGATTTTTCATCAATTGAAGACGAACAACAGGAATAAATTTTTATAAATATCAATTCGTTAATTGAATTAAGGTTTTAATATCAGAAATTAATTATTATTTTTTTTCCAGCTGCAATAAATAAAATAGGTACGCGATGCGTACTACAGGCCGTAGAAATTCTCTTATACTCAATATTGTGTGCCGAGTAAAAACATTTTCTATACCTATAAACTACGCAACACAATGTCACAACATGTCCGCTTGCAGGCACGCGCGTCTCTTCATGACCTCGTTCATGTTCCAATACCGACAACGTGCACATGCGATCCCCTAGGGCTACTAACGTACTACAATTACCATGTCTGTTTGCATTCCGTATAATGCTATGAAATTTAGTTATATTAGGCAAGCGGTCATACGGGACTCATACCCGTCTTATTTTGTCCTGTATAGTGCTAATTTATAAAGAACGGTTCAGCAAGGCTTTACATTGCTGCGTTAATTCACATTGCATGCCCACAATAGTGTCCAGTGCATGAATATTGCTAATTTTTCAACTAATTGGTTATTTCCAACTCTTAAGAGGGCTCTCTATACCCATCCATCGATCCATGTCACAAAGGCTAAGTCGCCTATCCGGCGTGTTGTACAAATTGAAAGTACCAAGATGACGCCTGTTCATGTTTTTAATATTTTACGATTTTTACCGAAACAATTGTGGGCCAGTATAAGGGCACATTTATTCAGGGCACCAAGATTATTCAGTGCGTGAGTTGAATTTCGAAACAGCTTAAAGTGCGCAATTCATGATAATTATTTAAATCGATGTTTCTAACTGTTCGCACATACTTGAGAAAAAGAAACATTGAGATCTTCAGGATCTTCTCAGCACTAAATGATTCATCCATTCACGCTTTTTAGTGATTATTTATACCCATGTGCTTTCGTTACAAAATAATCGGATTTCGTTTGTGGGAAGCCCAGTTGAGGTTTGAAAACTCTTGAATTCCATGCAGTTCTTTGAACGAGCAAGGTTTGCGTCTTTAAAGCCAGGGGCCAGTTAATTGTTCAAAGCTGGGTTATCTCTGAACCCTGCGCTAAATTTTAATCCACTGTTTTGGTTTAAATGCTGTGGCACCAACAGTCTCGATAGTCCTATGAGCAAACCGGCTTCGCTAATCTAACTTATTATTTGTACTACTACATCAAGAAACAAACAGCTTCATTTAGTCATCCATATTCCGGCTTAGATTTTTGTTGGAGAAAAACGAGACGTAAACAATAATAATGCAAACTATAACAGTCGTGTAAGAATTTCCGAATCAAAACAATTTTTTCCCGAATCATTCCTTATAAGTATGTATCTAATTGACAAGGCGCAATAAATTATAAGTAATTAGGCATTTGCTCATCAGGCATACATGGTTCGAATATCACATCTCTGTATCGCTGAATTGATTAATAATGGAATGTTCTAGTGCAGTATTTGAAATATTGTCACACTGAGTGTGAACAGAACTGTTTTGCGATTACTCCGTTATTTCCTCAAAATCTGAGGGTTAACCAGCCCCTATTTTCCCACTAGCGTTACAGCCATGCTTGTGTTTCAAACAAGATCTCTGTAACAGTAAACTCGATCGCTATCAGTCATTATCTCCTTATGCGAGACGGATGCGTGGGTGACTCGCGCGATGTCCACGCGAAGATCGGACGACGTACTTGGGACAATGAAGTCCTAATGATTATAGCTACTCTTGAGGATTATTGTGAATTAAGGTTGTGTGATTTTTTTTTTAACAAAATATCTGATCAAGCATAATCGCGTTTGATCGCAAATGCCCATATACGTGTGTAACTGATACAGAAAGGAGACAAATATTTAATGAATAAAAAAAGTTAACTTTGTTTGCCCATGTTTTATGCATCTCCTTAAGACAAGAAGCGGCAGTATAGTGTCACTTAGGAAAAAAAATCTACAACAAAGCAGTGTAGAGTTTGTCGACCAGAATGGAGAATTTTTCATGACTTTTAATTACATTTTGACTTATGGCTAAAAACAGAAGTTCAACCAGTAACTAGAATGATTCCGGAACTGATGCTGTTTTGAAAATCCTGTCTCGGGGTTATCCCGAAACGATTTTTCAGGGGGAATTAGGGCCTTTCTGCAGACTGTTCACCGAAACATGCCTGTTTCTTCGTCACAAAGGTGTTTTGTCTGGAACCGTGGAATAACATATCTCCCGACTGATCAAAACTGATAGATTTCCTTTTGTAAACAATGATTCGTTCCAGTTTCCCCCATCGCACACCCCATATGATAACCTGAAGATTACTGATGAAGATCTCTAACTTTTGACGTTTTATTATAATTCATGAGATCGTCACTTGATGTTGTTTTGGTAGCATGCTAACTGATAAAAACAATATTTATGCATATATTAAGACAATCTCTTCTTTCATGGATATTGCTGGTTTAATAAGAATTCTTTAGTTTCAATTATCATGTAAAATATTTATGCAAAGATGCAAAGTAGACTGGATATGAAATCAGATGATGTTTTATCATCTTCAGCTAATAGAGCTTAGCGACCAATAGGAAGCAATTGCATGCTAAAATTAAGTGTCAAATCTCGAGACTTGAATGGCATCAGTGGATTCACTCACAAACGACATGCCATGGCGATAGCAAACAGTGGCTTTCATTATAAAATTGAAACATAGTAATAGTGAACGATAGTAACTCTGATTCATACGTGTTTACACATTCGTACATGATATAAAGAGACTGTATATGCTTGTAGCTCGCGGTAGACTGTCTTCACACTTGCGGTGGCGAGTATATAAAATCTTCAGCTATAATTAATACGAATATACCATGAGTTCACGAATGGGCTTTCACAAGTAAGTTGGTTTACTTTCATATAATCAATATATAATTTATATATATACACAAACCTCCAGCGCGAACAAATCTTAATAAGATAGCATCTGGTTTTTAAAGCGAAGTCCTCAGACTGATATTCATAAATAAAGTACGGCGAGATCGATGCTATTATTGCTATAAACGCCAGCATTTTTCTCACAGTATTGAATCAGTAAACATATCGGTATTTGTGTTGTGTAGATACTAAAATATATCCTCTGCCTCATTGGCATTGCACAGGAGTGTATATCTGAGTGTTATATATTCTAAAAAAATCAGTATCATATACTTCGGCAGATCAAATGCCGTATAATTAATTACACTGCCCATGGGATTGGGCAAGAAATATGATAACATTCGTCGAGTGTTGCACAACGTAATTGTACGTATGTAAACTAGATTAATCCTGTCTGTATAAAACATCACCTTTCGACTAACATGCATGCAAATGAGTCGTATACAGGCACGATATTCGTCTGAAACTACACTGTCTATGTTAACAACTTTCACATACTTTAAAGGCCGGTAGATATATCAAATTTCATATCGTACGCTATACTGCATCAACATTTTGTTGCTCTGTGCGAGTCTCGTCTAGTCAAATGGCCTTGGATACCGAAATTGCCATATCGATTTAGCATGCGAAGACACATACGATGCGTGTAATTTTTGCGACACCCGCCCACACAACATTGATTAAACGACAATGAAATATGTTTACTTTTGAACGCCTAAAAGTGCTCTCTATCAAAACACGAAAGCTTTGAACAAATTTGGAGTTCATGCTGACCGCACTCGAGTTTGAAAACAAACACTTCCTGCGTTGCAAGGTAGTACTGAATAACAACCTCATATATAAGGTAGCCAGAAATCTTTGTTGTCATGGATGGAAAACAGAGTTTGATGTCAGATAACACATCTGAGCTATCGGCCGAAAAGTCCCATTCGGTCAATCATCTAGGAATACCCTCTAGTTACAACAGAGGTGTAAGAAAGTAAGTTGATATTTTTCGAATATTATTTTGCTCTTTTGACCTGTGTTTACATATCGCCTTTCGGACAAACTAAATGCCCTCAATTTTCATCATTTTTGTTGCCTGAAATTGCAAGAATAGTCTATCTTTAACTTGATGTTTGGGAACATTTGTTTACTATGCGACATAATGAAAATGTCGCGTGAATATAAAGTTACGGTGTTGAGGTTTCTGCCTGTATATATGCCTTTTATGGTTGGTGCAAATTTTTGAAACCATTGTGTGATATTGACGTCTTTATGCTGTATGTATGTCAGTTTAACTGCAGTGTATCTCTGCATGTAGCACAGTGGGACATGTTCGTGACAATTCATAGCCCTGGGAGCCATAAAATTGCGTTTGGGTGTTCGAATACCGAATTCTCGTCATGCTTAACTGCACATTTATTACTGTTTTGCGTTCTTTACTCTAACATCAGAATTTCGTACTATAATATCAAATTTGAGATCGGTATCTCGAAGGAAATTTTGTGATTAGCAGGGAAAGCATCTGTAATTATCGTATCAGTATTAAATATAGTCATAATATACGACATTGTCCTCTGCAGGTGTTTCAATATTGCCGATTTGCCGTCACAAGGAACGCTGGGATAGATTAATTATATGTAACCATTGTTGTAGACGTCCTATAGGAAAGTAAGAGGTTTACACAGAAGTCTTAAAAGACAATTATATATTAGGCTATTAGTATATTAGGCTATTAGTTTAAGACTGTACATTTGAAACTTTTCCCTTGAACAAAATATTGCTCGCATACACTCGAACGTAATGCTTATTCAATATGTTGCATAATGCTAATTTCAGGTCAACGGCTGAATATAGTTTGCACTTTACTTCATAAGATTATGCATGCAACGCTTACGAAAAACACTACTAAACACCGCATTTAAAATAAGACAAACATCAATTCGACTAAATATGTCCAGAAAAATTCTTCTTGTTGACGTTTTGACTAACAACAGTCATGACGAAATACATAAACGAAAACAGAAAGTTGGAATTTAAATCACAGGCACAGGAATGATAATAGTCAGATGAAACAATACAAAGATATTTTATACTCTTTAGATACCAGGCCAGGGCCAGTTGTTCAACGGCTGAACATAGTTTACTTCATGATCATAAGATTATGCATGCCCTAAAATTCTTCTGGTCAGTGTAGTTTCCTTAAGGTTTTCACTGACAAGTTTTGAACAGCTATGACGAAATACGTAAACGAAAACAGAAAGTTGGAATTTAATCCACAGGAATGATAATAGTCAGATGAAACAATAGAGAGAATACGGTGATAATTGTATACTCTTTATAGATACCGATGCAGCTACCCAAAGTGCGTATACCTCGAGGAATGCGGAGAAATACGCTTATTCAGTCATTTTGCGAATTCCTTTCTGACGTTCAGAAGCAATAATTTATGTTTTTGGCTAAGTTTAATGATAATCACATACCCGCTACTATATACATATATAATCTGTTGTTTATCTTACACCTCCACTCAAAATGTTGACATAACAAGCACGCTCATAACCGACGGTATTTGAAATTGTAGACAATTAATGTCCCCATACTCGAGCCTTATTATACTCAGCGGTTTTTAAATATTTGGTTTATCAAAAAACTGCAAACTCTTTTGAAATCAGATATTTTCATAATTCAGCACTGATTGATCCTATAAAAGTGCGTAAAACAATGCCTGGTGATGTCGAAGACTCGAAGTTCGTGCTGTGAGAATTTGTGTGGCTATTTACACGAAAAGGAAGAAAAACGTGTTTTCAAATTCCAGATTTGCACTTGTTGATTTTTAAACATCCAGCAATAATTATTAGTTCAGAAATTGAACGGTTAGAATGCAACCGTGTGACAATCCAGTTGCTTGGAAATCAGTTATCTCACTTACCCTTATAATGAGCTGAAATAGATGGCTCTGAAACAGTTTTAAAAAAAAACATTGTATAATTGGTTCACCTTGACGAATAATTGAAGAATATTTTGAACTTTCCTAACAATGTTTTTTTTATCTAGACGAAGTTTTGATGATGCACAGAGTCGTCTGAAATCACGAAAAATTCTTGGCTTGGGTGGAAAAGAATCATCCAAGGTTTACAGGAGCTATAATATTGTTTTATATCACTCCATTTCAATGCATTCAAAAGCATTCTGTTATTCACATAATAGTCTGTGTGTTGGTGAACGTCCTCAATGGCATTTTTGCTAGAATTTTCCACAAATTATTCCAACTTTTTAAACGTCAAGTGTGAAGTGATAGGCCAGCATACATGTATAGGCTACTTCATCTAAATAATATCGTTTTTAAAAATTTTTTCAATGTGAAGACAACCCAGGTGGAAGCTAGCCAGATTTTTTAATCGTTCACCTTTTCACCGTTAAAGAGAGGGATGAAATAGGATAGGCTTGTGTGTTTGGATGGTTTGATCCAAACACGCTGGAATGTCGTGAGAGTTAAGAAAAGCGCGCGCGACACAAGCTAAATGCGAGGGATTTTGGGAGCTTTTCTTAACAACAACAACAACAACAAGTTTCCGTGTTACAATAAGATGTTTATTGAAAAGGGGATAATTTTTTTTTATTAATCTCAGTCCAAAGAAAAGATAACGATGCTGTCCATTATTTCTTTAGGTACTTCAAGTATTAGGAAATTGTGAGCACTTAGAAACAAAGTTGCCAATTGGATTGAGGTAATAAAATTATATCTTGCATTGATTTGTGATCACTGATCGGACGATACACTGGATAGACAACTATGCCAACTATAAGATTAATCATTGAACTTTGGAGAGCAGCCAAACTGAATTCAAACTTGAAATGTTGAAATATTGAACTTTCCGGCACCCTGAACCGAGTAAATTACTACCTTATGAGCGTCCCCACCAGCAAGCGCCCTTTAGATTAATATAACAACCGCCCCAAGCATTTATCGCCCAAATCTTGTTCAGGACGCTCTCGATTGAATGGCTTATTAAATAACGCACGTGGGGCAGATGTATCACCGTTGATATATTCCGTATAAGAAAACGTCTCTCCCCTTCTTGTAAAGATAAAGCCTTATCAGCGAACTAAGTTGCTTTAAATATGTACAAATACTCTAGACATAGGAGCATTTATATTTTTCTAAATGTGGTATAAATGTGAAAATACGCACGGAGCTTTTTTTCATCTGTGACACTAGAGCCCAAAACGCGCCAGCTCCTGCCCCCCCCCCCCAACATCTTGTACGTACAGTTTTTATGATAATGAATATATGAATTGCACTTTTAGCCTATGGCTCACTTTCTCTTCGCTAATGTTTCTTGCAATGGCCCTTCTGGTGAGTGCTTTTATCTGTTGCATGCATTCATTCTGCAGAATGCAGATGCTTCAAAGAATATCAACACATTGTAGAAGTGGCAAAGGATTACTTGTTGAGTGTTGAAGTTTCAAATGGATTAAGAATTATTTGCTGAAAAATCGACTCTCGATTACATTGGAAACTTAATTGAATGTTGCCTTGACCTAAACCTCTGCACATGTACATAGACAGGCGCCTTAGCTTGCAAAATCTTCTTAAAATTTGATTCTTTCGTGATAAAGGCCGGATTGGTCGATTTAATATGAGCAAAGAAGGCCGCTAAAATGTTTTTTCGAAAAGTTATACGTTATCTCCTACATTAGTAATGTTATTGTGACGATTTCTTTCATTACTCTTTTTATCGGATTGCTGAATAACAAATCCTGACGTGTGAATATTTTTGTTTGATTTCAGTGCATCCTGTTATTTAAACCATTTTCATATTTACTGGGTGTTGATCATTCTCCCCGCATAAATGTGATGGAAGTCAGACTGTTGGGAGCTACATTCGCTGGTAATTATTGAATATAGATCAGTAAACACCCCCCCCCCCTATTAGGCAGTCTAGCTACGGCCCTGTTCACGCCCCTTTCAACTGCGACTTGCAATGCAAATTAGTTTTATGTGAAATTCGGTCGGCTCGTTGAGCTTCATTTATCTATGCAAATTGTGCTCAAAATTAATTCGTGTGACAAGGTCTGAACGGATGTTGGAACTTTAGATAACTGATAGCCAGTTCTGCAACAGCATATAAAAACCTGTACAGATTGGTTGTTAATGCCGAAGTTCAATATATTCAGTGCAATTACAATTAATGTTTTTTATATATCTTTAGGTTTATCTGGTCTGACTTGGTTGACAAATGCAACTTCTTACTTTGTGCTAAGGTAATATTCTGAGACGTGTGGGTGATAAAAAGCCACATATAGGGATATTTGTCATAAAATTTTAATATTTTGGGAAGGCAGAACGAGTCAAAACAATTCTGCTCATGACGTCATGTGTTGATTTGATAGGCGTAGTTTCGTAGATTGTGTAACTTTTCTTCGACACAATTCTCAGTATAGTTATGTGTCTAATATCCTTCATAATGGATACAACAGTCTCGTATATAAAAATAGTTTGATTATCAATAATTCCAATCTAACCAAACCATAATTTATCATCTTGAGAAATTCAAATTACAAGTTTGAACACAGTGGTTTGAATGACAATCAATCAATCAAATAATTTATTCAAGATACAATGGTACATCTTAACTAGTGAGACCAACGTTCTTGCAGGAGAACCATGAGGTTAACCCTCTCCAAGTGGTTCCCCTTCAATACAATATTGAATCAATATTGTTCAATACAAGCCTAGTCTGATATAAACTCCTTAAAGTTTAGTCTGGTTTAAACGAAGTTTTCATTCCGCACCTCATACATGATACTTAACTCATTTAATATTTTGTAGTAATATAGTATTTTTTCTAGGAATGTTCTATTAACACATTTGGTTTACTTTGGAATAGCAGCTTTGGGTATGGAGAGGTTTTTCTGTCCATTTTAACTTTCAGATAATTTTCATAATTCAGTTTTGATCTGCAGGGTGTTTAAACGTCAACAGACTTTACGCAGGATATATTCAATTTAATCATTTTTACTTCTTAAGGTCGACACTGACCGGACGCGAATTTTCAACGTTTTTAATTTTTCAAAATCAAATAAATTTTAAACTATCATAATATTCTTGTAGATTACATAACAATAAAACATTTTGACTCCTCTAGCGTCCATAATTTCCAAATTTTACTTCCAGAATTTAATTTATATGCTTCTGAAAACTCAAAATTCGCGTCGCGTTGCCGCATCGCGTCCGGTCTGTGTCGACCTTTATGAAGTATATATGAAAGCGAAGTTATTTAGTTTGCCAATGATACCTTTCTTCAGTCTATAACAGCAAGACATGATCAAAATGAAAATGAAATTATTGAAAATGAAATTGAAATGAAAATTAGTGATCGAAATGAAATTTACCTGATTGATAATAAAACGAAGCAAATTTATTAAAAGCTTCGATGAGTGTATATGTGCCAATATATGTGTGTATGTGTCAAAAAAAGAAAGTCAAATTGCAGTAAACGTTGCCAGTATGAAAGGCATTCATTAATAATTTATGTTTTGAATCACCCTAAATCACTAAACTATATGTTGGATCGTACGCAGTAGCGTAGCCATGCAGCCTGACGATAGCGGGAGAAATCGTCAGGCTGGCTGCGCTACTGATCGTACGAACATATTAACTGCATGTATCAGTTGATATTTTATCGTAAGCTTTTTAACAACCCATTGTTTATTCTTTCTCTTTAGTATTCACCCGCGAACTTTACGTAGAGTACAACAAATACATCGGGTTGTCGTTGATCTTCCACGTCGCAATTTTTTTCGTAACACTTGCTTACGTCATCATGTTACAACGAGTGAATCAACCAGTTCCTGACAAACCGGTCAGTTTTGCTGACTCAGATGATGGCGAAGCATTTAATTGAGAACTTACACAGCAAATGGAATGGTTGTAAATTTTCTTTCATCATGCGTTCGCAAGGTGGATAGAATAATTGGGAACTTGACCGCCATCTAAATGATTTCGATATTACTAGGATATGTATATGTATATTTGTAATGGTACGGTCAGCCATATCTCATACCTTTTGTTTAAAGGAAACAAACGACTTTCGAGTGACTAAAAAGATTGCAAGGATTTGATACATACTAAGAAAGAGGAGGTAGCCATGATCTCATGGTTCCAGAATATCCAAAATTTTTAGAATACTTAGAAAGCTTGTGTATTTGTTTTTGTTGCCGCGTTTAATGGGTGGCCAGTGAAAGGGACGGGGGGGGGGCTAGAATGCCAAACAAGATCTATTATTCTAGCTAATTACACCGCAGATACTTATATTGTAGCTAATTACACCACAGATAATCATATCCATTTCAAACTTCACACCCAAAGCAATCCCGAAAGGCCTAAACGTCCCTTTTCGAGAATACCAAACTATATCATTTTAAATAATTACATGACAGATACTTAGTAAGAGTTAAAGAACAAAGTCTATAGTCAGAATCTAGAGCAAATTATGTAACAAACTGAACCAGAATATAACGATAGAGGGTCTGTATCTATAGTTTGAAAAAAAAGATTAGTATATGAAGAATCATACGTGTGCTGTCGTGTGCAAATGGTTAAAAAATGTAAAAAGTACTGGCCTTTTAATTTCCTCTTCCAAGAAGAAGATATAAAGCCTGGTGCTGCTATGAATCGCCCCTTCCCGTGCAATTTTGTCATTGCTACGAACTAGAAAAAGCAGGAAGTCTGTGTTACCCATGCAATTAAGGATGTGTTACTCAGATTTGGTTTATTTTCACCTTTTCGCTAGGCGTATTAAAAGCCACACATAAATTTAGAAATGAATAAGAGATCTTGAAATTTTGACCGCAGATAACCTAGCCTTGTTTTGGCATAACTCGGAAAGAATGAAATATTCAAAGTTTTTTTGAAACTTTGCACTAAAAACGGATATTGTAGTTTTTGGTTAAGTATAGGATATAATGTACACATATAAATCGCTGCACAATTTATCATTCTTCTTCCCTATGAAAAGAAGAGAATTGCTCTAAACGTTGTCTGATTAACCGGAATTAAGAAGAAACGTCACCTGCATGATTGTGACGTTCATCACAGTTATCGCTTCAGTTGTATTAGAGTGCAGTGGTAGAGCTCCACTGACTGAACTCCACTCCATATAATAACTCCTATACATATAGCTCAATATTTATATAGCTCAGTGGTTCACAGGTGCCGCCCTTACTTTTTTAAACACCTATTTATATACCAATGGCTTAACATCATCAGGTTACTTTACCTTTATATGAGCCAATCCATTGCAAAACATCAGCGAATTCTTGTATACTTTCATTCCACATTTCCAAGAATTTCTTAAGAATTTCAGCGTTAATATTAATTTTTCCTTTGCTTTCGCAGATTCTGAAGAAAAAATGACACTATATATATGGCCCAAACTTTGTACTTTGAAATGTCTTAAAAATAAAATTGCTCCACTGTTCGGGCAGGTCCGGTTTTATATATATGGTTAGGGTTAGGGCTAGAGTTAAGGTTAAGCGCTCCTATAGGAGCTTCATAAAAGCACTTGAGAATGGAAATCGTGTTTAAGGTGCTTGAAGAGCGCTTCAAAGAATTTAATTTTCAAAATTTATCTAGCAGGTATTGTAAGTAGATTCCTGTCATATATTCTTTATTTTGGCTGCTCATCATCCCCCCCTTATTTTATCAGAGTTTTCTACACTCTTTTTTATTTCTGGGATTCTTTTTTCTGGTTTTTCAAGATCAACAAAGTACTACATATACTAAGGTAAACTACCCTTGGCCAAGCTCATCTACTGAATTCAAGGCGCAAGAAAAATGAGGAGATAATTTCTCTTGTCAAATTTCAAATGTTTCCTCCTATTTTTCTAAACATGTTCCGCTCTGGTTCATTGAAAGGTGCAGCAAGCCAAAAATGGTGTAAAATATTCTGACAGCACATAATATTGCTCACAATACGGACTGTGCCAAATTTTTAAGCTACATTCTTACACTTTACTAGCTGAAAGAGGTAGGTGTGAGATATTTAGAAGTTTTGTCCACGGAAACGACTAAACGCTGAAGATAAATATTTCCAGATTTTATTTAAAAAGCTTGAGAACTAGTTTCGTTTTCTTCGCAGGGGAATAGGGGGAATTCCGTTCCCAGCGGGTGGTCTTTAAACGTCTGACGACACTTGATTTTGATCGAAGATTTGCTTTGATTTGTCGAAAACGCAGATGACAAAGATTTTTATCTAAAATATTTGTTTCAATTTCGATGCTGTATCGACACTCTTTACAATATTGTTAGACATAAACTATGGAAGGTAGGTTAGTAGAGTATAATCACAACGATTTGCTTCAACAGAAGCGACTCAGAAGTACGGTGGCCCACAACTGTCACACTATATATTTAACAAAAACCAAATTAATATTGCCCACATCAAATTCAAATTGCCCACATCAAATTCAAATTGCCCACATCAAATTCAAATTCACTCACATCAAATTCAAACTCGCTCACATCAAATTCAAATTCGCTCACATCAAATTCAAATTGCCCACATCAAATTCAAATTCACTCACATCAAATTCAAATTCGCCCACATCAAATTCAAATTCGGCTGCTTGCGCGTGAATTAAAACAAAATTAGCACTGAATTGGCAACCTGAAGTTTATAGGCTTTACTGAAGCTAACCCATCGAGAAAAAGTCCCTTGTTTATCCGTCATAAAGCAACGTGGTTTCTATTCCACTTATCACAACAATTTTCAATTATACGGATGTAACCTGTCAGAAACAGCAGATGGAGAATGTTTTGCACTAATTGTGGTACTTTCTTGCACGAAAACGCTAATTATTGTACTGGATGTGGACAAGGTAAGATTTTTGTGCAGCTAAAATGACAAATTATTTGTTATTGCGATGCACAAATAATACGGTTATTGTATAAAAACATACTTGCATGGAGGTGAGTTCGGATTTGACGCCCCGAGGGTCGCTGGTAGCTGTTGGAACCTACCTCGTTTCGCTCTGTAGTTTAGGTTCGAACAGCTATCAGCCACCCTCGGTGTGTCAAATCCTGAACTCACCTCCATGCAAGTATGTTTCGTTTTTATCTCGTGCAATTTCGGTGAAAAGTACTGAAGAAATGACATATTTTAGTTTATAATTTTTTGTTCAGGCAACGAGCATTTTAGCCACCAACACAATACATACAAACAAGCTTAGGCTTACACTGAAGCTAAAAGAATTCTCTAAAATACGCCCAATTTTCGGCGGCCATCTTGAAAATCCTGAACCCACCTCATAAACATACGTCAGGAGGTGGATTCGAGAACTGATCACAGAATGTCTAGTGTGATTCGTCAGATTCGTCACTTAACAAGTGCATTAAATAGAGGCAATCACCCCCCTGCTAATGTCTAAAATCACGCCATTTTTAATGTTGCCAGGGGGGTGATTGCCTCAATTTAATGCACTTGCTAAGTGACGAATAATGACGAATCACACTTACGAAAAAATAGTAAAGAGTTCTTCTTCTGATAGGTATTCTGTGACAGAATAGAGATGATATACCAGAAGTCTCACTTTTTGAAAATTTGCACCCAGATTTTTTGAGAATGACGCCATCAAATGCAAGCCAAATTCGCCAGCACACGCAAGCACTACACTACGGTTATTCCATAGAGATTATAAATAACACTAGAGGGGGCATTGATATCAAAAACCTTAATCAGAAAAGGGAACGCGCTAATGGTTTTACTAGCGATGACCCATTTAGTGTTATTTATAATCTCTAAGGGTTATTCTTTCACTCGCTCTTTGCTCCATGCTCCGCTCACTAACAATTCTCAATCACGCCATGCTGGTGCGTGCACAGAACTTTTTGATGCTGAAAAAAGTTCCGTGCACACACCAGGATACACCGGTTTCGAAGCTTGGATATGCAGCACTGCACTGTCAGTTCTGTTTTTATCAACCGGGAAAAGTCTGCTAAAATCGGGCGTGTATTGCTAAATGTTTACCAAGGGGGCTTTCTTATATACATTAATGCTAGCAGGAGTGTAAATTTTGAAAGTTGAATGTCGGCAGAAAGGGCGCTTAGAACAACTTTGTCACATGCTCCACACCGGCTTAGTTCCAATCTGAATACCAGGTGGGGTCTTGTTCAAAGTAACATGTATGTTGTTTTACCTGGTCTATCTTTAAAGAATCCAACACGGAGAATGATAACGACTACGATTTTGTTGATGAAACGTACGAAGAAAACGAAGAAGAAATTTTGAAATATTACTTCTTTCGTGGATTTACGTACGAAGAAATACTCTCATTTCTGGCCGTACGCCATGAACGCACTATCAGTTATAGCACCCTTCTTCGGCGGTTGAAGAAATATGGGTTGACGAGAAAAGGTGCCACGCAAAAAGATTCTTTTGAAGACACCTTTCTTGAGATACAGAGGCGCATGGCTGAACTCATTGATGGCCCTGGATCTTCAATGGGTTACCGAGCAATGTGGCATGCTCTTGAGCTGGAGGGAATTCGTGTTCCTAGGGTAATTGTACAAGATTTGTTGAAGGAAATGGATCCAGAAGGAACGGAACTTCGAAAGACACATCGTCTAAAAAGAAGGACTTATAATAATCCTGGCCCTAATTTTTCTTGGCACATCGACGGGTATGATAAACTTAAATGTTGGGGGTTCCCAATACACGGAGCGATTGACGGTTACAGCCGAAGAATCTTGTGGCTTCGTGTCACTCGTTCTAACAACTCACCTGATCAAATTGCTTCTTTTTATTCCGAAGTTGTCTTAGAGCAAGGTGGCTGTCCAGTTCAATTAGTGACCGACTTAGGAACCGAAAATGGAACCGCAGCCGCGATACAAGCATATTTCCGTAATAATTCCGAGGCTCATCGATATGTACCTTCTCCAAGAAATCAACGAATCGAAGGATGGTGGGCGTATTTTGCAAAGAGTCATAGTCATTGGTGGAGGGACTTTTTTAAGGATTTAGAGTCCCAGGGGATTGTGGACACATCCAGTGAAATGACTAAGGAATGCTTGTGGTTTTGTTTTCACAAGTTATTGCAGACTGAGTTGGACTCAGTGAAAGAGCACTGGAATTCCCACAGAATTAGGCAATCACGGCACGATACCGTATCAGGAAGGCCAGACTCTCTTTACTTTTTACCACAACTTCATGATTCAAGGGATTACTTAGTTCAACTACCTGATGCAGAGATTGAATTTGCTTCAGAGCACATAATTGAAGATGTGTTAGGAAATGACCACCAAGAATACTTTGAGTACGTAAGGAATAATCTATCCATGTCACACCCTAAAGATTGGGAAGAAGCGCTTGATATGTTCAGGATAGTGATGGATATAGCAGCTAATGGATTTGGTATTTAAATTCAAATTTGCATTCGTCACAAGAATCGAAAGGCAGTCAATATATTGAGAGTATCATAGTCATTAATCTTTTTCATATTGATGTAACAGAACAATATAATGTTTTATTTATAGTGTAATGAATAACGTTAAACAATTTCAACAAGTGGTATGAACTACAAAAAATTCTTCGTCTTTGCGAAAGCTAGAATTTCATCGCGGTGGGAAGTGAATCCCACAACCTATAGTTTATTTATCAATTGCTCTATCATCTGTGACTGTGCTACGAGGCAAAGGCGCTTTGAGAAGTTGATATTTCCAAACAGAATATAGTTTCTCCGATATTGCTATGAATCTTTGATTAATTGTTGATGTTTCCCCCCGTGATGACTACTGTATCAAGACTAGAATTCCACTCTATTCCCACCGCGCTCAAGCATTTTCAGCTTGCGCGGGGATCCTAGTCAGAGTAGTGTTGTCTGTAGTATTATTAACAATAAAATAAGGCACGATACAGAAACGATGGTAAATCAAATTTACACATGCATGCAGTAGTAAACACGATTCGGCAACGCAATGCAATTTCTTTGAAAATTTGAAGCTAAATTTTTTTTCTAATAATTTTTCTGAAAAATGGCGCAGAGTTGCCAAATCGAATTCATTGTGTTTACTCGTTAAATGTAATGATAGCAAGATGTATCGGTATAATGTTCTATACATTACTACCCGTTAAAGTCGGCAACACAATCAGAATCTCTTCTTAATATTACACATTACTCTTCAGTACGCACTGTAAGCTATGGCCTTGAGAAAGCCTGCCCTTTGGACAAGGCAGTCATAAAAACTCTTTGGAAGTCCTCTCCATCTTTCATGTGACTGACTAGAAGAGTTAGCTCACGTCCACATGCACCAATACATGGGAAGCAGATCGTGTGATTGGGTTGACGAACTAAGCAATCGTGATCGAAATTCACAAAGATGTTTAAAGGATCACCATTGATCGGTCGATGTTTTTGCCCAGTGAGCCAGCCTAATACCCCCGAAACTGTTATCTCTGCTAGTTGGAATTCTTCTGCCTCTTGTTCAGATGGTTCCGAACTTTCTCCAGTTTCCAAATAATTCCATGATACTGCCTCAGAGTAGCCCGATTGCTTCTCGTCATTATCCTCCAATGACATTAGGAAATCTTGGAAATTATCCATCATCCCTTCTTCTATCTCCTTTCGAATAGAGCCATCAACTGAATAGCGTGGTTTCATGAGAGAAAATACGAAGTTGGCATCAACTTGTTGGGCTTTTCCTATAATGAAATGTTGCTTGAACATTTCAGGGTTTTCCTTCATCATTTCAGCAAGTCCATAAAGTTCTAATCCCTTCATGAACTCGCCCAAATACAGCTGTCGCTTGCTGACAATACTTACAACAATTGATCTGCGAATGTCATTGATATGATCTTGATCAATCTTTCCGGTATACCCGTGTTCTATTATATCAGACGACTTTTTGGCTACATCTCCCATCACAAGATTATCTAGGTAGATCTTTTCCTCAGGTGTAATGTCAGTTTCGTCTAAATTCTTCAAGTCCAACTTGGGATTGACCATTGTCTTATAAACGCATTCATGCAAGAAACAAGGGGGTGGACCTCCTTGTGCAAGGCTTACTGCAACAATCTCTCCACAAGTTTGAAAATATCCATTCTGGACGTTATGAGTCGAATCGACGGGGCTACCTGCTGGAAAGATTGAATTACCTATATCAGATATGACCTTTGCAAGAAACTCTTTTGCCATTGCCCCACTATCTATTCCATCTTCACCAGTGAAATGAACTCGTAAAGTTTTATCAGCTTTAGTGCGCTTTGATTCCCGTTGCCAAAGATTTAAACACCTTGAAAGATTGGAACCTCTTCGAGCCACGATAAAAAACTGACCAGTTATACTATCAACTCTTTTCCTCAGCTCCTCTATACAATTTCTGTCCGTCAGCACTGTATTATTGATTACTTCTTGCTCCAAATCATCAGTTTTCAATTGGGTATTGTTGTTATCAATTACTACAACCTCGTCGAGTGGGATCAAATCTTGTACTTGTTCAGCGACAGATTCTTTATTGTCCATATTCTCCCACTCAATACGACTTTCTAACTGCCGTGCTAGATTTTCATCGAGTTTAATTTGTTTGTCAACTACATTTGCAGAACTGTTGTCTGATTTAGGACACTTAATTGGAGGAGACGAATCTTCAGAATCACTATCAAATTCTCTCATGAGGAAATGGTTATGATCATCCATTGTGCATAAGAACAAGTTTATTCGGTTGTAATCAATACCAGACTCCTCGTGATATCGTTTCAGCGAAAATGGTTCTTCAGTTCCAGGCAAACAATTAACAATCTGACCATCTTCATAAACAAGAAGGTATGGTTGATTTGCATTATACAAGTTACTGTAGTAAGCTCTCCATTTCTCCTCTGCCTTTTCATGAATTACAGAGGAAGTTGCAGTGTTTGATATGCGCATTCCCACCTTCTTTCCTCGCTTCATTTTTAGAGTTCTTTCATTTCCATTCCATTCCAGAAGTCGTATAAAAATCAAAACATCCTGTTCTTTTTGGGAATTACTGCCATTCTTCTGTTTTCCACCTTTCACTTTAGAGTTCCATTCTTTTCCCTTGGATGTTTTGTACTGTAGGAAAGATTTAATGGATTTCTTTGGCTTAACATCAACAACACCTGAGTTTTGTTTAGTGACATTTTCATGCTTCTCTTCGATTGCTGTATCTCTGGCTACACAGGGAAAAATATTGACATTATGATTACTATAGGTTAATTCTGAGAATGAATATAATTAGTGAACATGACAATTTGTAAAAGGTGGATGGACAACATCAAAAAAGTCAAAGAAAGTTACTAGTAAATGAAATGTTATATTGTATGCAAGGGGTGTCAATTTAGCATAATGCAATTAACAGAAATGTACTGGTTGCTACATTTTACTGAGCTAAATAAATAATAAACTGCTTTAATTTGTAAATTCTAGTGCTGACAACCCTGCATATTTACCCCAGACCCATTTTAAATCCTTGTTTTTAACCAATAAGCCCCTTTCCACACAAACCCAATTAGCCAGGGTGCAAGCCCTTTCCACCAAACTCAATCAACCAGGGTGAAAGCCTCTTTCCACTCCAACCCAGGGCACACTATATGTAATCTCAACATTTGAGAAACAATTTGTGATTACAATTAATGCAATGTATCAAGTCATCAGATTTTATCAACATTCATTTAACAATTTAACAGTTAACAATCAATTATGCATGGTCAATCTTTGCATTTGAAGACTGTAATTAAACTGGATAGGCTGATTTAAGATGTGCTGGGATTAAACAAGATTGATATTACACTCAAAAAACTTTTCCAGCAAACTCAAAACCAGCACTGGAACAAGTTTGCATATAACAAACTTCCCTTTTCCCCTAGGGAAGACCTTTTTGGCCTCTGACCTAGCCACTATGTCACTATAGTAGTTTGCATATTTATATACAAGTTTATTCACATAGAGTAAATTTAGAACACAATTAACATAATATACATCTACTCATCACATTTTGTAAACCATAGTAAAACTATTGATTGCAAAAAAAAATAATAAATTCAAATGCATGTTATTGCCAAGGAAGCCTTTGAGACTTGTAAACTTGCTTTGAATTTGAGGGTTGGAATTTTTATTTTACATTTTTATAGTAAAACAAGTAATAATTCCATGTTTGAAATACAAAATCTAAATCTAAACCTAGCCCTTTTAGTATGTATTATGGTTGGCAATCAAGCCACAGGGACTCAAAAATTATGGGGAGGGCCCCCAGACCCCATCCAACCACCCATAGCTTTAGGTTACTACCTTGGAAGTTTATAGGTCTTTTTTCATTCATGCCCCACACAAAAAAAATTCTTAAAAAAGGCCCTGGGTTCTCTTCAGGTGTTGTGGTAGAAGCAGGGTTCTCTTGTAGGGCTGTTAAAGAAGCAATGATTGAATCATGCATGCACTTAGGGCCTTTGCAGTTGGTATGTATGTACTAGGGGAAAGGTCAGATTTAAGATTAGAGATTATAATAACGTATTCTAGCCTTGGAATATTACTACAAACCATAGGTTTTTAAAAATTTCCTGGTCTTCGTCTGGCAACCATAGTTGTGTTTAATATGCATTATTCATTGTTTGTTCTGACATCATTGTTTGTTCTGACATCATGAATATATTTAATTATACTTGATGATACACTTATTAACTATATTCACTGTTAATTTATCTTTTCATACCTTGTCCACATTGGGCGCAAAATTTTCCTTCGCTTTTTAAAGTACATCCACAATTGCTGCAAAACATTTTTTAAAGTTTACACCAAAACAGCAGGGCACCACGAGGACGAGGCACTGTGGGACGAGGTACCAAATATCACGAGAAGATAAAGTATTTCGATTTTAGGCCCGATTTTAGGACCGCCTGCCATGCAGGTTACACGTATAAAAAATGAAAATCATGAATTTGAATTTGATGTGGGCGAATTTGAATTTGATGTGAGCGAATTTGAATTTGATGTGAGTGAATTTGAATTTGATGTGGGCAATTTGAATTTGATGTGAGCGAATTTGAATTTGATGTGAGCGAATTTGAATTTGATGTGAGTGAATTTGAATTTGATGTGGGCAATTTGAATTTGATGTGGGCAATTTGAATTTGATGTGGGCAATATTAATTTGGTTTTTGTTAAAGATGATGTAAAGTCCGTTCTGAGCATATATTCTGCGCATAACAATGTTTCTTTACGTTGGTTATATAATCTTTACATGACGTATGCGTCGTTATAATTTTATTATTTTCTTCTCGCTCGACGGGCTGTGATCTGTGATGAATATGCTTATTTTTTATTATATTTTGAAGAAAATATTGTTATATTTTGAAGAAAATATAAAGCGAAGCTTGTAAATAAACCGGCCGTTATTTAAAACGTTATATATTTGTAATTGTAGGACAAGCGAGAAGGTGGCGTCTGTAGCGACAACAAATAGCCTCGCCATTTCGGGCCTTATTCAACAAATAAATTCTTGGAGCATTCCTTTCAGCATAATATTGCTTTTTTCTAGCAGCTTTATGATAAGATAAGTTATCGTCGTGACTCGCAATTCGAGCCTCTTCGCCTTGCGACATAAAATAAAATAATTTTGCTCCCGAACTGCCGTTTGTAATACAACGCGTTAATATCGCATATCATTAACATTCCAAAAGTTGCTCCCCCACTGATGGAATGTGTTGATGCGCGGAATATATGCGCAGAACGGACTTTACCTCATCTTTAAATATATAGTGTGACAGTTGTGGGCCACCGTACAGAAGCGACTAGAAATCATTTTATGGTTGAGCCTAATATTTGTGCAATGCATTGTGTCGCATTATTAAATTACCAAACTAACAACAAGAATTCTACATCATACAGTTAGTTTAAGAAGTGTTCAATATCAGAGGACTTTTTTCAATTTGAAATGGGGGTATTTTTTCAAAGTAAAGGATCCTTTTAAATTCTGACGTACGAAATGTAATCTATTAGCTACTGGTAAAGCATTGTGTACATTAACTGTAGTTGATTTGCTTTCTACCCACATACATTACCAGTCAACAAACAATGAATCATTCACCAATGTGAATTAGCCTAGATGGAACAAAATTTGATCGTGCGAACAGATTTTAATTAAATTTCCAACATGGCAAGCAACTATAAATAACGGTATTTTAAATATGTGTGTTCGTATTAAAAATTTGCATTGCTAAATCCCAAGTTCTAAAAGTTTCGCAGCGAGTTTCCCGTTTTTTTTCGTTGAATATTTCCGCCAAATACTTTGAAATTTGATTTGCCGTTTAAAAATGCCAATTGTGATCACAGAGAATTTGACAGTGTCAATGTTTACATTCGGTTCAACAATGGCTTTTCGAAGAAATCAGTCGGGCATAAGAATTCATAAGAAACCATTAAGATACATTCTTACACCTTAATAGCTGAAAGAGGTAGGTGTGAGATATTTAGAAAATTTGTCCACGGAAACGACTAAACGCTGAAGATAAATATTGCCAGATTTTACTTAAAAAGATTGAGAACTAGTTTCGTTTTCTTCGCAGGGGAATTGGGGGAATTCCGTTCCCAGTGGGTGGTCTTTCGACACTTGATTTTGATCGAAAATTAGCTTTGATTTGCCGAAAACGTAGATGACAAAAATTTTTATTTAAATTATTTGTTTGAATTTCGATGCTGTATCGACACTCTTTACAATATTGCAGATCATAAACTATATGGAAGGTAAGTTAGTAGATTATAATCACAACGATTTGCTTCAACAGAAGCGACTAGAAATCATATGTACGTTATAGTCGAGTCGAATATTTGTGCAATGCATTGTGTCACATTATCAAATTACCAAACTAACAACAAGAATTCTACAGCATACAGTTAATTAAGAAGTGTTCAATCTCAGAGCCTTTTTTCGATTTGAAATGGGGGTATTTTTGCAAGGTAAAGGTTCTTATTATCTTCTGACGTATATGAAATGTAATCTATTAGCTACAAGTAAAGCATTGTGTACATTAGCTTTAGTTGATTTGCTTTCTACCGACATAAATTACTAGTAAACAAACCATGAATCATTCATCATAGTGAATTAAATGAGGCAAAATTTGATCATGTGAACAAATTTTAAATTTCGAGCATGGCAAGCAACTATAAATAACGGTATTTTTAAATTTCTGTGTTCATAGTTGAAAATTTGCATTGCTAAATCCCAAGTTCTAAAAATTTTCGCAGCGAATTTCACGATGAAATAATTCCCATTTTTGTTTCGTTGAATATTTCTGCCAAACACGTTGAAACTTTATTTTGCCGTTTAAAATGCCAATTATGATCACAGAGAATTTGTCAGTGTGAGTGTTTACATTCTGTTCAACAATGGCTTTTCGAAGAAATCAGTCGGGCATGTGAATGCATGAATAAACTCCCTCTAATTAAAATTCCTTTGCAATTTTGGGCTGCCTTTAATTGTATTTTACTGTCAGTGGTACTTACCTGTGCGCTGTAGTGTGCCTGTTTTATAGTTCGCCCTGGGTACGAGACTATTAATATATAATAAATATTTCTCACCAGGTTTGTGTCAGATTCTTAGAAACATTCTGATTTTAAATCCGATAGCTTACGACATTTATGCGCATTTTGCCATTTTAGTACAAAGTCAAAATTGTCTGATATTGTCTTTGTTTTACTACACACTTTAGATTCATTATGTATTTTAAATTATGGTATATATTTTTATGTAAAAGACACATAATTCAGTCTCATGACTGCCAGTGTCCTTTTTTCTAATAAATCTCTAATAAATCTCTAAATCTCTATTATTTTCAAATCTATAACCAATAGCGTTGTTATTAAGATATTTTGAATTTAGAATTAAGCTGTGTAATTTATTCTGCAAATCCCTAGATCCGCCATTGGTCATAAGTCGGGCAATTTGGGCAATTTACGATAAACTCACTAAAACATAAAAATCTGATATTACGCCACTCGACCTCGTCTATAGAATTCTGACCTGCACTTCAGAATCTCGAGCCTCGACAAAAACCCAGACTCAGCTAGCAGATGGCGAGTTGCACCATCTTCGTCTTTTTGCAAGTTAGACTTTCAGTGGCTAACCCCTCATCGTATCAAACTAATCTTAAATCATAAATAGCATTGTGACTTTATATTGCACAAAATACTGCGCCATTCCTTCTATAAAATGGAGTCATGTATCAGCTAATTAGCTCGACCACGCAGAGTCGACCCTTTTCTCATTATATATAGTTCAAGCAGCTCATTTCTAACGGAATTTATTTAGATTAATTATTATTTAAGATATCCCCTTTGCACCTGTAACAATATTGGTATATATTTTATAAAATATAAATTACCATTACATGCATGAAGACTTCACAAATACTAGCATTACATGCATGAAGACTTCACGAATACTAGCCAACACTGTTTAGGACGAAAACGGAATGGGCATGGGTCAAAGAGTCACAGAGTTTGCGCAAAATGCAGCAATTTTTCAATTCACAAAATAACAGTCTCCGTGCAATTTTTTTATTGTAGTTTAGAAAGGTACATCATAACAGTTAAAATTAAAGGTCTAAGTTACATTTGCTTAAAAGTAATTCAATAAATTATATATGTGTTTTGGAAAAATTACCAGTAAATCTGTATAATCAGATGGTGCAAGTAACTCAAGTTGCTTTTATATATCGTTGATTACATGTTAAAAGAGTTTTATATTGTTTGTCTCAGCTCGGTCGACTGTTGAACATATGTTTTTCCTGAAGTGCTGTTATGAAAGAAATCAAAGTTATTCACGATGATCTACGTCGTATGACGAACTAAAATGGCATCCAATTTAGCTACACACTGGTCAGCAGGTAAACGCTCCAGTTGCTCCGTTGGCCAACAATTCCTTATGAGTGATACGTACTCTGGAATTGTCACAGTACCTGCTTCCGTCTTAATTTTAGGTCGGTAGTTGTCGGAAATCTTCTCGCTAAATTTCTTCAAAGGAATATTGTGGAGCTCACTGTAAACTACCTCACCATACCACATCTCCCACAAGATCAGGCCGAAACTGTAAATATCAGCACTGGCATCACAAATCTCCGCTGCAAATATTTCTGGGGCCATGTACAAGGGTGTTCCAGCTATCGTCCCTGTCACTTCTGTTATATTCTTGGAAATACCAACATCAGCTATTTTCATACAATTGTTTTTCCCAAACTACAAAATAATTCCAACAGAGATAATTGATATTCACTCAGTGCGAAGGAGGAATGTATTCAATAATCGAATAATCAACCATTTCTCCTTTAAACTTAATTTAAAATTAGAAAAATTTACAGCTGAATATTACATAAAACACAAGGAACAAGGATGTTTTCGACGTTTCGGGTAAACTCTTTCGTCTGGAAATAAAGCCCTTCGCTGAAACTTGGAAGATTTGCTTTTGTTTTCATACAGTCTTTCATGCAGTGCACCTATATCAATATTCACTAGCAGTCTGGCCACTGGTTCGGTACAAAAATATTTCCTACAAGATAAATAGGCTAGAATAAACAGGCATTAACATTATGCCAATGATAAAGATAACACACCAACTAGGTTACTATTCCACTGAAAAAAAAACAATTTACAATAAACACATTTTTTAGAAAAAAGCTGCCTTCAAATATCAGACTGCCATAATTTTTATCAACCCGAGCAATATGAAAAATATGACGTGAGCACCCTGCAAACTTTCAGTTTGACCTCGCGCATTGAAGCCATCTATAGTATACGTCAGTGATTCAGATCAATTTGAAGTTAAATGGCAATAAAACTTACTAGAATATTTTCAGGCTTCAAGTCACGATGAACAATGCCTTGGTGATGCAAGTAATCAAGCCCCACTGCAATATCCTTTGCTCTTTGGAGTAAGGATTGAATTATTTCAGATACATTTTCTGGTGCTCTGGCTGGGAAACACTTTGGATGATTGGTGAAATATTCCCTCAAACTTTCTGCGCACAATTCCATCACGAAGACAAGTTTCAAACCATTCTGTCCAGGGCGCAACGCTCTTCCATAAAATTTGACAACATTTGGATGATCCAGTATTCTGGAAAAATTGTTTACTATCAGTTTAAGGAAATATATATTGTGCAGAAATATTCAAATTAATATGATAAATCCCGAAAAATATCTCAAAATAATTTTAATGTCGATCAAATTTTTAGTGTACCTTAATATTTGCTCTTCTTCCAACAACATTGAGGCATTCTGTGTTGTTAGCACTTTTTTACAAACTTTCACAGCCACGTTTAATGATCCTTTGTCTTCTGAAATCATTTTTCCTTGGAAAACATCCGCAAATGATCCATGACCAAGTGACGATTTTAGATCGCACTCCAGATCGTCAAAGTCGACGTCACTAAGCAACACATCATTGATGGCAAAAATGGATAATTCGCCTTTGGTGTCAGAACATTTAGCAAATATAGGAGCGTATTTCTCTGCGTCTCGTCGCATCGCTTCACCTTCCGCAATAAGTCCCAATATTGTTATTTCGTCAGCCCTGATTATTGCTGGAATTTCAAGCTCCATCTTTTCAATGTTAATATTTATCTCTTCGAATTGCATTGAGAGAAAAGGATGGAAACTGTTTTCAGCAATGCAGCGACGCCGGTATTCTTCAGCCTTTTTAGCCATGTAGTTCGGTTTATTGTTGTTATACAACAGATAATTACCGTATGCCATCGCGAGTAGTAGTGGCTGGGAAATGATTAATAAACTCAAAACTCGGAATAAAATTGTTTTCATGATTGTAAACGGTGTGTAAACTTTCAGATTAATAATTGTTGTGGGTTCTTTACTTATGTAATCTTCCACGCCTTGTATATGCACGTGAAGAAGATTTCTTTGTCTCGTTAACTGGTCTAACAATAACTTTCGAGTATTTTCAATGACACGATGCTTAATTTCCCACTTTTCAATTTCTTTCATGAATCTGTGGTCGATAACCTCAGCAATTTTTCTCTCTGTTTCTTCCCAGGTGTTTTCTATTTCCGGACATTGGTCTTCATCCCACGATAGAACGTTGTTCTTGATAACGTCCGATGAAAAGTGTTGTGAAAGTTGATCGGCTGCTTTCTTTGTTTCGTTTGTCAACTCTTTTCTCAAGCTTTTAACACTTTCAACAAGTTTTTGTTCAATCATTGCTAACTTTTTCATTGCCGTGGCAACAGTTACATGTACATCCTCTTTTTGAGCTCGGTTGATAAGCAATTTTGTTTGAAATATCAGGCGTGAAAGAACATCATTTAACCATCTATAAAAAGACAGGGTACATAAACATAAAGAAATAGCAACATAACGAAATATCATTATATGGAATAATAAACCTCTCCATGGCATGAGCTAAACGCGCGAGCTTTTAATTAACAGTTGGTTATGCACAATGAATGAACATTTTTCACTTTCTCGAATTTTTTTAGCTAAACATTTTTTGGAGATGTTTAAGAGGGTCCCTACAATTCCTGCTTGATACAGAAGAAAAACGGGCGATGTATACTATGATGATACAATTATGTCAATATCTTCACTTTTTTACCGAACAGTAAAAATTTTATCTACATGATTTATTCAAGTCCGTTCATGATATAAACTTACATCGGGCAAGCTCGGTATTCTGAGAAAACGTATTTCAAATTATTATTACACTGTACGCACCTCCACTCAGCCTTTAGCCTCGCTGCGATGGTTTTGAGCATCATTGTTTTGATTGCATCCATAATTGAAACAAACTGTTCAGATTTAATTCCGAAATCTCTTGCCACAGCAGCGTTTGTCGTTGACATTTGGACAACCTGAGTCTTCGCATTTAAATTTGGCCACGTCTTCTTGAGACGATCGATCGTATATTTTTTGACAGCGGATTTTTCATCACTACCTTTTCTTTCTATTAGGTCCCATTTATTGCAGACGAACACAGCACGTTCACAAAGAAAGCAGTCAAGGGATTGGTCTTTAACTCTCTCCAAAATTTTTAGTATCTAGGACAAATTTTCTATATTAGTATAAATGCATGCATGCAGTAACCTCCAGTTATCTTAAACTAAGTTCACCATTTTCTGAGCTTACCCGACCTATATAACTTATTACAATTCTATTAAATATTAAATAAAACAGAACAGTTCATGTGCAACGCACAAAACATGAGTCTGGTTTCAGAAGTAAATGCATGGGACGAGATTAGTCGGTATTTTCTGAGAACAAACGTCGAAGCTACCAAGAAAAGAGCGGTTCAGATACAGAATAAATTATACGGATTACAGTCCAGATATGAGTTTTTACTGACCAAATTTAGGTGAAAAAAAATCATTACTAGTGAAAAATGTTATAGCAATAGAAAATAAAATAAAATAATATTAGGAAAATAAAATTCTAAAAATTCTAGCACGTTATGGTAATTAATGGATGCATAACTCACTCGATCATTTTGAACTCCCCCTGCATGACTGCTGTCAATGACATATACAAAACAAAACGCAGTCAGAAAATAATCATTCACAACATCATCTAAAACATTTGATTCACCAATTCCTGGACTGTCAACAATGACTATCTCATTCTATAAACAAGAATGAATAAATATTGAATGGTTACATATTAAATAATAGAGTATAAATTAAATTCATTTCTGATTTACCTTAAGCAAATCGTGAGGCCAAAATAATTTGCATTTTTTGAAGCGTGATCCTTTTTCACGATCATCAGTTAGATTCAAATATTCTCTAAGTTGATCAGGATAACTCTGTCCTTCAACTGGATCTTGTAGGATAAGTTCTTCTGGTTGTCTTTGCTCATCTTTGTAATATGCCACAATCTTCCGTACCTCTCCATATCTCAATTCACAAATAGTTGCTGTGGCAGGTAGTGTGCTGGATGGGAGAATATCTTCTCCAAGAATTAGGTTGATGAAACTACTTTTTCCGGAGCTCGTTTCACCTGAGGGTAAAAACAAACATAACTGACTTTTTGTTTTCGCTAGAATAGTATTATAAGTTTTAAGAATTCTCGTGTGTTTTATATTCTGCTTATTAAACTCCGCTTTTTCGCAAAATCAATTAATTATCTTCCTCGTTTAGATTTTTAATCATAATATTGTCAATTCAGTTTGTGCATATGAGTCACTAGTTTTGTTCAACATCTTTATTAATGGTCAATATTATGAGATTTCTTTATGTTGTAGCTCTGGCTAATCATGCCGCGCATAATCCCCGTGCAGCGCACGTGACATTAGGCAGATTTAGCATGAGGACGTGAACGTCAAAGACAACGTGAAAATGGCGAGTAAATGGCGTGGCATGTCCATATTTGGGCCCATCACGCCATTTATTCGTCATTTTCACGTCGTCTTTGACAAATATGTCCTCGTGCTAAATTGTAGAAAATGACGTAATCAGAACAGTATACGTGATTGTCCCGCGAGATGCGTGGTTTCGGCAGGCGGAAAGAAAATGCTGTTTTTTTTGTGAAGACTATTATTGTGCGATTTATGTGAGAAATTATACGAGATTTATACAAATTATACCCGTGATTATCAGTGAATTTTACTATCTACAACACGTGCACCTCCTGCGACGGGATTTGAAGCGAAAGAGCCCAGAAAATGGATAAAATTAGCGAGAATTTAGAGACAAGGCGACAGCTATTAAAACTTACGCGAAGCAAAACGAAACTAATTCTAGAGAAGGGATATCTTGACAAAATCATTCGGCATAAAGAAGCATTGGGGAAAATTGTAAAGGAAATAGAAGATCTCAAAATACGAGGCGAAAAGGAAAAATTACAAGAGGGAGTAGGGATCGAAGACGTGCAAAAATGGGGAGCGGATATCGAAAGCGAAGTAGACGAAGCAAATCGCGAGATATCGCATTTAAATCAATATTTAACCGAAGCCGAGGCGAGGACTGAGTATGAGAAACGTGAAAAGGAGAAAATATTGCTAAAACAACAACGGGACGAAGAACTGTATTTTAAAAAATGTAAATTGGAACAAATGGCTAGTTTGGGTTCGACCAGTGGCAAGTCAGCAAAGGTAGAACCAGCAAAGGGGAGCAGTGTTAAAATGCCTAAGTTAGTAATAACAAAGTATGATGGTACATATTAAAGATGGCTATCTTTCTGGAGTAAATTTGAAGCCGAAATAGACGATACAGACCTTCCAGCAGTAACCAAGTTTTCTTACTTGAAGGAACTATTAGAGCCCCATGTGTGTGATGAGATTGATGGGCTACCCTTTAACACAGAGGGGTACACTCGTGCAAAAAACATTTTGAAAACTAACCATGGGAACACAAGTGAGATTGTTAGAGCATATGTAAGGAACATTCAAGAGTTGCCTTCAATAACTGGCAGAAAGGTAAACAAGATACACGAATTCATTAAGATCCTAAGCTACAATGTACAATCCTTAGAAACATTGGGTAGACTGTCACAGAGTTTGTCAATGGTACGGGGTGTTGTAGAGAAATTACCAGGTATTAAGGCAGAGTTGGTCGCAAATCAGGTTGGATGGCAAGATTGGGGATTTGCAGATTTATTAAAGGCTTTGGAAAACTGGAAAGCAATACACTCAGTGGAAAGTTCAGCCGAACATAACCCTAGAACCCCATACAACCGCAACCACTCCTTCTCCAAAGATTCCTCAACGCTAAAGGGTTGTGTTTACTGTGATGATGAACAGCACAAGTCATATGAATGTAAGAAGGTTGCTACACCAACTGAGCGTAAACAGAAGCTGCAAGCAAAGAAGTTATGTTTTAACTGTACAGGTGGCAGACACTATGAAGCACAGTACACCATGAAGCACAGTGTCGAAGTCGAGTTACCTATTTTCAGGAGAAGACTCCACCTAACCAAATTCCAGGACAAGCAGCTATGACAGCAACACACAAAGAGCAAAAGGTTTGTCACCCCATTGCCATCGTCAAAGCAAATGGCATTACCTGTAGAGCACTGCTGGACACAGGAGCTACAACATCATATGCATCTGCGTATCTCCTCGGCCTGACGAGGATCAATCCATCCAGCACTTTGACGCAGTGTATTCAGACCATCACAGGGACAATAACAAAGCATGTTGAGGTCTACGATCTGGAAGTTAGCAATACAAAGGGAAACTTTGCTATCCCAGTGAAACTAACAAAGGTTGACCGTAGAGATATCTTGTCAGTTGTGAATCCAAATTACCCAGAATTGATTGGTCAATTTCAACACTTACAGGGCGTTTGCATAGAGGAAACAGATACCAAATCATTACTTCCGGTACACCTGATATTGGGGACAGCAGAATATGCAAAGATCAAAACCAGTAAGCCGCAGAGAGCTGGCAAAGTGGGAGACCCCGTGGCAGAATTCACTCAATTTGGCTGGACAATTATGTCGCCGGGAGTTCAAGCCAATTTAGATAACATGTTTCTTGCTCAAACTGCCCAATCCGATTATGAGGAACTTTGCCGCATGGATGTTCTCGGTATTAAAAACACACCATCTGGGGACCAGAAGGTCGTACATGAAGAGTTCTTGGAGCAGCTTCGGCGTGATCCTGCGCATGGATGGTATGAGACTGGGCTCCCTTTCAAGGGAGGCCATTCGCCCTTACCCTCAAATGAGGATATCAGTTTGAAACGTTTGGGGACCTTGGTGCAGCGATTGAAGAAAACAGACAAATTCGATGAATACGATTCAATTATTCAAGAGCAACTCAAAGAAGGAATCGTTGAACCAGCAAATCAGCCACCAACTGGAACTGTGTTCTATTTACCCCATCATCCTGTCATTCGCGAGTCATCAGAGTCCACAAAAATGAGAATAGTTTATGATGCATTTTCTAAAACAGGCTCCCAACCATCCCTGAATGACTGTCTTAACACAGGTCCACCCCTACAGAATCAACTTTTTAAGGTGCTAGTTCCAGGACGCTTCCACCCTGTCGCACTCAATGGTGACATTCGTAAAGCATTCCTTCAAGTGCGTATTCGGCCAAAGCATCGAGATGCAATGAGATTCCACTGGTTGGAAGATAAGAATTCCCAACGTATTTGCACTCTGAGATTCACTCGAGCACTGTTTGGCATGGGACCGTCACCATTCTTGTTAGCGGGAGTACTACAAAGTCATCCAGATGCGAGCAAAGAGAAGCACCCCGAGCATGCAGAAGAAATTAAGAAAGAGTTGTATGTGGATGATTTGGTAACTGGTGGAACTTCTGTCGAGCAGGTACGCGAAAAGAAGGCGTCGTCTATTGAAATATTTAGAGAAGCTTCATTTGATTTGCACAAGTGGCAATCCAATGTTAAGGAATTAGAATGCAGCGAAGATTCGGACAGTAATGAGGACACTAGTTTTGCCAAACAACAGTTAGGTGAAAGGTCCAAAACGGGCTGTCTTCTCGGTTTGAAATGGGGACAGCATTGAAGTGTCTATCCCATTCGATAAAGTAGCTCAAACGAAAAGAAGCATTCTAGGTAAGGTAGCCAGAATTTATGACCCACTTGGTTTCATCCCTCCTACAATCCTGCAAGGCAAGCTGTTCTACAGAGAGGCTTGCGAGAACAGGTGCAAATGGGATTCAGAACTGCCTGAAGAACTGTCCAAACGTTGGCAAAAATGGGAAAATCATCTTCCTCAGCAAGTTAAGTGCCCCAGATCCATTCCATTAGCTAAAGAGCCCATACAGAGCGTAGAACTACACGGCTTTGGTGATGAAAGCGGTCAAGGTGTTGGCGCGGTAGTGTATGCTGTGGTTACTCAAGAAACCCAAGTAAGCCAAGGTTTAGTTTGTGCGAAAGCAAGACTCGCGAAGCAGGGGCTCACCATCCCCAGGAAAGAATTGGTCTCGGCGCATATGGCGTCCAAAGTGCCTTGGACGGATTTCCTGTAACATCACTTCTTGGCTGGTCAGACAGCAGCGTCGCGTTACACTGGATTCGCGGTAAAGGAGAGTACAAAACGTTTGTAGCGAACCGTGTTGGGAAAATTCGTGACCACGAAAGTGTAACATGGAGACACGTACCTAGCAAAGAAAATCCGGCTGACGTTGCCAGTCGTGGGGGTTTCATAGACGAAGGAAACCAGCTGTGGTGGAAGGGCCCTAGCTGGTTGAGTAACCGCAGTGCATGGCCGCCAGATCTAAAGACCACCTCCAGCGCGGAGTCTGATGAAGAAGTTAGGTTGACGAAGCAACTGTTCGGTTTGGCTAAGAAAGAAGATGACGCTCTAGGAGACTTGGTTTCCATGTTTACCTATTGGTTACGGCATGGATATTGAGGTTTCTATGGAATGCTCGACGGAAGCCGAACAGCAGAGTTACGGGTCCTCTTACAACGCATGATCTAGAGAAATCGGAGAGACTTCTGATTCACAGGGCTCAAAGACAAGTTGATGAAACCTTCAAGAGAGATCATTTGCAACTTAATCTACAATTGAATGAGGACGGTGTTTTCGAGGGTAGAGGAAGAGTTCAAGGGTTTTACCCAATCTACATTCCCGATTCATCATCACTAACAAGAAAGTTCGTGGAACATGCCCACAAATCTACACTTCATGGGGGAGTCGGATTGACAATGGTGAAATTGCGAGAAAACTATTGGATCCCTCGTTTACGACGACGACTGGTAAAGCAGGTCATCAAAGATTGCCATGGGTGTAAGAGATTCCATGCTATCGCTTACGCAACGCCCCCCTAGCGAACTTACCAACCACCAGAACAGAAGGAAGCACCGCATACCAAGTTATCGGGATCGATTATGCGGGCCCACTACGTTATCGAAAGTCAAAAGGAAAAGAAAGCAAGGCGTACGTCTTGTTATACGCTTGTAGCCTTACTCGTGGAGTATACCTCGAACTTCTTCCCAACATGGAGACGTCAGAATGTCTAAACAGTCTCCAAAGATTCATCGCCAGACGCGGTCGTCCTGAGCGCATTTACTCCGATAACGGGGCGACGTTTGTAGCGGCGGCAAAGTGGGTGAAAATGGTGAAGAAAGACGAAAAGTTGCAGGATTACCTGGCTAGAAACGGAATATCATGGCAATTTAATCTAAGCCGCGCCCCATGGTGGGGCGGGCAATTCGAGAGATTGGTTGGTATAGTAAAGACAGCGCTATACAAAGTGATCGGTCACGGTCAATTAAGTTGGAAAGAGCTCGAAGCCGTCTTACTGAGTGTTGAAACTACACTAAACGACCGACCCCTGGGATATGTCGAAGAAGATGATGTTCAATCGAACGTGATAACTCCCAATTCGTTGTTGTTTTTGCGATCAAAGCAACTCTTGGAACCTTCCCACCATCTTATCGAAAACAAGGACTTGCGAAAGAGATATAAATATCTGCAGAAATGTAAAGACGCCGTTTGGAAACGGTGGTCAACGGAATATCTTCGAAGCCTTCGGGAAAGATACATCGCGAAGAAGAAAGGAGGACGAGGAATACCCACAGTTGGAGAAGTGGTTATTATTCAATCCGAACAAAGAAATCGGGGCGCATGGGTACTTGGAATCATAATCAAGTTGATCGTACGGAGAGACGGTGTTGTTCGAGGCGCGAAAGTGCGCACTGGAAAGTCGATCGTGGAACGCGCGGTACAGTTTTTATATCCTATCGAACTGTCTTGTGATTCAGGGGTAGACCAACCCGAAGCAGTGGTACTGAACCCTGAAGCTCCTGAGTTTCGAATGAAGCCCAAGAGAGATGCAGCCACGGCAGCTGAGTTGCGGATCAAGGAGCTTGTACAAGAACACAACGTTGACATTTAAACATTAACCACTATTGATACTATTTAATGTTAAAATTGTTTAGTTGTGTTTGGATGTGTTTGAGTGTGTCGAAAATGACGTAATCAGAACAGTATACGTGATTGTCCCGCGAGATGCGTGGTTTCGGCACGCGGAAAGAAAATGCTGTTTTTTTTTGTGAAGACTATTATTGTGCGATTTATGTGAGAAATTATACGAGATTTATACAAATTATACCCGTGATTATCAGTGAATTTTACTATTTACAACAAAATCACCCTATTGTCAGAGAGAAACTAAACAATAAGGTAGACAACGAAATATCTTTTCATAAAAAACACAGTCTAAAGGTCGCATGTCCAGGTGCACCGCACGCGATTAAAGTTTTTATTCCCCATGCAAATAACGCATTATTTCCCCCTTTGGAGGGGGTCCCGTGGCGACATCAAAATTTCGTCACTTTCGCGTGATTCGCTCTCGACTAATAAACGCTAGAAACACCCAGAAAGTTTGACAAGTGGTATATAATAATTGCTTTTCGCTAAGCAATAAAAAAAGTTTTCGTAACTATTGTGACCGTTTTTTTACCAAGAATAACGTGCCTAGTAATATGGAAGGAACAGTGAACTCTCTATATATGGAAGGCTCGCTCTAGTACATTGCGTAATCAAAAAGTGAAGCCAAACATAGCGGATCATGAAGGCTGCTTGGGTACCGAACCAGACCTCCACGCACGAGCTGTTAAAATTCAAAATGGCGGCAACGTGTAGGAGTTGAACTCGGTCAGTTTTGTAAACACAACACAAATATACGGCATAAGTTACCTCTCTAGAAAGAATGATATTGCCATGTAAGGTTGTAACAAATTGTATGTATTCATTTTTAAAAACTTCGTAATTTTAAAACTTTTTAACGTCCGAAATGTTAGCTTTTTTATTTTTCGTCATAGTTTTATAATTCGTGTTTTTAATTTCCACGCGCGATTCGCGCATTTTATGCTTCGTGGGGGACTGGTTCGGTACCCAAGCAGCCTTCATGATCCGCCATGTTTGGCTTCACACTTTGAACTGGAGCGAGCCTTCCATATATATAGAGTTCACTGGGAAGGAATTGATCTTAGTGTTATCCAAAGTAAAAAAATTGATCAGTGGACCCCTTGAAATAGATTAACTTTCAACTTTTGTAAGAGTGAAAGAAGATTGTAAATTTCACGAATTGAAATTTTATTCTTTGTTCTAAATTTGACGAACCGGGGGATGTAGCTGGCCATGATACTTTATTATAGACTTATGTATGTATTATCCCCGAGCCGGTGCGGAGCACCGTGCGAGGGTACTAATTCCGCTCGGATATTTATACCCACGATATGCAAATGCGAAATCAAAGTCGTCCGCCATTATGCAATGGACCTCACGCCATGGACGGTCTTCTACGTTTTACGCATGCGCCAGTGTGAACTACTAAGCTCTTGATTGGTCGAGACAAAAATTTGTATTTTCAAACGTCAATGAATAACTGTCATTTAGCAAATTTTGATTGAGGGAAACTTGAATGATGTCAGGACTTTTCACGATTTAACAAATAACAAGATCAAATTTTCGACCGAATTCACCGTGTATAATGAACTCGGAATATTTTACACTTGATAATATTTTATCCGGCAGACCGGCACAGCATTAAAAAGTAATTCTTTTGTGGCAAACACAACTTTAATATTCTCAAATGTTTTTCACTATAAATCTGAATGTGTTATGTGATAAACGACATTATAATCTTATCTAAACTCCGTTTTCATAATGACAAAAAGAAAACAAAATCAAAACATTTCCGTACAAAAACCGGTCGAAGCGTTGTATGAGACGTCTGATCTTATATTTCATGGCATTTAATAATTAAAATAATTTACCATAACACTGACTATAGATGAGTAACTTAACTTCCAGAAAAAGGTAAGCATCTTGTCGTATTTTTGCCATTTTTTTCAAAAAAATATGAGAGCAAACATTGATTCTTTAAAAATATACGGCCGTTGCGAGTTGCTATGACTACAGTGTTTCCACGTGCAGAAAAATATTTCCACACTTTTATCAATTTCTATTTCTCACATACCATCAGATACCATGTACCCTTCAAAACCCCCAAACCACATAAAATTTCTAACAATCATTAACTAATTTTGCGTAACCGAGGCGAGGGGTTGCTGCATGCATGTATTTCTAGTTTAGAATTATCTTTATAATTTGGCATGATTTGCAGTAGATTTCCTACCTGCAATTAGAACAACATATTCTTTAACTTGGAGCTTATTCATCTTTAGCTGAATTTCATCAACAATGTTCTCGACAGAGAACTTGGTATTCAAATTCTTTAGCATTTTTTCGTCGCAACTTTTTAAAGCATTTTCCACCTTCTCATAGAGACTTAGCAATTCTGTCCGTTTTGATACATCCATGTTTTTCGCATCTGAAAATACGGAAAATGCCTAAAAATAGAGAAGAAAACACCTGTAGGTAGGTAACATTTCTCTCAATCTGGTTTCCTAAATTATTCTTGCCCAGCCTGGAGTAACGGTTATTTTTCAGAATTTTAGAAGCCCTAGAATTCTAAATTATATTCTGAATTATATTATGCACTTGCCCCCCCTAGCCACCTTGGCTACACCCATGTTAGATGTCTAAGATGTCTGAATGTCTAGAATGTCTATGTCTAGCAACACGCAACCTCTCAGGAATAAAATTATGTAATTACTGCTTTTCCGAGTGAAATAGAGTACCAGCAGACGTGCCCTATGTACAAGCACCTGGCTCTTCGTTATCACGATTAACGATCTTAATTTCTTGGGTGTTGAGGACCATGGAATTTAACATTATCGGAGTCAGTTGATTATATCTTTACAAAGATTTATACACATTGGAATAATGAAATAAAAATCGTTTTTCATTGGATAAATTAACTTGCAATTTGATTGGACGTATATTACGATGTTTTTCATTTGTGAAAAAATGTCACACATGGTTTAGATTGGACGTACGATATTCTTCACACGTGAAAAGTTGTCGTAATTCAGTTTGGCGGCAATTTGTTTAAAATGGCGTCGGAATATAGGAGATAGATTCAAAACATAATTCTCAAATTCAAGACATTTTCACATTCAACGCTTTAAAAAATCTTTTAGAAAGAATATCTAACATTTATTGAACAAAATTACAAAGAAAACGGCAATAAATATATTTTGATGCATAAAATTTTGATTTTTGTAGCTCGTTGTGATTTTGTATAATAAAAGCGTGTCGTTGTCAAATTGATCTCTATACACATTCAATAAATAATTTACTTCATGGTTGGCTCGTTTGTACGATTTTTATTATGCACTCGTTATGAAGGATCGAAATCTCATTTGTTCGCATCGCTCACTCCGGCGTTCGTTTTCCGATCCTTCACAACATAAAGTATAATCTTTATTTATTTTACTCCAAAACTAAATATGTATGTTTACGAATTTGTTTCCACAGCAACAGCAGAAAATTTCGAATTGAAAAAATTAAATTGTTAAGAGCTTGGTATATGTTTTCTTCGACTGATAATGAGCAACTAGCCCATAGTGAATGATGAGAGAAAACACCGGATATGGAGGGCTCCGTCCCCCAGCTCGTATACGCCTATGACAAGTACTGGTTGGACATTTGCAGCCGCGCATGCCATGGCAAGGGTAGACAGTCCTTTCGCTAGATTAAATTTCATTAGTAGATTAAATGCTTCATACATACTGTAGTAATACTAACATGTCGAGGAAAACTTTACATTATCTATCATGTCGAGGAAAACTTTCGCGTTGCTCAAATGATGCGACATAACGCTAAGTTTAACGTTATGTGGAGAACAACGTCGCTGCATTGAGGGAAAGTCGTCGGGCGGTCGCGACTTTGATTTTGTATAGCTATTTGTAATAGCAGAAAATCAAACATACTGTAGCCATGAACCTTTTCTTTTACTCTACTTGTAGTCTTTTACTACACTTTTACTGTAGTCACGAACCTTTTGTTCACTTCAAATTTTAGAATAGACTACAGAATACTCTATACCTACGGTGGGCAAATCATACTTTACTTTATTATGGGTTATTTGCTTTAAAATCGCTCCACAAAAGCGAAAGAGAAGGACAAAAGAGTTCATTTTAAGTCATTCCACATTTATTAGTTTACAGTTACACAAGCTTTAGAACATTCACTAATCTATGTACACTATATAGCAATTACCGGGAATTTTAATACTGCTAATATAAACAGACATTCGCTGCAAATATTATTTTGATCACTAGACGGTGTTATTGCGTTTAATCGTATCTAAAATTACCTCTCCGAGTGTCCAACTCGACATTTTTCGAGACTGAGTGATTTTTTCATACACTTTCGCCCGAGCATCATCGATTGTGTTTACGTCTTCAGTAGATATTCTCAAACAGTATTCCATGATCTCGCCCAGTTTTAAAAAGCTGTATGACTCGATTTTTGAAACTAAATTTGCATCGGCCATGTTCGGATTTACACATGAACAATAAGATTTGAATGAAGTGTAGTTTAATTCGCGTTTACTGACTTTTACTGCAATGATAACTTCAAGAGCAAAAATAAATTGTTGCACAATATCCGCTCTTCATGAATGTTTACTATACATTGCATTTTCTGAGATTAAATATCACGTCTCCCGGAAGTATAGTTCACTGGTCACATGACTGAATTATGCTGGCATGCTGCAAAGATATCAACTATCCATGCAAGCTGCATATTATAGAAGATGCGTGAAATACTTTAATGTGTTCATTGCATTGATTTTAGACTTTAGTGTTTAAGTCGTTTAGTTTGAATATAATACACACGCGAGTAAATAAGAACATTACCAGATATTAGTAGCACAATTACTGCCCGATATTCAGCGATTATGAAGCGAACAACGAAGTTTTAGTTCGTTTTAATCAGCTACAAAGGCCGCCGAACTTGACAAGCGAAGTAATGTAATGAGAATTTGTAAATGAATCGAATTATAATATTTTTACAACATCTTTTATCGAGTTATATTATAAAAGAAATAGAAAACATATTTTCCTGTGTTTCTATACTGAGATAGAAACATTTGTGGGAGTTTGGGAGAACTCGAAATAAGGTCCCGTGTTTATAAAACAAACTCGATCCCGTGTTTCTGTAACTGTATAGAAAAACGCAAAATATTTTCTATTTCTTAAATAGAAAACATTTTCTGTGTTCGCCAATATGTTAATTAATCTTTCGATGAGTGGTTACAATATGCTGTGGTAATAATTTTAGCATTGCTAATTAGAGTTATTAGGTTTAATTACTTAATTTAAGGTTTTATTAGGTCCAATCAGTAGCGTAATTACAATGATAATTGGGAGGTGAATATTCATGATATATCTCACAATAGAAATCCATCAGGCAGAACTGAATTTATGAATAATCCCTCCCCCCCAAATTATCGCTTTAGTTAGTTGCCACTGGGTCCAATATATATCCATATTTTCTTTAGTTTTGGTTTTCATTTTGTCAAAGTACATAATATAGTAGTCAACAACTTTAAAAAGATCACAATTTTTTTATTAGTACATAAAACACATCTTGTATATACATGCAGATGCAACAATCACAATTTTTATGATCACAATTCACAATAATTATTATTGTTATAACAATAAAGATCAAATCGTAATATTTTTGTAAGTTTGCATGGTGATATAAATTAGCTGGTAGGTACACAACGTAATTAAGTATATAATTAATACTCCAAAGCAAAAAGATTTGCAGTATTAAACACTGACGTGGCGTACCTACAAACTAATTTACTAAAAGATCATATAGAAAGGTGACAAACACATAGCAACCTAGACCAAGCCAGCCTGCCTGAATGTATCTTGCTATTTTCTAAGCCAGCCTGAATGTATCTTGCTATTTTAATTTTTACAATTTTTTTATACTGGCAAACTGGACTATTAAATACATTAGCACTAGCAACCAAAAAATGTTAAAGAATCGAGAGTGAAGTGATTGCAGTCTTATTAAAGAAATAAACATCTCATACCTGATATTTATGTAAGAAATGGCATTTAAGGAAATATTTTTTTTGGTTAGGCTAGCTTAGTTGGTATTAGTGGTCTAAGATGTGGCTGTAAATATATTATATAAACCTATTTATGGCATTGCAATATTTAACTGTGGACACTTTGAAGCCAGAAGCTTTGCTATAGTTATATTCTGGTGTTGATAGAAAACAACAAGGACAACAAGGTGAATAAGGTTAGATTTAATAGAGATACTAAACAAAAACTTTTTGAGCAACAGCTTATTGACATTGCCTTAATGGAAGCCAGTGTCTGTGGTGAACAGGTTGACCACACTGACTGCATGAAAGGCCCAAATAGCATCTATAGCATCTCTAGTAATACTGACCCAGTACAGTGTTAATATTTCAAATTTTACTCAATAACGGTAGTTCGCAAATTAATAACAAAATTACCAACATTTTAACAATTAGTAACATATGTTCATATGACCTGTTATAAACACCGATAGAGTCTAAAGAACATTATTTGCTAACCTTTTAACGTTCATCGCTTAATATAGCCTTTGATGTAAATGATCAAAATCAAATCACTGAAACCAGTGCCAGTGGAAAGAAACAAAATCAACAAAGGCATAATGAACTTGGAGAATTCCACTGTTCCAACCAATTGTGAATAAGTAATTTGAAGCGTGAAGCTTGCGCATTTTAAAAGCTTGTTCGATTCCCGTTCGATTTTGTAAACGTGCTTGACTGCTTGACCAATGACTGACGGCCAATTTTTTCGATGTACTGGATTTATATAAAGGTCTGTTCACACGATTTATATGCAGTACTGCTTAGTGCTTTATCAATAACAGATTATATTCCATACGTCAGAAGTGAATTGGATCGAACAAAATTGGATTGGAGCATAAGATACTAGTAGTGCGCATTCCCATCGTCTCGCACCGCTTATAATAACAAGTATTTATTCAATTTCCATCAAAAGCTTGATTTTCATAGGGGGTAATTTTTTCATGTTAATAATCCACGCTTTATAAACAAATGAATCTTAGGGATGAATAGTGTGCTGCCTCGCTACGCTCGGCAGCAATTAAAAATTGGAACTTGGGGAACAACAAGCGAACAATTATAAACCACCATACATTATACCACATGCATGTTTCGGTAAATAATCCTATCATTCCTATGCACAGTTTAAGTAAAATCCACATAAGTATGACTGATACGAAATTTCGTATGCTTAAAGGGGAATTTACTAAGAAAAAGCTGACGCACGAATAAAAAGTAATTGTAGACTAGAGAATGAAAAAGTTACTTGAATTGATAGTTACCCTTGCACGGTAGCTATATTCTACAGTTGTGTCACATGCACAGATTTATCAACAAAGATGGTTAATGTTTCTGTCCGCTATGAACTATGAATTACTGTTGTTGTATTTACCAATTCATTGTGCATTATAACTCGATTACATTTGTTTTTTTGTTGTTTACTTCCACTATTTATCAAAAACCCTAGATAAAACGGCTCTAAAAAGCCATAGCTGCAATAACTTTTATATTGGAGTGCGTGCCCGTGTATATATATCACTTACATCCGATAAAATTTCCCTAGTATACATACATCAAAAAAGCTTTTCTGCATCTGATTAGAGGTATCTAATCCTATTCTTGACACAGCAGAGATTTCTCCAGAGTTCATTCGACCCAGTCTTCCGCGCCGAACTATGTACAGTCGAAATTTGGATTCGTGTCCGTTTGTCCGATGGATTTCTGCATTTTCCGGGCCAAAGGTCGGTCATTAAGGTTAAGTCACTTTTAAAATTGGGGGGTATATTAGAAAATATTAGAGCCGTCGATACTGGACAAATGGGATATGCAGGGATATATTTTTTTTCTGCTTTTATACAGATACATACCGTAATTACTCGAATAAACGCCTCCCTCGAATAAACGCCGCCCTCGAATTAACGCCGCAGGGGCAAGCAAAAATATCATTAAACGCCACCCTCAAATAAACGCCGCAACCTTTTTGTTATTGCGGCGTTTATTCGAACATTTATTCATAACCACTGTAAGAAATTCAAGTATCTAACTTTATAAAAAAAGACAACATTGAATCTAAACCAGTCGTTGAAATTTATTGTTCTCAATTTGAATGTTATTCAGTTCAAAGTGGCTATACTTCGTAGCTTTGCTGCTTAGCTCTCCCTCCAAAACTTCTGCGATGCGTAATTCCGTGGTAGGAGCCGAGAATCCTGCCAGTACCACTAGATGGTTAAATTGGCGTTTAAATTACACAATCAATTCAGAGTTGTTACGAGTCTGCAATAAACGCACGCCTCCCTTGAATAAACGCCGCCCTCGAAAAAACGCCGCATCTTAATTGCTAAAAATTTAATAAACGTCGCGATTGAACGAACGTTCATTGTTCAATCTTAGAGGAGTCCTTTCATGTGTTAATCTATGAGGCGCCAAATATGACAATATATGCGTAATAAATATATGTACGAAAAGTGATCATATTTACGGCTACGATAAAATATTTACGGCTACGATAAAATATTTACGGCTACGATAAAATATTTACGGCTACGATTTAATATTTACGGCTACGATATAATATTTACTTACGGCTACTGCGCCTGCTGTAGTTTATGAAAGCACTCAAAGCAGCTGATTAGGATAGTTACTTTATGTGACTCCTATTATAGTATATCACACATTTTAATCCCCCTAGCCCTCCTTAACCTTCGTTAGCCTGCCTTAGCCCTCCGTAGCTCGCCTTAGACCACCTTAGCTCTCCTCAGACCGCCTTAGCCCTCCTTAGATCAGTGCATAGCACACCTTAGCCCTCCTTAGACCATCATAGACCTGCTTAAACCGCCTTAGCACACCTTAGACCACCTTACGCCTTCTTAGACCTGCTTAGCCTACCTTAGCACACCTTAGACTACCTTAGACCACCACCTCAGCCCCCTTTAGCCCTCATTAGACCTCTTTAGACCACCTTAGACCTCTTCAGCCCCTTAGTCAATCTTAAGTGACTTATCTTAATATGTCATCAAAAGATTTTTAAATTTTTCGAAATAAGAGAAAAAAAATTTTAATGACCTAGACCACCTTAAGATCTAAGTAACCTAAGGATGCTCATGGAGAGTGAAGGAGAGCTAAGGATGTCTAAAGAGATGTAAAGATCGCTAAGATTGACTAAGGGGCTGAGGAGGTCTAAGGTGGTCTAAGGAGGTCTAATGAGGGCTAAAGGGGGCTAAGGTGGTGGTCTAAGGTAGTCTAAGGTGTGCTAAGGGGGGTAGGCAATATATCGGTTAAAATGTGAAAGATATAAGCAACCTACCAAGTCATCATTACAAGCTGAAGCAGCAATTATAGGTTTGGATGGTAACAACCAGACAGTTCTCTGAGTAAAAATTTTACTGATCAATTCGCCAGTTAAACTTTGTTGGAGTGTAAGTTGTGGTTCCACAAGTTCATTTCCAATCCCCATCATGATCTTTATCCTCACAAATTTGAAAGTAAATAAGACCATTGTAACAAAAAAATATGAGGGGTCCGCGCTATATTTTATAGTTGCCTGAGTTTGTAAAAAGAGGATTTGCCTAGCCTAAACTTTTTTTACTTACTTCGGCTGACTTTGTGAATCGTCTCCAGCTACCATCTCTTCCAAAGGTTTTTTAAAAGCCAATTCCAGATGATCCAAGACTTCATTTGCAGACCATAATTTGTCGAACTCGAACGAACTGAGAACGTGTCCCAAACGTTGTAGTTCCGCCTTTGCTCCACCGCGAACTAATCCATCAGTCGGTCGACGAAGAAGTACGACTTCGCGCGAAAATGTGGTTTTTCTGGTTTTCGTGTTGCCTTTAGTTATGCTCGTTTTGCGGAAAGGATTCCGCCTCCCCTGGTGTGTTGATGGCGTTCCTGACGAGGGCGATGGGGTCCAACTTGTTCTCCGTTGAAACTGGGGAATATTTGGAGCTTGCTGCATTGATGATCCTCTATTGAATAATGCCTGAAATTCCTCACGAGGTGTGCGTGGCGTGCGTCTGGATTGTTGTTCAGTATTCAAACTTGATAAAACTTCAGAAGATGTACTAGCCTTTTCATTGTTTTCATTGGTTTACGGCGTCCTGAAATCTTGGATGTGAAACCACTTGCCTAACCAGGTTCTCCAAATTGTTATTACTTTCGTTGTTGAAATTTGACGCCATTTTGTATACGTTTTGAAAGCATGCAGCACGACTTTTTAAAATTTGTCTTATTTGAATTTGCTGCGCTTTAGCCAATCATCGCTGGTACAACGAATATGTCGAGCAGGCGCAGTAGCCGTAAATATTTTATCGTAGGCATAAATATTGTATCGTAACCGTAAATATTTTATCGTAGCCGTAAATATGATCACTTTTCGTACATATATTTATTACGCATATATTGTCATATTTGGCGCCTCATATTAATCGGCTACATGAATCTCAAAGCAATGTTCTCATCTCAATCTGGAGCGGTATTTTCATTAGTTTATCGGCTATAGCTTATATGGTTCTTATATGACAAATATTGAATATATTATAGCTCCTATACCCATTACCCAAGCGAATGGATATTGTTAATCACGAATTGTATACGCAGTAACGCCGGATCGGAACAGAAGATAGACATTTTTAGAACAAGGATATATTTCTTCCCGCACTTAGACAGATACATAGACATCAAGGCGATGAATTTTTATTGTCAATCTTGCGCGTTGCTTTTATGAATTTATCGCCTATATCAATATATGGTTCTTATGACTTAATTCACAGTAAACAAATAAGTATATGGGCATGAATATACGCAAGCGAACGAATATTGTAGGTACTAGACAAATGGGATATGCAGCAGGGATATATTTTTTTCTGCTTTTATACAGATACATATACATGAAGGCGATGCATAACGTTCATTGTTCAATCTTAGAGGAGTCCTTCATTTGTTTATCGGCTACATGCTTCTCATGGCAATGTTCTCATCTCAATCTAAAGCGGTGCTTTCATTAGTTTATCGGCTATAGCCTATATGGTTCTTATATGACAAATATTAAATATATTATAGCTTATATACCTAGAAGAATAGATATTGTAATGTCCAGATACATGCACCGGACGCGATTTGACAACGCGATGCGATTTTACGATTTTCACTGACCGATAACTCATAACTTTGATTCCACGCGGCTCGCTCGCTATTATTGGAAGAACTTTTAAACACAACGCCATTTCTTTCGATCAATAAAATAAAAGCCATGCAGCAACATACAATGAAAATGCGTCGTGCTTATTCGCCTCAAACAAATCAACATCGCTGCACGAACAAAACTGCACCTTTCATTAGTATTGAAATTGTGCACGGAAACATTTTCGCACTTTTCATTCGTGTCGAGGATTGGGTCTTTCATCATCTGTAGAACAATCAATGTTTGTTTCAAACAGTACAACTAGTTCAAAGCTGAACTGACTTCGAATGATAGGAAAATAGGTGTGCCTCCGTATTATAATAATTATGCAAATTTTTCCAAAGTGATAGCGTGTGAGACCAGATAAAATACTAGACAAAAGAATGTAATGACGTGTGTCACGTAATGGTCGACACAACGCATAAGCCACAGACTGCAAATAAAAGGTATAAGGGCTCAACAAAAGCAAATTCAAAAGAAATTATTTATGCTAATATGCCTTATATCATGTAGTTTTGTTCAAGTTTACATATCATAAAGGTCTAGCGCATTACAACACTATAATTTACAAGTAAAATGTTTAATTAGGCATACGCTGTAATGATGAGGTAAATACGACAATGGTGGATAGTATAATTATTTAACAGCACGTGTACGAGGCAGACGAGAAGAATTAGTGATAAGCAGTGGCGGATTTAGGGGTGTGCAGAATAAATTACTACAGCTTAAAATCTGAATCGCATTGGCAGATTTTAATCTAAAATATTATTATTTTCAAATCTATAACCGATAGCGTTGTTATATCAAGATGTTTTGAATTTAAAATTAAGCTGTGTAATTCATTCCGCAGATCCCTACATCCGCCATTGGTCATCAGTCGGGCAATTTGGGCAATTTACGATAAACTTATTAAAACATAAAAATCTGATATTACGCAACTCGACCTCGTCTATAGAATTCTGACCTGCACTTCAGAATCTCGAGCCTCGACAAAAACCCAGACTCAACAGATGGCGTGTTGCACTATTTTCGTCTTTTTGCAATCAGACCACAGGTAGCCCGCTATTGACGCTATTGGATTTGCTTTTAGTTAAATATTTTTAAAATACATTCTATGCAAAACGACATGAAGTGTAACCTTCCTTTATTCACTGCTGACATATTATCGCATGCGCCAATTCGTGCGGTGCAGTGTGACCTTTATGTATATATTAATATAAGGTTGGCAACTCTTTGTCGTATTTTCACATTTACGAATTACATACACAAACTTACACATGAAAATACTCGTACTTAAACACAAAAATATACACAAAAAACTAAATCTATGTTGGAACTGACTCTCCTAAAACATTTCCGAAACATTTGTTTGTCTTTAAAGCCATTGCAAATATGTGAAATTTACGAAAATACAAACACTTTTTGGTTGAATTTTTTGAAAAGCCGTCGGGATCCCATCACCCTGCCCTACGTCACAGCAAATACGCTATATGATTGGCTTAGTTTTGAATTTTGAAATTTGTTTACGTTAACGGGACTCAACCAGCCAATCATATAGCGTATTTGCTGTGACGTAGGGCAGGGTGATGGGATCCCGACGGCTTTTCAAAAAATTCAACCAAAAAGTGTTTGTATTTTCGTAAATTTCACATATTTGCAATGGCTTTAAAGACAAACAAATGTTTCGGAAATGTTTTAGGAGAGTCAGTTCCAACATAGATTTAGTTTTTTGTGTATATTTTTGTGTTTAAGTACGAGTATTTTCATGTGTAAGTTTGTGTATGTAATTCGTAAATGTGAAAATACGACAAAGAGTTGCCAACCTTATATTAATATATACATAAAGGTCACACTGCACCGCACGAATTGGCGCATGCGATAATATGTCAGCAGTGAATAAAGGAAGGTTACACTTCATGTCGTTTTGCATAGAATGTATTTTAAAAATATTTAACTAAAAGCAAATCCAATAGCGGGCTACCTGTGGTCAGACTTTTAGTGGCTTGGCCCTCATCGTATCAAACTAATCTTTATCATAAATAGCATCGTGATTTTATATTGCAAGAAATACTGCGTCATTCCTTCTATAAAATGGAGTGATGTATCAGCTAATTAGCTCGACCACGCAAAGTCGACCTTTTCTCATTATATATAGTTGAAGCAGCTCATTTCTAACGGAATTTATTTAGATTAATTATTATTTGAGATATCACCTTTGCACCTGTTACAATATTGGTATATAATATATAGAATAAAAATTAATATTACATGAAGACTTCACGAATACTAGCCAAGACTGTTTAGGACGAGAACGGAATGGGCATGGGTCAAAGAGTCACAGAGTTGACGCAAAATGCAGCAATTTTTTGAACTCACACAATAATAGTCTCCGTGCAATTTTTTCATTGTAGTTTGGAAAGGTACATCATAGCAGTTAAAATTAAAGGCCTAAATTACATTTGCTTAAAAGTAATTCAATAAATTTTATATGTGTTTTTGGAGAAATATATCAGTAAATCTGTATAATCACAGGGTGCAAGCAACTCAAGTTGCGGTTATATATCGTTGATTAATATCTTTTTTGGACAATCAGGGTGTATAAAAACGAAATCTGTGCATCAGCCTGGCTAAATTTTTTCTACTGCGGACAGAAATAGGCACTACAGGGTGTATCAAAAAAAACGCAACCACTTAATATTCATGAATATCCTCTTTGTTCTACAACACAGAAGACGTTTGGCCCCTGGAATGCGAGAAAGCTTTTAATCATATTCTAACGGCACAATCGTCGGTAAACAAAGTCGGTTGCGTAAACCAACGAGCTGAATTGAAAGTATTTAACGAGTAAAATTTTATTTACAATTTATTTTACAAGGTCGACAGTTAGCATTCAAGTTATCATGCACGACAATAAAAACTCGTTGTTCGGTTGTTAGCTGCACCATTATTATTTTCGCTGATTTGACTATTAGCAGTTGAACTGTACGATTAGAAGCCATTTTAAAATCACAGGGCCATTAAAATCTATTGAGCTTATGAACAATATGAATTTTAGAATATTAAGTGGTTGCGTTTTTTTTGAGACACCCTGTATATCAAGAGTTCATTTTTACATAATTGCATAAGATTGATTAGCTAATTTGCATTTCATCTATTACACAATCACTTTCAATTTGAAATGAAGGCACTTTTTTTCCGACTATGCTAGATCAATAGCGTAGTCATTTTGAAACGTTTCGTTAACCAAATTTTTTACATTAGGCATTTCTAAAATCATCCCAATAAAGATATACTGCTTGACGTTTTATCTTGCTAAACGGTCATTTAGTTACATAATTATAAAGGCTAAAGGTTTAGTTATATAAAAGGTTTTAAAACTTTTCTTTTGATCATATAATCAGTGATGACTTTTACTTTTATCATAAATTTTATAGTACATGTTAAAATTTGGATGAAATGCAAATTATACAAACACGAGTTATAAGACACTCTTGATGCCACAAATTTGTGGAAATGTTAAGGGTTTTTTTACAACTTTTTATTGAAGTGCTGTTATGCAAGAAATCAAAGTTATTCACGATGAACTACGTCGTATGACGAACTAAGATGGCATCCAATTTAGCTACACACTGGTCAGCAGGTAAACGCTCCAGTTGCTCCGTTGGCCAACAATTCCTTATCAGTGATACGTACTCTGCAATTGTCACAGTACCTGCTTCCGTCTTAATTTTAGGTCGGTAGTTGTTGGAAATCCTCTCGCTAAATGTCCTCAATGGCAGATTGTGAAGCTCACTGTAAACTACCTCACCATACCACATCTCCCACAAGATCAGCCCAAAACTGTAAATATCAGCACTGGCACAAATCTCCGCTGCAAATATTTCTGGGGCCATGTACAAGGGTGTTCCAGCCATCGTCCCTGTCACTTCTGTTATATTCTTGGAAATACCAACATCAGCTATTTTCATGCAATTGTCTTTCCCAAACTGCAAAATAATTCCAACAGAGATAATTGATATTCTCCCTGTGCGAAGGGGGAATGTATTTCTAGCTAATCAATTATTGGATAATGTTAAGCAAAACAGCATGATTGTTGCTGGTGGGCAAATAAATTATTTGCCGGTGCCTGAGAAAGAGCTGAATAATCAACCATTCCTCTTTTAACCTTAATTTAAAATTATTCGAGCATTTCGAGTGAACTTTTTCGTCTGGAAATACAGTCCTTCGCTGAAGCTTGGACGATTTGCTTGTATTTTCATGCAGTCTTTCATGCAGTGCACCTATAACAATGAGCACTGGCATTCAGTGGCTATATGGGAAGTATTGAATATCAAAAAGTTTAGGAGAGGAAAAATATGACGTGAGCACCCTGCAAACGCTCAGTTTGACCTTGCGCGTTGAAGCTATAGTATAAGTTAGTGATTGAGATTAATATAAAGTTAAATGGCAATAAAACTTACTAGAATATTTTCAGGCTTCAAGTCACGATGAACAATGCCTTGATGATGCAAGTAATCAAGTCCCACTGCAATATCCTTTCCTCTTTGGAGTAAGGATTGAATTATTTCAGATACATTTTCTGGTGCTCTGGCCGGGAAACACTTTGGATGTTTGGTGAAATAATCCCTCAAACTTTCTCCGCATAATTCCATCACGAAGACAAATTTCAAACCATTCTTGCCAGGGCGCAACGCTCTTCCATAAAATTTGACAACATTTGGATGATCCAGTTTCCTGGAAAAAATTCTTTACTATCAGTTGAGGCAAATATATATTGTGCGGAAATATTTAAATATGATAAATTCGGAAAAATATCCCAAAATAATTTTAATGTCGATCAAATGTTTACTGTACCTTAACATTTGCTCTTCTTCCAACAACATGGATGCATTCTGTGTTGTTAGCACTTCTTTACAAACTTTTACAGCCACGTTTACTGACCCTTTGCCTTCTGAAATCATTTTCCCTTCGAATACATCCGCAAATGATCCATGACCAAGTGACGACTTTAGATCGCACTCCAGATCGTCAAGGTTGACATCACTAAGCAACACATCATTGATGGCAAAAATGGATAATTCGCCTTTGGTGTCAGAACATTCGGCAAATATTGGAGCGTATTTCTCTGCGTCTCGCAGTACCGTCATACTTTCTTGAATAAGTGCGCATATAATTATTTTGTCAGCGCTGATTATTGCTGGAATTTCACGCTCCATCTTTTCAATGTTAATGCTTATCTCTTTAAATTGATTCAAGACAAAAGACCGGAAAATGTTTTCATCAATGCAGCTACGGCGATATTCTTCAGCCCGTTTAGCCAAGTAGTTCGGTTTATTGCTTTTATACCCTTTTTTATTACCAGCTGTTTGGATGGCGTCTTTCAACGCCATCACGCCTAGAATAGGCAGGCTAATTACACTAGCGACCAGTGCCAGGGGAAACCATATTGGAGACAACGCTCCGATCAAAAATTTTTCTCTGATTGTAAACGATGTTGCGACTTCTGGATTATTCACTGTTGTAGGTTCTTTACTAACGTAATTTTCAACGCCTTGTATACGTACGTGAAGAAGGTTTCTTTGTTTCGTTATCTGGTCTAACAATAACTTCCGAGTATTTTCTATGAGACGATGGTCAATCTCCCACTTCGCAACCTCTTCTACGAACCTTTGCCCGATGGCCATAACAATTTTTCTTTCTGTTTCTTCCCAGGTGTTTTCCATTTCGGGACATTGGTCTTCATCCCACGATTGAAGGTTGCTCTTGAAAACGTCCGATGATAAGTGTAGTGAAAGTTGATCAACTGTTTTGTTTGTCTCGTTTTTAAACCTTTTTTTCAAGCTTTCAATACTTTCAACATGTTTTTGTTCAATCATTGCTAACTTCATTATTGCTTTCGCAACAGTTGCTTGTACATCCTCTTTTTGAGCTCTGTTCATAAGCAATTTCGTTTGAAATATCAGGCGTGAGAGAACATCATTTAACCATCTATGAAAAGTAAGAGTACATAAACATAGAGAAATAGCAACATAACCTAATATCCTTATATGCAATAATAAACCTCTGGCATCAAGCGCGCGAGCCTTTAACAGTTGGTTATGCACCATGGATGAACATTTTTCATTTTTTCGAATTCTTTTAGCTGGAAATTTCTTGGAAATATAATAGTTGAACATGTTTTTCTATAAGTATTTTGTAGTGAATAGAAGTCATATTTTGCAAAGTCCTGAAACGAACAGCAGTGTAGAACGATACAAACCAAAACAACGGAGTAAAATCGAAACCATGCAAGGGTTAGCACTAACGTTAACCTAGCTTTGAACAACCGGCCCCAGAAACAATCGTATAATAAAAATACAAAGCAACACTAAATTACTTCCTCAATTTGATAGCAGACTGCATCAAATGAACTGAAAATGTAGTATACGCATGCACCACTGGCATAGCGAATGCAAAGCGAGTAAATATTCGTTGAAAATCAATAAGGCTAAAGCTACACAATATTTTCCAAATAATTCAGTTTCTGTTACTACCTGGACATAATAAGTATACTGCTGGCCATGAAAAAATACAACTGAAACCTAATTAAAGCTAATTAAAGCTTTAAAAGCTTTTATCAATGCTTTTAGAATTGACCGCATTATTATTCATTGGAACATTTTAACGCTACCTTGCGCAGTTTTTTTTTCTGAAGTTACAGATTTTTTAACAGTCACTTACGCTGAGAGGTTTAAGAGAGTCGCTACAATTGCTGCTTGATGCAGACGAAAAATGGGCGATGTTCATACTATAATGAATTCATGATACAATAATGTCAATGTCTTGACTTATTCGTACCGAATAGTATTTACAAATACAAATTTTATCTGCATGATTTATTTAAGCCTTAACTTACGTGGGGCTAGATTAGAAAGGGATTCTGGGGAAACGTATTTCAAATTATTATCATACTATACGCACCTCCAATCAGCCTTTAGCCTCGCGGCGATTGTTTTGAGCATCATTGTTTTGATTGCGTCCATAACTGAAACAAACTGTTCAGATTTAATCCCGAAATCTCTTGCCACAACAGCGTTTGTCGTTGACATTTGGACAACCTGAGTCTTCGGATTCAAATTTGGCCATGTCTTCTTGAGACGATCGATTGTATATTTTTTGACAGCTGATTCTTCATTACTTTTGATTAGGTCCCATTTATTGCAGATGAACACAGCACGTTCACAAAGAAAGTATTCAAGGGATTGGTCTTTAACTCTCTCCAAAAGTTTTAGTATCTAGGACAAAATTTCCTACATTAGTATACAAAATAACTAATACAGGCTACTAGAAATGTATGCATCCAATAACCTATCGCTATTCTAAGCTAAGTAGACCATTCCCCGAACTAGCCCGCGACCTAAACATATTACAAGTTTATTAAAATTTTAATAAAAAAGAACAGTTCCATGAACAACGCACACAGCTTGAGTCCGATTTCAGAATAAATAGGACGAGACAGAGGTTATTCTAAGCCAGAGTTGCCACCAGTTTTTGAAATTGTAAGAAAATTTCTGGAGATGGCAAATTTACAATTATTACTAATTTCGATCTCCAGAAATTTTCTTAAAATTTCTTCAAAAAGTGGTAACAACTCCGGCTTAGAATAACCCATGGGACGAGATTTGTCAGTATTTTCAGAGAACTAACCTTTCCTAAGCTAACTAGAGCTACATTTATATCATGAGATGAGTCAAAGCTCAAATCAGTCTATTATATTAATTTTTATTATGCGGCTTTCTAAAAACCTGTATTCTGATTGGTTGACGAGCTGTCCCTAGGAAGCCATATCCGGATCGTGGTCCGTATATTTCGTATCTGGACCAGTATCCCGGATATCTATTGCAGTTCAGCCATATAATAAACAGATTATTGACTTCGCTTGTTCGATCAGTAACGTGATATGTCAGACCGAGGTGTTTGCATATAGAAACGGTCGGGGCTGATATTTCACAGTACAGACCTCACGCTCGGTTATTGTTATATGTTTATAGACTCTTGCAGCTACTTAATTAATTCTTGAAAGTCGAAGCTTAAAACGAGTGAAATGAAAATAACTGGAATGCTGCCTTCTGCCTAGATGTTGAAGCAGAAGTCACCCCCAGTCTTTACACGCAAAAAGAAACACGGCCAAAACAAATTTTTTCCAGGCACGCATAACTCACCCGATCATTTTGAACCCCCCCTGCATGACTGCTGTCAATGACATATACAAAACAAAATGCGGTCAGAAGATAATCATTCACAACATCATCTAAAACATTTGATTCACCAATTCCTGGACTGTCAACAATGACTATCTCATTCTATAAACAAGCATAAATAATAAATAGTTAAATATTAAATAATGGAGTACAAATTAAATACATTTCTTATATTTACCTTAAGCAAATCGTGAGGCCAAAATAATTTGCATTTTTTGAAGCGTGGTCCTTTTTCATGATCATTCCTTTCATCCAAATATTCTCTAAGTTGATCTGGATAACTCTGTCCTTCAACTGGATCTCGTAAGATAAGTTCTTCTGGTTGTCTTTGCTCATCTTTGTAATATGCCACAATCTTCCGTACCTCTCCATATCTCAATTCACAAATAGTTGATGTGGCAGGCAGTGTGCTGGATGGGAGAATATCTTCTCCAAGTATTAGGTTGATAAAACTACTTTTTCCGGAGCTCGTTTCACCTGAGGGTAAAAACAAACATAATTGACTTTTCGTTTTCGCCAGAATAATATTATCCCCGAGCCGGTGCGGAGCACCGTGCGAGGGTACTAATTCCGCTCGGATATTTACACCCAGGATGCGAAAAGGCGAAATCAAAGTTGTCCGCCATTATGCAATGGACCTCACGCCATGGACGGTCTTCTACGTTATGCGCATGCGCCAGTGTAAACTACTTAGCTCTTGATTGGTCGACACAAATATTTGTATTTTTAAACCGGCATAACTGTCATTTTGCAAAATTTTGAAGAAACTATGGCCCTGTTCATATGATCCCGCTTACTGAGATGTCTCACCTAGCGAGATGAAAATTTCCATGTGTTCATATGGTGTTTTCATCCCGCTTGCCGAGATAAAAATTCTTCGTTTCCAATGTAACTTTGTGGAAATAATTTTCATCGATACAGAATAAAACGATCGCTAACGCGATTTTTTTGCCTTTAATGATTGTTTTGCATCGTAGGACATTATTTAAGCGATATTTTTGATAATTTGTACTAACCCAAACGTAAAATTTGTTAAAAATCGTGCAAATTAGCATTAAAATCGAGTATTTATAGTGTTTAGATTTCATCCCGCCAAGCGGGATAGCGCGTTCATATGGGAATCGATTTATCCCGTCTACCTATGATCTCGCCTCTCAAAGGCGAGATCCCGGCTAGCGGGACAATTCGTTTTCTCATATGAACGCGTAGTAAGTTTTACTAGTAAAAGTAACACACGACGAGATCATAGGTAAGCGAGACGTCCCGGTAAGCGGGGTCATATGAACAGGGCCTATAAGTATATTTTCATATTATTTATATTTTCATAAGTGTGGAATATATATATATATTTTAATTACATTAGAAGGAAACTCGAATGTGGTCAGGACTTTTTACCGTTTAACAAAAAAAACAGACTAAATTTTCGACCGAATTCACCGTGTATATGAAGATTTTACACTTGTAATAATATAACTGGAAATGATTCTCGACTGTGATTGGTCGATTTCAGTGCAATTAATCTCAAACAGCAGTGCAAAAATCTGTAACAGCAGTGCAAAAATCTGTAATAACAGTGCAAAAATCTGTAACAACAGTGCAAAAATCTGTAACAAACGTATCTGATTGGTTGGAATTAAGAAAATAGCCAATCAAATTTCACCAAAAATTTCCTCCAAAATACAATTTTTTTGTGTTTTTTAAAAACAAACATGGCGGGCGCCAGCAATGAGCAAAGATTTCCAAACGTTGAGACAAGTACAATACAGGAGTTACAAAATAATGCCAAAAATAAAAACACAACAAGCAGCACTAATTTTTGGCTAAGCGTTTTTAAGACATGGGCAAAACAAAGAGGATTTTTGGAAGAAATTGAGATGTACGAAGTCAACGCCTTGGACATAGTACTTCAACAATTTTACGCCGAAGTGAGAAATAAAGACGGGCAAGACTACGAGCCAGACAGTCTTCGAGTTATGGTTGCAGCTCTTGACCGCTATTTAAAAGAACACGGATACAAACATTCAATAATTCGGGACAGAGAATTTTTTGCATCAAAGCAGGTCCTTGAGGGTAAAGCGAGACGACTTCGTCAAGAAGGAAAAGGAAAGCGTCCAAACAAAGCGAGAAGCTTGTCCGAAGAAAAGGAAGAGCTACTGTGGAGAGTTGACAAACTTGGCCGGAAAACTCCAGAAAGCCTAATAAGCACAATATGGTGGATACTCACCCAATACTTTGGTTTACGTGGTCGCCAGGAACACCACAGTATGAAAGTCGAAGACTTTGCTTTTGGCAAAGATGACGAAGGTCGTGAATACATTGAATTCACCGAAGGGCTGACAAAAACAAGAGGTGGTGGTTTATCCAAAAAGGCTCGGGATTTCACACCAAAAATGTTTGCTGCAGGAGGAGAAAGATGTCCAGTCTCGCTTTTCAAGGAGTACTTGTCACGACGACCAGTGCAAATGAAAGAAACGGGTCCCTTTTACCTCTCCATCAACTACAAAGCCGAAGCCCAAGACGAGGTTTGGTACAAAGCACAACCAATGGGAATAAACCGAATCAACGAAATGATGAAGAAAATCGTTTCAGGAACACAATTGGAAGCCAGTTGCAAGAAATTGACAAACCACAGCGCTCGAAAGACTTTGGTGAACAAGTTGAAAAAAAGTAACGTCGAGCGATCGTCCATCGTTAAAGTTACTGGCCATCGGAACCTACAATCCCTTGACGACTACGATGAAGGGGACGAAAGTGAGCAAAGAGATCTTTCCACAAGAATATCCCGTCGAAATAACATCGCGAGCATCATGCCTCAATCAGCAGCTTCGTCTTCAAACACTGGCTGTCAACAAGGTTCTTCGCGAGGTTATTTGACAACATCTGAGATAGGCTTCGCAAATTCATGCCTCAGCCTTAGTCAGTCCGTGGTGAGACAACAAAGCCAGCATCAGATGTTTAACAACTCATTTCACGGTTGTCAAGTCACCTTTTCTGTTATGCCGCAGACAAAACCATCGGAAGATGCCCAAATCGCATCAGAAAAAGCTCAAGAAAAACGACGTCGCAGGTTGATAATAGAAAGTGATTCCGACTAACTCTTAACTGTTACTATAAAATGTTGAGCTATTTGACTTTGTTTGATTCGATTTCTTTCATAGAAATTATGAATTGTTGTATTTTCAGCGTGAGAATTTGAGTGAAATGAGTGTTAGTGTGTTACTGTTTACAATATATTTTATAAAAATCGAATTATTGCGTGCTTGTAAATAAGCCAATTAAAATTGACCGGAAGTTGTTATCGGCGGATGTTGTTATACTTTGTCTCGATCATTTCCGGTTATATCATTATCAAGTAATAGTATGGAGTTATATCATTATCGAGTAATAATACTCGTCCTTCGGACTCGTGCTATTTTGAGTTTTTGAAAAACTTACTCGTGCATGTTATATCCAAATTGCACTCGAAACCATACTATTACCTATACAAAGAAGATTTTACACTTGAAAATAAGACCCGGCACAGCCACAGGTATAAAAAGTCATTCTTTTGTAGTAAACACAACTTTAGTATTCTTAAACGTATTTCACTACAAATCTGAATGTGTTATGTGATAGACGACATTATAATTTTATTTATAAACTCAGTTTTTTCAAAATATTCGCGTGCAAAAACCAGTCGAGGCGTAAACATAAAACTTCGGAAGTCGTATGAGACGTCTGATGTTATATTTCATGGTAATTAATAATTAAAATAATTTACCATAACAGTGACTATAGTTGAGTAACTTAACTTCCAGAAAATGGTTAGAATCTTGTCGTATTTTTGCCTTTTTTTCACAAAAATATGAGGGTAAACTTTGATTCTTTGAAAATATACGGCCGTTGCGATGCAGTTGCGAGTTTCTATGACTACAGTGCTTCCGCTTCCAGAAATATATTTCCATACTTCTCTTCTCACATACCAACAATACCAAGCACCCTCCAAACACCTCAACCCACACAAAATTTTCCAACTATCATGTCACCATCCCTATGCTCAACTAATTTCGCTTAACCGAGGCGAGGGGTTGCTGCATGCATGTATTTCTAGTATATATGTTATTTAGCGGCTGCTAGGTCCGGATGCAAAAAACTGTGCTAGGCCTAGAGGTTTCGAGAACGGTTTCTGAGACCGAGGGAACAGCTTTTTGCATCCGGACCGAAGCTGCAAGTAAATAACGTGTTTATTTTTATATCTTTACTTCATTGCCTTTATCAAACACAAAAGAATACAACAAATTTACTGAATAAGCTATAAGAACTATAAATTCTGCAAGCCATTTTGGAATTTTTTTACGTCAATAACTCCTTATTAGGATATCCTAGTCGGAAAACAGCTAATGAAATTGCAAATATTGTTACTATAGCAATTAAATCACAGATGGATTAAAAAAACAACGTATTGACAGGCGAAAAAAGGCGTAAAAATCTAAAATAAGAAGTTTTTCGGGTATGTTTTTTTTATTTTCAGTCTTTTAGCCTTCTCCAGACAGGTTTTGACACATTTTAGCCGTACGTTGCTTTAGTTTTGTCGTTTTGTTTACATTTTTCACAGCGGGCCGGATGCATTTCACCCGCTGTGAAACGCTTTTCAGGCTCAGCTAATCAGATTGCTTTATTTACACCGTTAAAAATAAAGTATAATAAGTTTTAGGATTTCTCGTGTGTTTTATATTCTGCTTTTTTAAATTCCGCTTTTTGGCAAATTGATTAATGATTTTTCTCGTTTAGATTTCAATCATAATACAGTCAATTCAGTTTGTGCATATGAGTCCCTATAGTTTTGTTCAACATCTTTAGTAATGGTCAATATCTTAAGATTTCTTCATGTTGTACACGCGTAGAAATAACATATTTTGTAGCAAGTCTCCAGGCGCGGATCCAGCCGAAAATCTGACCGTGTCATATTGGACTAAAAATTTTCCTGTCGGGGGGGGGGAGGGCGGATGGCGAAGGGTTTCTGAGCTTTAATTGGTTCTACAATATTCTACAGCGAACGTTTAAAAGCGAATATTGTAAATCTCTGAACTTTCATAAAACCACAAAACCATTTTCAAAATTTTGGGTAAGGTATTTACCGATATTTCATTCACACTGAACATAACGTGAAATTTGCATAGACAAATTATTCACAGACTACAGCGTAAATGCAAATTTGTATCATAGGGCGCTTCCATTAATTAAGCGGCCAAAAAGGTCAGACGAGTCATATTTTAAATTGAAATAGGGCATTTCGTTAAGAATATTGCGGTGAAACTGCATTTCCAGTGCTAGGCAGATGTAAAATAATGATATACTTGAATGCAGAGTTCTTGAAACACTTTAAAATACCATTAATCTGTCCAGATTACAACAGAACCGGTTTGGCCGTTTTTCCGTATAAAGGAGAGCGCCCATAGTTCGATTTAAAACCTAAAAGTCTTACCTTACAAGGATATTCAATAAAGATTTTCAGTATTTGTCTCTTGGGAAATAGCAGTTTAAAAATTGTCGTTGCGATTGTATAACGCGAGCGAGCGAAGCCTTTCTTTAGTAATAATTCCATCATGTTGTAGCCTGAAGAGCGATATTTCCCCTGAAATATGTTCGCTTAGATTTGCTTTTGAGAAATTTCGACGGATTCATGTATTAATGCATTTGATTCAGCCTGAATCAGCCAGGATGCAGCGAACAAACCAATTTAAAGTGTTATGTATAAACTGTATCCGAGTTCGAAGTCGAGAAATGTCGAACTTATTGTTTATCATGCTTATTGCGCAATCAAAAACAGGCCACCGTGTCGCACCGTGTCGCACCGTGTCGCACCGTGTCGCACCGTGTCGCACCGTGTCGCACCGTGTCGCACCGTGTCGCACCGTGTCGCACCGTGTCGCACCGTGTCGCACCGTGTCGCACCGTGTCGCACCGTGTCGCACCGTGTCGCACCGTGTCGCACCGTGTCGCACCGTGTCGCACCGTGGCTCACGTGATGAAAGCTTGCCCTGTGATTGGTTTGCTACACTGCACCGTGTCCGAACGTTACCATATTTAGTAACAATTGCGCAATAATCTGCACGCTGACCGTGTCAACTAGTTGCTGTGATCGCAGCTTCGAATGCACGACTAGCTTCCGAATATACTCGGCACAATTCGGCAAGCTTTCAGCAAATTTTATAGTTCAGTGTTAACTGAACAATCATAATATGAAACAAGGAATAATAATTGGGAATTTGTTCCCACTTTTAGCAGGAATTGGTAATAATATGACAACGATTACGAAAGATTATTACTCAAATTATTTGTTTTAGACATATATTTCCTTAATTTTGGTGTGATTCAAAGAATTAATATGTACTTCTAAATAATGTGTGAATATTAGATTGCAGATGGGAAAATTGGGGATGGGAAAATCTGACCGTGGCTCGAGCCACTTTCGATACGGTCTAGATCCGCGCCCTGTCTCTTCACAAGCTTGCAACAAGATTTGTTCGCACTGTTTGTCCTAAGCTGTTGACGAGATGGGACAACTCGTTAGCAAGTTGTAACAAACTTGTTGAATCAAAAGACTTGCTACAAAGCTGTTCTAACAAGTCTGGTACAAACATGATGTGTGCATGCGTAAAAACGCACAAGTTTTAACAAATCTGCAGCAGAGTTGCTACGAGTCTGTTCAAAAGCTTGCAACAAGATTTGTTCGCACTGCCAGCTTGCTCCAGTTTGTTGTATAACAAGTTTGGAACAAGCTGTTAATAACTTGTAGCAAGTCCGATGGCACTATCAGACTTGTTACACGATTGTTCTGACAAGTCTTATCAGATATGATACAACAACATCTCTGCGAACTTGAAAGCAAAAGATTGTACCAATATTGTCACAACATGTTTGTACCAAACTTGTTGGCATTGCAGCAAGTCTTTTGATTCAACAAGTTTGTTACAACTTGTTTTCCCATCTCGTCAAAAGCTTGGGACAAGCAGTGCGAAAAAATCTTTTTGCAAGCTTGTGAACAGACCTGCTACAAGATATGAAAATTTTAAGCGTGCAGTTCTGGCTAACCATGCCGCGCAAAATCCACGTAGACTGCACATGATAGTGTCAAAGAGAAACTAAATAATAAGGAAGACAACGAAAAGACACAGTCTTAAATGGAGACACAGCCTAAAGGTCGCATGTCCAGGTGCACAGTATGCAAAGTTTTTGTAACTATTGTGACCTTTTTTTACTCAGAATAACGTGCCTAGTAATATGGAAGCAATTGATCTCAGTGTTATCTAAAGTAAAAGAAAAGCAACTTTTGATCAGTGGACCCCCTAAAAAAAGAATAACATTCAACTCTGGTAAGACTGAAAGAAAAATGTAAATTTGCCAAATTTTATTTTTTGTTCCAAATTAATTTTGATGAACGGGGGAATGTAGCTGGCCATGATACTTTCGTATACACTTATGCAGTATTATTGAGAATTATTTTTATAATCTGGCATGATTTGCAGTAGATTTCCTATACCTGCAATTAGAACAACATATTCTTTAACTTGAAGCTTATTCATCTTTAGCTGAATTTCATCAACAATGTTCTCGACAGAGAACTTGGTATTCAAACTCTTTTGCATTTTCTCGTCGCAACTTTTTAAAGCATCTTCCACCTTCTCATAGAGACTCAGCAATTCTGTCCGTTTTGATACATCCATGTTTTTCGCATCTGAAAATACGGAAAATGCCTAAAATAGAGAAAACACCTGTAGGTAACGTATTTTTAACTCTAAACAAAATTATTAAAAACATTAATTTCTGTCAACTTGGTTTCCTAAATTATTCTTGCCCAGGATGGAGTAACCCTCATTTTTCAGAATTTTAGAAGGCCTAAAATTCTAAATTATATTCTGAATTATATTATACACTTAAATGCGCATGCTTCCACCCAGCTACCCTTGCCACGCCCATGTTCCATGTCTACGACAAAATAAGAATTCCTGAGAGGTTGCGTGTTGACATAACTTCGCACTTTCACTTCCCAAGCAAAATTTTTACACTTCTAACTTACTATAGATATTTATTTTCATCAAAATTAAATTAAATGTATTTTGCTGAGTTACAGTAAAATGATCTTTTTGTTAGGTAGTGTTGTCTGTGTTGATGTATGTATTTGCTATATGGATCGGGGCATTTTACTGAGAACTAAAACACTTGCAGAATCCATACGCTACTAAATCGGATATTTTTGGTGTGTCACGTTTGGGGGTGACATTTTCCCGTTATTGGTTATTATGGTTCGCATATAAAACGAAATTAACGTTGGAAATACAAACGAAAAGACTTAAAAGACATCTTTAGATAAGTTAAATTTATTCCACTTTAATGTTTAGGTTAAATAATCCCTTTTATATAATGGTCCTCCGCGGCTGATTTACTTGTCGTCTTTGTGTGTACTTTTGTCACTCATAATTTAGACCGTATAATGAACAGAACATTACACGGTTCACTCGAAGATATGGATTTTATGTTCTCGTGTCCAAAACAGTATCACTCGAACAGAAAATCCATATTTACTCGCCACCGTGTAATATCCTATATATATGTAATAGTATATTGGAAGACACGTTTATATTAAGAGAAATAGATATAATTACGGGCACGTAACCAAGAAACTTTTGAGATACATTGACAATATGTCGTCTTTGTTTTGAACACATCTTTGTATTTAAAGCACTAAAGTTAACAGGTTATGGGGATAGTCCAGAATACGTAGCTCAGTATATAACCTAAGATCGTCCAAGACAGTAAGTAATGGATGGAAACTGGTTTGGGTGGCGTTCAATGTTTTAGCGGTGAGATGAGGATTACCCAGCTTGGAGCACCAAGTTTACGGCGTATAAATTATGCAAACAAAGGGTCTCTACAAATAGTTATTTAAATAACAAATAACTCCTTCCATAAAGTGGAGCTTAATAAAACACGATTTGGGCTGAAAACTAAAGCAATACAGGAAAAGACAGCTACAGTACACGTACACTGTTACCTTTTGGTGATGTGGTATTAAAGCGCTTATAAACCCAAAATGGGTTTCTGATGATTCTGATAGAGCATAAAAAGTTGGTTGGTAACTTCTACATTAGTTTTCTGCATTAAATTTTAATTTCGGAGTTACGATGGCTTAAACAATAGAATTTGATCATTTCTCAAAAAAAAGTAGACGCAAATATCACCAAAGGGCCTGGATCCCAGGAACTCGTCTTCCATTTCATATGGCATAATGGTAGCAGTATTGCTATTCACACTCGAAAATCAACTTAATTAAACCCAACCTTTCAGGAACTTTTATTTACTCGCCCTTGCAGATCTCACAGATAAGTTCATCTGTTTTTCGACCGCAATTTGTATTGTTGGATATGGGGTAACCCCATATGGGGTAACTTCTTCAGTCGAAGTAATGTGTGCTGTTCTAAACAACGCAAATTTCCAAAAAAGTCATCAGACTTAAAATGTTTGGAGCAAGCATGGCTTTCACGTGATGGCTCCCATCCAGCGCGCTTGAATTTAACGACGTCTACTCATTTCTTTCGTCTCCTTACTGCATTTGGACGCAAATCTCTATTACACATTTAATTTTAGGAATCTGGTGTGTTGGAACAACCGTATACGACACACCTAGCGGGCATTTTTCAGCGCAAAGTATACAAATTTTTGACGCATACGGCATATATTCACTGTAATGTGACACTAGTCGATTTTATTGCCTGCCCGGTATGACGTTAAACCCTAATTAGTTCTCAGACTCTTTTTTCCCGGCCAATTATTGAAAAAAAAGTCTTGGCATGTTTAATCCAAAATATCTTTAGAAGTATTTATCCGATCGGAGAATGATACATATCATTCGAATCGCCTGATTTTTGCGAATTTCTAGTGAAAAAATAGTAATCATGTCATACGCACTTTAACGTCGCTGCAGGAAAATTACATTGAGGGAAAGCCGTCGGGCGGTCGCGACTTTGATCTTGTATTATACTATTTGTAATAGCAAAAAATCAAACATACTGTAGCCAGGAATCTCTTCTTTTACGATACTTGTAGTCGTTTACTATACTTTTACTGTAGTCACGAACCCTTTGTTCACAAATTTCAGAATAGACTACAGTATACTCTACACCTACGATGGGCAAGTCATACTTTACTTTATTATGGGTTATTTGCTTTAAAATCCCTTCACAAAAGCGAAAGAGAAGGACAGAAGAGTTCGTTTTAAGTCATTCCACATTTATTATAGTTTACAGTTACACAAGCTTTAGAACATTCACGAACCTACACTCTTCTAGAAATTACCGGGAATTCACTGCTAGTACAAACACTGCTAATATAAACAGACGTTCGGTGCAAATATTATTTTGACCACTAGACGGGTGTTATTCCGTTTGTTTAATAGTATCTAAGATTACCTCTCCGAGTGTCCAACACGACATTTTTTGAGACTCAGTAATTTTTTCATACACTTTCGCACGAGCATCATCGATTGTGTTTACGCCTTCAGCGGATATTCTCAAACTGTATTTCATGATCTCTCCCAGGTCGAAAAAGCTGTATGACTCAATTTTTGAGACTAAATTTGCATCGGCCATGTTCGGATTTACGCATCAACCATAAGATTCGAACGAAATGTTGTTTATCCCGCGTTTACTGCCATGATAACTTCAAGAGCAAAACAAATTGCTATTTGCTCTTCCTGAATGTTTACTGTATTTTGCATTTTCTGAGACTAAGTATCGCGTTTCCCGGAAGTAAGTGCACTGTTCACATGACTGAATTATGCTGCAAAGATATCAACTATCACGCAAGCTACATATAGAAGATCCGTCAAAACGTAATTACCGTATGTTCATTGCATTGATTTAGGACTTCAGTGTTGTCTTGCATCAATTAAACCCGACAATATTGTCAGGAAAACTAAATATCTCGGCAAGTATTTTGGCAAAAAACACCGGAATACCACCAAACGATAGAGCTTGAAAAGATGATTTAAATAGTATATTCAAACTGGCAAATAGTGATAAGCTGCACTTGTATTATAAGTCAAAACATGAGTCAAAATATAATAGGTTGCTTTGTTATCTCAAATTACTCACTCATAGCAACCACATACTTTAGAAATTCCGTATTTTCTCGCTTTTTCGTTCTCTGTTGTTTTTAAAATGTCTGAATTTTACATATTATCATTCTGTCATAATTCTGAGTAATTTTTACGGTAGGATGTGCAAAAGAATCGGAGAAATAGCGTTTTATAAGTTCTAAGCGAAAATTGTTGCTAAGAGCGTGCTTACTGCGTGCTCGGAATGTTGTCATTCTGTTGGAAAAGGTGGTAATAATTCCATGTTCAGTATACACAAATATACATACGACACCCTTTTTTAAACATCTATTGTATCATATATCATTTAGCATCATACTATATCACACCGCATCATATAGCATCATATAGTATCGTACTATATCATACCGTATCATACTGTATCATATTGCATCATACTATATCATACCGTATCATACTGTATCATACTGTATCATATTGGATCATATAGCATCATACTATATCATACCGTATCATACTGTATCATACGGTATCAAACCGCATCACACTGTCTCATATTGCATCATACTATATCACACCGTATCATATTGTATCATACCGTATCATACTGTATCATATTGCATCATACTACAGGGTGTATCAAAAAAAATGTCCCAAATGTAAAATTTCCGTTTTTCAGGATATTTTGCAGAATTTGGCAATTTTTTGTGTTCCTAGAGATAGTTAAGACTTATCTGGTATACCAAGGCCAAGTTTGGTTTTTCATTAACAAAATTATGTTACCGGGGGGTGGTTCCTTTCCACTGATATTGAGAGGGCTTGCGCGCGAAAATGTGAAGCTGAAATTAAGATATTATTTAGCTGTCTAAAAGTAGGAAAGCTTTTTAATAAACTGTCAAAGTTTCAGGAAAAATAATGCAAACTGGGAGCAACGCGCGACTCCTAAAAGTGACAAATATTTCATTGCGCGCAGTGGATTAAATGCATGGTTGATTTTAGCGTGACCGATCTCATGCAAGGCTGTGCAAATGAATAAATTAAAGCGAGAAACTGAACAAGAAGACGAAGCGATTTAATAACAAGATTTTTATTCTTGATGTTAATCCTCAACATTTCTACCATTTATTTCTAAGCAAACTGCGGCTCGTCTGAGCATGGTAAACACTGAACGGCGAACCACATTTGTCTGTCCTGCCTCAAATTATCCATTTCGTTCGAAATTCTTTCTTGCAAATCGCCTACGCTACCACCGGCAAATGTAGGCGAATGGACAGACAAATGGTTCGCTGTTCAGTGTTTAGTATGCTCAGACAAGCCGCAGTTTCCTTAGAATGAAATGGTGGACATGCTGAGGATTAACATCACGAATAAATCGCTTTGTTTTTGTGTTCAGTTTCTCGCTTTAATCTATTCATTTGCCCACCTTGTATGAGATCGGTCACGCTAAAATCAACGATGCATTTAATCCACTGCGCGCAATGAAATATTTGTCATCTTTAGGGGTCGCGCGTTGCTCCCAGTATGCATTATTTTTCCTGAAACTTTGACAGTTTATTAAAAAGCTTTCCTACTTTTAGACAGCTAAATAATATCTCAATTTCAGCTTCACATTTTCGCGCGCAAGCCCTCTCAATATCAGTGGAAAGGAACCACCCCCCCGGTAACATAATTTTGTTACTGAAAAACCAAACTTGGCCTAGGTATATCAGATAAGTCTTAACTATCTCTAGGAACACAAAAATTTGCCAAATTCTGCAAAATATCCTGAAAAACGGAATTTTTACATTTGGGACATTTTTTTTGATACACCCTGTATATTTTAAATTTTGAGCTAAAGGAAGTTGCCAACATTTTTGCAGAAGAAGCAATTTGGGCTTCTTTGAAACGATGCAGACGTTATTCATTATACACTTAATGTATGCTCCCGAGGGAAATAGTGAGTTTTGTTTTCCCAAGAGTCTGAATGTTTCCCGAGACGAAGTCGAGGAAAACATTGAGACTCGAGGGAAAACAAAATTCACTATTTCCCGAGGTAGTGTACATTAAGTGTTTTTTTATATAGGAACGAAAACATACATGTTACACAACAATTTCATTTAAAAAAGAAACATTTTACTTTTTTATGACATGAAGCGGGCAACAATTTTTCACTAGTTTCCCTGGCGGGAAACATTGCATATACTTCCTGTCGCAGTCATGTGACTACGAATGAACCAATCACATTTAAAATACAAAGCACCTATAAAACAACATGCGTTACGGAGTACTTCCGTCAGGAGTTTTGGTGTATTTTTGGTTGATGAGCTGTTCCGACGAAACCTGGCGTTATTGATTCGGGATTAGGAGCTCTTCCGGTGGGAATTTTACAGTATTTTTGCCGAACAAGCAATTTGAGCTTTTTTGGAATGATATGATGCAGACGTTAATTATCATTGGTTATGGAGCACTTCCGACATGAATTTTAGTAAATTTTCGATTGAAAAAGAAGTAAAAATCCGAAGTTATTGATCGAGCTCCATATGAGCTCTTGTCTGAGCTCTTTCGACATGAATTTTACTGTATTTCGATTGAAGAAGAAAGGCAGTATGGTGTTTGATCAACCGACAGGAATTTTGATTTATTTTCGATTTATGAGCTCTTTCGAGGAAACCCGACGTTATTGATTTAGCATTAGGAGCTCTTCCCGCAGAAATTTTGGAGTATTTTAAAGTTTGAGTTATAGGGAAGATGCGAACTTTTTTAAAGGACAAGCAATTTGAGCTTCTTTGGAACGATGCAGGCGTTATTCATCATGGGTTATGGAGCTCTTCCGACATGAATTTTGTTTTATTCTCGATTGACAAAGAAAGGCAGTATGGTGTTTGATCATTGATTATGGAGCACTTCCGATTGGAATTTTGGAGTATTTTCAACTGTGAGTTAAAGGCAAGATGCAAACATTCTTCCAGATCAAGAAATTTGAACTTCTTTGCAACGATGCAGACGTTATTCATCATGGGTTATGGAGCTTTTCGAAGCCGACATGAATTTTGGTGTATTTTCGATCGACAAAGAAAGGGGGTATGGTGTTTTATCATTGATTATGGAGCACTTCCGACTAGAATTTTGGAGTATTTTTAATTGTGATTTAAAAGCAAGATGCAAACAATGCAAACATTTTCATAAAGCAAGCAATTTGAACTTCTTTGGAACGACGGAGACGTTATTCATCATGGATTATGAAGCTCTTTCGACATGAATTTTGGTGTTTTTCGGTTGACAAAGAAAGGCAGTATGGTTTGTGATAATTTGATTATGGAGCACTTCCGACTGGAATTTTGGAGTATTTTCAATTTTGAAGTAAAGGCAAGATGCAAACATTTTTCTAGGGCAAGCAATTTGAACTTCTTTGGAACGATGCAGACGTTATTCATCATGGGTTATGGAGCTCTTTCGACATGAATTTTGGTGCATTTCGATTGAAAAAGAAAGGCAGTATGGTGTTTGATCATTGATTATGGAGCACTTCCGACTAGAATTTTGGAGTATTTTCAATTATGAGTTAAAGGCAAGATGCAAACATTTTTCCAGAGCAAGCAATTTGAACTTCTTTAGAAAGATGGAGAGGTTATTCATCAAGGAATATGGAGCTCTTCCGACATGAATTTTGGTGTATTTTCGATTGACAAAGAAAGGCAGTATGGTGTGTGATGATTGATTATGGAGCACTTTCTACTGGAATTTTGGAGTATTTTCAACTGTGAGTTAAAGGCAAGATGCAAACATTTTTCCAGAGCAAGAAATTTAAACTTCTTTGGAACGATGGAGACGTTATTCATCATGGGTTATGGAGCTCTTTCGACATGAATTTTGGTGTATTTCGATTGACAAAGAAAGGCAGTATGGTTTGTGATAATTTGATTATGGAGCACTTCTGACTGGAATTTTGGAGTATTTTCAATTTTGAATTAAAGGCAAGATGCAAACATTTTCTTAGGGCAAGCAATTTGAACGTCTTTGGAACGATGGAGACGTTATTCATCATGGGTTATGGAGCTCTTCGAATCCGACATGAATTTTGGTGTATTTTCGATCGACAAAGAAAGGGGGTATGGTGTTTTATCATCGACTATGGAGCACTTCCGACTAGAATTTTGGAGTATTTTCAATTGTGAGTAATAGGCAATATGCAAACATTTTTTCAGAGCAAGCAATTTGAACTTCTTTAGAAAGATGGAGAGGTTATTCGTCATGGAATATGGAGCTCTTCCGCCATGAATTTTGGTGTATTTTCGATTGACAAAGAAAGGCAGTATGGTGTGTGATGATTGATTATTGAGCATTTCCGACTGGAATTTTGGCGTATTTTCAATTGTGAGTTAAAGGCAAGATGCAAACATTTTTTTAGAGCAAGCAATTTGAACTTCTTTGGAACGATGCAGACGTTATTCATCATGGGTTATGGAGCACTTCCTGACAGGAATTTTGGAATGAATAACGTCGGGTTCCATCGGAAGAGCTCATAAATCGAAAATACACGAAGAGCTGTTCCGACTGGAATTTTGGAGTATTTTCAATTGTGAGTTAAAGGCAAGATGGAAACATTTTTGCAGAACAAGCAATTTGAGCTTCTTTGGAACGATGCAGACA